CAGAACATTTTCTCACTAGCACTAAAATTCCTCACTCATTACCTTGGCCTATATATAAGCCTTCCATAAGTCCCTTTCTTTGTACACTTTTTTCTTTCAATAAAGTTATAATTGAAATGGATTGTAGTGCTACTGGTAACTGCAGTAGAAGACTTTTTCCAGTTACCAAAATTTGTCTCTCGATAAGTAGTGGTGTAATATGGTAAAAATAAACAAACTATATAAGAAGGAAAGGACTGTTAAGTCTACCATGTGCTTTTTTTCTTTAAGAAGAAACAGGATGTCTACATTTCTTCTTTTTTTTTTTTTAAATTGTCACCATCAGTTACTGCATGTAAACATCATTAATATCATAACTTAACATGAGGGATGAAAAAGAAATATTTAGTTGGCAAGTTACATTGAAGATAAATTACAACTTTTCCTGTTACATGTTTGTATCACCAATACACAGGGTCTCTCTTTAGGAAGTCTTGCTTTTATGAGTGCCTGGCATTCATTAACTGGTTTCCAAATGAAGAAACAGGAAACAGGATTTAAATGCTCCATTCACAAAACTGTTTTGTTACCATAATAAATTACACTTTATATAAGTTTTTATGTTGTATATTAAAATGAATGATTAGTTCAAAAGTCTATTTATGTGCTTTTACACCCAACTGACAAAAGAAATCTTTTCAAAATTAACTTCCAGTCTTGATAAGTAAGTAAATGTACTAATTTGTTATCGTAAATTTTATTCATAGACGGGTGGGTAAACTAAGGACTTCTTACTTTTCTTTAGATAAATGAACTGTAACACTTGAATTCAACACCCTGTTTTATGATCCACCCTTAATATACTGATCATCCAGCATCTTCACGTACCTACATGTAAATTATAATGCAGTTAATGCACATTTATAAAAATGATAAGATGTGGAATTTTACCAAAGGCTTTGAATTTTTAGACAAAAACACCAGACGATTTTTCCCAAATCGTTTCTAACCCCAAATTTTGTCTCCTCAAACCAGATAAGGTACATTTAAGAAACATGTACATTAATCATGTTAATATACCTATTATTCCTTCCGACTTTCTCAAGTTTTACCTATCTTAGATTTTATACTATCTACATGTACATGTGTATAGCACAATGGTATCTTAACCTCAAAAATTCAAGTACAAAAATATATCTGTTCTTTGCATTTATTCCAGAGGTTAGACTTAGGCATTTGGAATTGTTTGGGAGACAAAATGTGAAAAAAGATCATCATGAACTTTATTACTACAGTTATAATACTAAGTTAAGGACATTCATAATTCCCCCTTTAGGAGCCCCTTAGTTCAATTAACACTAAGGCTACCAAGAACAATAAACAATCATGGTCTGAATCACATCCACATCATCATCTTACAATGTCTGAACTCCTATGATTAAAACATAGTTATGGGTGAGAGGAAAACTCCACTTTAATGCAATAACTCAATGATAAAATTCTTTGTTTACTAATTCACAGCTGATGCCTCTGTTGAAAGGTTGTGGTCAATTGCTTGAGGGTCAATACAGGTTAAAGGTCAAAGGTATTGTTTGAACTAATAAGAACATCTGAATTTTGTAACATGTTGACTATACATTTACATGTTTAATGGTCAATGCTGCTAGCAGTGGTATAAAGCAAATATATGCCTATGTTCATTCGAATTTTCAGGAATAATGGATTCATTGTGCCAGCTGCTTTGAGATGTCATATGCAAGTAATATATGAGCTGCAATAAGGGATTTTCATTATTTTGGTTGACAACATGAATTGACGAAATTACGTAACAGATTGGGATAAATTGAATTACAAAATCCAGTGTTTGTCACTTAAATTCTTGAATGTTTATCTAATATGTTTCAAGGGCTTAGAATAGAATTTAGTAATAAAGATTGATGTGAACAGGTCTGTAATTTGTTTCTAAATTTTGTACAAAAACTGATCCTGGCTCAAAATGAAAACCACCGGTGTTCATGGTTTCCTTAGTTTTCTGCACCTCATAATGCCTACCCTAAAGTTTTTATTTACCTTTTTGGTAATGAATAGTGACAATATCTTAAAAAGCCAATCTAAAATCAACCCAGTAAAAATTTCTTTTCCTTAAGAATCATTAAAAAACTTTGAAATCAAATTTGCTGGCTCAGCAAGTTTCATGAAGACAAACTGCTTACAGATACAACTTTCCCACATGGAGACATGGTACAAATTTATCCTCAATAAAATCCATTGTTTCTGAACTTAATTTGCATATGATGATTAAAACACATGTTTAGTATGCATTATATAACAACTACTTCTTAAAATTACCACATAAATAAACCATTAGTCACACACTTTGCAGGAGCCATTTTCCTCCTCTTTTTAAAACGTGTGATCGTAAATCTTTTGAATAAAAAAACTGTACCAAATAATAAAAAAAAGTTATCATATTACACGACACACAAGATGACTATTGTAAAAAATCTCTCTTGATGGTGCTGAGAGTGAATTTCTGAAAAACAGGGTGAATACAAGTGATGAAACTCTGATTTAATTTACCATTCAGTCGAATATTCAGAGAGATTTTAGAGTGAATCAATAACAATCACCAGAATTCACCCCCCAAAAAAGACCACCAAGAGTGATTACTAACTGAATCACATTGCAGAATTGTTGAACAAAACTAGAGTAGGACATTGTGTAATTATGAAATAAATAGCAAAAGAACAGCTTTTTTTCTATTCATTATCTTGTCAGTTGAAGCCCAGTAGACAATTCATAACATTTTGGAAATCATTTTAAATATTGGAATGAATTTCCATCATGTATAGCTCTGATTCAGTTTCGTTGTCTGGCTTAGATACTTGTGCTTCTTTTTGGTTATATCAGTTCAACATTTATATTAGGTAACTAAAAAAAAATCAAATTTTCACATATGTTTGCCTAAGGTATCACAGAAGAGACATTGATTGTTATAATGTACATTGTTGGAAAGTAATAAATGATCAGCTGCATAACTAGCACCTTTAACAGCAAGTTCTAGAATCTGTGGTTTTCTGATGTTATAATAAATTATCAGACAATTACCAATAAACTTCATGACATAACTGTGAAATATTCTATCATGGGAACCCCTTACAGTCACTGGGTCATATTTTACACTGACATATGATATATTTGTTTTGTTACATTTTGTTTGGTCTGGTTCTTTTCAATTATGATATATATATAGACACTGTATTGAATCTGTTGTACCTAAATATATATTTAGCCAAACCCTCAAACAATGACTTTCATTTGTGCATAGTAATGTACACTTAGTAAATTCTGAGATGTCCAACGTCTTAGAATTGTCTTATAATTAATACAATGTATAAATGATAAAATACAGTCAAAGGCAAATGTAAAGAATTTATCCCTCCATATAAATAAACATAGGTTACAATATGACTACACCAGTGCTTCATACTTAATAATTCATTCCAGGTTTAAATCATTTATCAGTAATAAACAACATGTGGTCCCATCTCGTTGAAAGTTAAGTTTTCAAGTGGTTCTACAGTGTACATATTGCAATATTCCCACACTGCATTATAACTGGATCAAAACAAAAAAACCACTGAGATTTGTCCTCAATAAGGACGAAAATGTAATATGTTACAACTACCTGTCAAATTATAACTAATTATGTATGGTACTTGTAACACATGTACTAATGGTCAGTGCTCTAATAACAGATAAATACTTAAGCTAGTTAAGGTCAATTTACTCCTGAAATGGCACATTAGCTGTGAATTGTATATAATCTGGATTTAACCAGCAGGGGTTCTGCAAGTTTTTGTACATTTAAGGGAAGCAGGGGATTTTCCTATTCTTATTACTGAAATTTCAAACACAGAAAATGGAAAGGTCAGACTCTCATGTCATTTTTTTTTTAGCTTTAACAGGTTGGGATCAACCCCCCAAATGAGGGACATCCCTTAAACGAGGGACTGTCTATATGGCAAGGGGTTATTTTGCTGTAGTAAAAAAGAAAAAAAAAATTTTTTAACTTAAAAAGGGGAAAATTCGTTATATTTGGAACAACTTTTCTAAAAGAAAAAAAAAATTCTAAAATTCATAGACATGTTTTGTCAATATAATACCAGATAGACCTATTGTTCTTTGGGAAAAGTTTCTGCAAATAACGTAAATATGTGCCCTTTTGTACTTCAAAGTTGTTTTTTAAAAAAAAAAAATTTTATCACTTGAAATTAACCCCTCATAAAAGGGATAGTCATTACTTTGAGGGGTAGTTCCCAACCTGTTTAATATCATTGACAGAAGTATTTGTATAATTTCCATCAGAAAGCATAACTAAATACTAAAATAATATCTTAACTTCCTTTTTCTATTTTTGTACTTTAAATAATCCCAAATGATTTTTATCTTATTACTGCATGTACATATGTATTGTTTCCCAAGAATTCTGCCAAAATTTAGAAGACAAGGAAGTTCTTTGTTTGAAAATTTACTGTATGAAACAAACAAAGATTCAAACAGGAACCTGAAATATTCAGGTATTACCATATACATTTTCGGGATAATTTCTTGAGGCAAAACATGTTATTTAGGAACAGCTGTTTGTTATTATTTGCAACAAGAACCGGTTCGAAACTCACAAATTTTCATACTTTATAACTACTGCAGGCCATTGTCCCCAATAAATACACATCAAATTACATATAATTACTTTACATTTCACTGTCATACTTTTGACAGATAAAATCATCCATCCGTGGTCAATGAGATGGGCGTGTTACTACAAATTTCAAAACCATATGGAAATTAAATCACGAATTACCGGCATGTTTTGTTTAAAACATATTTTTCACCTTGGTCTTCTTGAATAAATTTATCCATACATTTTTCAAAAATCATTGAGACATTTTTAGACGAAGTCAGTAAATTAAATTAGTTTAAAATGTATCACATATGGAACAACAAAATAGCATCCTTACCATTGAGGAGGGGGAGTGAAAAGCGTCGTTGTCCAATATATCGCACATGTCTTCTTCCAAATCGCCGAGTTTTTGATCACTTTCGTATAGCAAGTCCATGGTCGTAAGTCCCGGGAGGTGTCCTAGAATACCTCGAGGGATGGGTCGTTTTCCGTGGGTCAGCCGCCTGTTAAATGTGTCCTCTCCTTTTCCCTATCCAGATCGAGCTGTCTGAGCTAAACAACCTTATTGCAAACCACGTGAATCATTCCACCAATAAAATTAGTTTTATATTCAATTTAAACAGAAGCATTCAAGCTGTTACGAATCTTTAAAATCCATATACTGGAATATATGACGAACATTTATGTATATACTTTTATTGATTTACTGTGTATGTGTATATTTAACAAACAACATGCAACTTCGATATGCGAATGAATTTTACTTCGGGGTCAACTTGATAAATCAGACGTCATCTTTTGCTCGACCAATCAAATCAGTTTTAAATATAATGAGGGGACAACCACCGGTTTTGACGGATTTACACAAGTGCTAACGAAAAAACATTAATGGGTCATTAATCAAGTCTCGATATAAGCAATTCTAAAATACACACAGGCGTCTGATCCAAAATTATTTTTTGGTATCAAAAATCCTGAGCACAAAACAAAAAGAAGGGGGATCCCCCTTATTCATTACCAAATATATTTCAACTTGTTTTTTTCTTATCTAACGTGTTCTTGCTCTTTTACTTTTATATGTATAAAAATAAGCAACACATGATATTTAAAACCCAAAACAAACTTTTACCCATTTTGGTTCCAGATGTTCTTCATAGCTGGGACTATTATACTAACGTTAGTATAATAGTCCCAGTTCAGTCATAGTAAAGTTTAAAAAAAATGCCTATTTATACAAATAGATATATTTGTATCAAATAGTATCAAAATGCGATGTTTTAGCCGTTGGATACATTTTTATTTGTTGATATACAAAATATTGTTTCAAAATCTTTTAAATATCTTATCTAGACTTATAAATATTCAAATTCCATTAGGTTTTTTTTCTAAAACATCATCACTTTCATATGTTTACCCATTGCTTACAAAATATAACAATGTAATGGTAAATTTGGCCGGCAATGACTCTTGTTAACTTTTGGTAGGATAGAATGCAATTGTATCCTACTGGAACTACATTTCCATTTCTACGGTGGAAGTTGTTTCGGTTGAAAAAAAATGATGTGTTGTACTGAATTCACGAAACCGGCGAAATTTCTACACGTAAAATTTGACCGTGGCACAACCCCAGTCAAAGGGACAGCACTTTTATTGCTGTTCTTCATCGCAAAGTCAAAGAGACTATTGAGCATGCAGTAGGGCCCCAAAACAGCCGTCGGACATGCGACCAAACAAATTCAGACTACACAGCTGCTGGCACCGCAGGATGTCGGCGATAACGCTATTTCTGTGCACAGTTTAAGAGCACTGATCGGCGGGTTAATATTATAGGATAAAAAATAGCATAGAAGTAGACTGAAAGAGGGGTGATTATTTCAGGATGCATTAGTACCACGCTTATTGTTAGTTTCATTTGTCTTCTAATTTCCACTCTAGTAAAAGATTAATGCATGTGCATTTTTTTTTTTATAAATATGACGGTAAAATCAAAAGTATTGATTATCACAATCAAGACTTATAGTTTCATCTTTATTGTTTTCAAATCTGAAAAAAAAACTTCGCTGACAAGCTTCTTCTCTTGGAACTTATGTCTTTTCACGACATTGGCATTTTTAGTAGTACTCACAAACGTCTCCATTCGATAATCTGGACCCTTATAATTCAGATCAACCCACATTTTTTAAATTTTCATTTGGAAATTTGTTAATTAGTCTACAGGGCTAGTTTCCCCCAAAAACTTATCTCTTAGATTTAGATCAAATATTTAGTCTCTTGACTTTATGGATAAAAGTTCTTGATAAAGAAAACAAATCTGGCAGTTTGTTGCTATGGTTTTCTGTCGACTCGTCTGTATAGCATCATGTATTTGTTATAAGTCCGTCACAGTGTCATATATGGTTTGGACCAATATATAGATATATGTTTTGGTAAGATATTCTAGTTTTAACTTTTTTACTCAAGAATTTCGATTTCATTTTTTGAAATCGTCTCACCCTTTTCAGCTTTTATAAAAAGACAGACAGTTTAAAAGTCTTTCAATACCGGAAAATGACAACAGACAGAATGAACTGCATCCGATCATTGTCGCTTTCATATCGCATGGAAGTATTCCAGACGACTGCTAGCATCTACTAAAAGCAATAATATTTCCGTCGAAAATGAACAATATATAAATACAGACTTAATTTAACCAAATATTTGAATAGTCTTACTATTAGGATCCTTGAACAAAGTTGATTCATTTCATTTTTTTTTGCCGCGTGAATCTGTGTCGGTGTTTATGAGTACTCATACTTCATCTTTCAAAAATCTTTTAAAAAATAGATCATAAAATTGAGAATGGAAATGGGGAATATGTCAAAAAGACAACAACCCGACGAAAGAGCAGATAACAGCCGAAGGCCAAAAATGGGTCTTCAACGCAGCGAGAAAATCCCGCACCCGGAGGTGGTCCTCAGCTGGCCCCTAAATAAAATTGTGTACTGGTTTAGTGAAAATGAACGGCACACTAAACTCCAAAACATATAAAGGAACTAAAATTAAAGAAAAACATACAAGACTAACAAAGGCCAGAGGCTCCTGACTTGGGACAGGCGCAAAAATGCGGCGTTGTTTGCTTCAGAGATAGAAATATAATAGATATCAATGACGTAAGCCTGAACGGACATAACTGGTGTTTTTCTCACTACGACCTTTTTTCATAGAATAGGCATTAAATTTTAGTACAATGCTGTTGCTACGGAACAATTGATGTACATTGTTAATCATTATTTTCAGGCGGATGTTATTGCAATATTTCTTAGTTTTTGAGACGGTTAAATTCTTCACAAAAGCGCATATAAACAATAAATTATGTTGTATCCGGATTCAGATTTGGATTAATAAATCCCGCTAGACAAACATTATAAAAGCAGCATGAGTTTTATAGTTTTTACTTTTTGTTTTCGTTCTAGATTGGCGATATATTTTTACTCAATCTTATTGAAAACAATAAGTTGTAAGGAAAGCATGGATACAGGATCTGTCTATTAGTAAGATTTAGTCCTAGCTCTCTACAAATCGTAGGATATATATATATCAAAAAAAATAGTACTCCAGGATTACAACTCATCATCATTATTTTGATTCACCCTTTAGTGTGCAACTGAAAGAGACAAATGTTCCTTAATTATCTTCATTTTATTTTGCGTGTGGTTTTTTAAAACTACTGTAATTCAATCATCGACATATATTTTACAATATACATGATGTCTTTTAAAGGCTTTATATAAATCGTTGGTCTTTTATTATAAATACGGGGACGGATCATGTGCGGAACCAGAATTGTGAAAAGGGGGGGGGGGGGGGGGATAGAAAGCCAACGTTTGGATAGCCTGGGATCCTGGCTCACTGTTTTGGCCCTATCGACGAAGTATTAGATTGGGTCAGGATGCCAGGCTAACGTTTGGAGTGATTTACGAGTGTATGCATTTATCATCTATGTATGCAGATTCAGGGAAAAGGAGGTTTTGGCGGCTGGAGTCACTCAACACTCATCCTACCGACAGATACGTTTTCTAAATATTAGATCGCAAATGAAAATATCGTAAAGAGAAAATATATTAAAGCCACCGAACTTGGCCACTGGTCATTCATGATAGTTTTTTTTTTATTTAGCAGACAATCATTTGATTCTTTGAGGGGGTGTTGGTGGTGTTACAGGGCGATTATTTTGCGAACGAAATATTCATATTTTTTATTTTATAAATTTTCAGTTCACACTGGGACTATTATTATCCATGGTTTACAATTATTTTCTGACGTTCCTGAATTCTGTGGGGAATAATAGGGCATTTGCATCCTGTTGTGGATAAATATATTGTTCCAAGTTCCAACCAAGGACCCTTGTACTAATCATACAGAGACATATGTCTTTAAACCAGGCTAGCATATTCATTTCCATAATCCTCTTTTAGAAAATCCAAATTTTTGTTAACTTGATTTGTTCGTGTTATATGTAAACTGAAACAATAAACGTCAATGGTGGACATCAGAAGGCTTATGTAGTAAACCCTTTTCAAAACGTTAGATAAGAGATTAATTGAATTATACATGTGTATTGTCAAGCACCTGTTAATCCCATCGATAAGTATCAATAAAACCTTTAAATAAACATTGAGGGTGTCTGAATTACATACTTACACAACAGAAACTTTGTTGACTCCATAAAGGGTTACAAATTTAATATAATTATCGTTGATTCGCGCGCGGATGTGCATTCATCACGAACCGATTTGAGTTTTTAAAAGATATGGATATCTAAATTCACAACAACAGTTTTTTTAATGAAACGATCACATATCTATTTCATTTTTATAATGATTGATTGATTGTTGCTTACTTAACGCCCAGTGGCGAATATTTCATGCATATTCAGGACAAGCAGAAAGTTAAAATTAATACAATAGGTAGGCTCTGCAAGGCAATTCAAAAGGGGTGGAGGACGAAAATTTGAACTGCCACTGGAAAATTAGGCCCATGGTATGTTTGATAGTGACAGAAATTTTGCCCCGCAACAGACCACCAACTATTATCTTATAGAGTTGTTTCAATGGTTTCCAATCTCTGATAGGATTGTTTCAATGGTTCCCAAACTCTTACAAGTTTATTTCAATGGTCCCAAAATCTTTTAGAGGGTTGTTTCAATGGTTTTCATCCTCTAAAAGCTAATTGAGGAATGAAATGAACATTTTGATTGTTGATTATCTGTTTATTATTAGGTATGTTTGATTGTTGATTATATGTTATTATTAGGTCTGTTTGATTGTTGATTATATGTTTATTATTAAGTCTGTGTGATTATTGATTATCTGTTTATTATTAGGTATGTTTGATTGTTGATTATATGTTATTATTAGGTCTGTTTGATTGTTGATTAAATGTTATTATTAGGTCTGTTAGATTGTTGATTATATATGTTTATTATAAGTTCTGTTTGATTGATGATTATATTTATTACTAGGTCTGTGTGAGTGTTGACTATTTACTATTAGGTCTGTTTGATTGTTGATTATATATGTTTATTATTAGGTCTGTGCAAGTGCTGATTATCTGTGTTTATTATTAGGTCTGTCTGTTTAATTGATTATCTGTGTTTATTATTTGTCTGTTTGATTGATTATATATGTTTATTATTAGGTCTGTTTGATTGTTGATTATTATTAGGTGTTTGATTATCTGTTTATCATTAGGTCTGTTTGATTCATGATTATCTATGTTTATTATGTGAATTTTATTAGGTCTGTTTTCTAATATCACAATAGTATAGCTATTTGGTAAGCTGAAACTATACATTTTAGTCTGGCATGTACCATCTGACCATGACATCTATCTCAGTGATCATAGGTTTGACATCTTTCCATGTACGGCAAGTTTCTATGTTTTGGTAGGATAAAAACTAAAGCTCAAACTCTAATAATGTTAGAATAAAGTTACACAGAGAAGACTGTTTTCTTTGCTCATAACCAACATTTCTTTTCATTTGTTGTGTCAAATGTTTAAAATGAATCTACACAGAGAAGACTGTTTTCTTTGCTCACTACAAATGTCTTTTTAATTGTTTTGTTAAATGTTAAAATGAACCTACAGATGCACAGAAGAGTTTCCTTTGCTCAATACAAATATATCTTTTCATTTGTTGTGTCAAATGCTAAAATGAATCTGCACAGAGAAAACTGTTTCCTCTGCTCACTACAAATATGTCTTTTAGTTAAAATTGAGAATGGAAATGGGGAATGGGGAACAACCCGACCAAATAGCAGAAAACAGCCGAAGGCCACCAATGGGTCTTCAACACAGCGAGAAAATCCCACTCCCTGAGGCGGGCTTTAGTTGGCCCCTAAACAAAATGTGTACTAGTTCAATGAAAATGGATGTCACACTAAACACCGAAACATATAAATGAACTAAAATTAAAAAAATAAATTATAAGACTAACAAAGGCCAGAGGCTCCTGACTTGGAACAGTTGTTTTGTTAAATGCTAAAATGAATCCACACAGGGAAGACTGTTTCCTCTGCTCACAACACATTTTTTTTTTTTTATTTGTTGTTAAATGTTAAAATGAATCTACACAGGGAAGACAGTTTCCTTTGGTCACTACACGTACCAAATTGTCTTTTTAAATGTTGTTTTTTTTATATTTATTTTCTAATTACTTGTACCCTATTTAATATCTCTCTCTTTAGACACTCTTGTTATCCAACCTTAAATTATCATTTCTTCTATTAAACAATGAACTGTTCTTTTTTGGCACACATTATAAGACTAATTTGAACCTCAAGTATCAAGCCTCCAACAATGATATGCAGTGCATCATGGGTATTCATTATACTGTCAAACCTGCTATAAAGGTCACCTCTATTAAGCAAAAACCTGTCTCTACTGGTTACCCTCTTCTTGTCTACCTGTAGTATAGTACCTATGCATTTGAACATCGATTCAAAGGTTACCAGTCTTTTTAAGGTCAGTTTTATCTGGTCCTGAGGGTGACCTTAATTTACCGGTTTGATTTTAAACCATATTAGTTTCAATATGAGACAACAAATATCAACTGTTTTAAATGTCTGCACTCAGATTGTCCCTTGTCAATGATTTTCAAGTTTTTGGCAAAGCCCTTAATCAAAGGTAGAAGTAGCAGAATAATGCCATGGCAGAAATGAAGATGTCAATTTTAACATGCAGTGGCAGATTCAGGGGAGGGATTAGAGGGCGTGTCCTTTGAATGTAGAAAATATAATTTTTTTGGCATTAAATCGCCCAAAATTTTTCAGAAATTACACCCCAATATTTTTTCCCTGTAATTCTGAAAGTTTACATATATATAAAACCATAAGGGATAAGTCTTACAGATACTTTTTTAAGATTGGTTACAGCCTCCAGTGTAAATAATCCGAAATAAATTATTAAAACGTCAATAAAATTTGAATCAATATCTTTACTTAGTGAATACCCTGCTTATAACAGCTGTTCAACAAAGTTCAATAATATATAGAATATCAAGGAGATGGTAACCACTTTGTATACTTGAATCTTGTGTCTGGATAATAAAATATTTTAATAAAATAGGTTTAAATGAGCCTGAAGTTGGCAGTTTTTTGATGCGCCATGTTTAGATTTTTTGTGTAATATTTTTAGAAAATTGATAGACAAAGCTTATAATTGAAACATCATTTTATTTTATTTTTTTTTATTTTTGTGTGTTTGTTTTCCCTTTTTTAAATGTAAAGTGTGTTCCCTTTTGAATTTCTACACAAGAATATTCCTTCTTTGTCATTCTTTTTGTTTTGTTTTTTTGCATACACATAGGCGGATCCAGGGGGGGGGGCCCCCTTTTGTGGGAAAAATTTGGTTGATTATATAGGGAATCACTGAAGCATGACTGGAGCAGGCCCCCCTTATGAAAAGTTCTGGATCCGCCACTGATACATCTTTTTGTTTCTTCAACAGTTATATCAAGTTCAGCAAACAACACAGCAGTAAGGTAGCCAAGCTTTTATTTTTCAACAAGTTTAAAAACTTACAAGATTTCAAATCTGTGTATAAATATATAATTGATTATTGAAACTGATATTTTGAAATGGACTTCAACAATAACAAGTGTATAAATAAGTATAAATCTATGCAATGCTTGGACGGATTTGAAATAAATTGATTTTTCAGTAGTATAAAGTAATATTTAAATACATCAAATATAATTCAATTATACAGAAAACATGTTTTCTAAATGAAAAACAAACTTCTCTTTTTCAGTCTTTTAAGAAACAAATATTTATTGTTTAGAAACTTATCAAAACATGACGTTCAAAAATTACAAACAAATATTCTAAAGCGAGAACGTTTTTTTGTTGAAAATATTAAATGTTCTTATGTGGCAAATAATATTGAGCATAAAGTATCAATTAAATTTTATCAATTAAAAATTTCAAAGTATTTTGATTATTCTAATAAGCCAAAAGTAAATCTAATTAAGATTCAGATCTATCAAATTTCTTATACCATCTTAATATTGGAATGCTTATGTACCAAATACATTACATAAAATAAAACTAAAAAATAAAACTTTATAGTAAGATTGTAAAACATCACAGCAGAAAAGAAACAACACGTACAAGGCACAAAGTTCTTAACTTGTACTTAATATGCATGACTTAACGTCCTCAAATTGTCACAAAGTATTAAAAAATAAACCTTTTTAAATCCTTCGTTCTAATCATATTTCATGCAAAGACTCTATCAGGATTTTTCTTTAGTAAAATCCAATTATTTCAATTAACTTTACTAGTTTGTAAGTCTTAAAATGCTAATTATAGTTCAAGCTGATCTATGCACTTTGAAACTAATTACACTGGTACAATACATATAAATTCAATAAAGTTCAAAGGCTATCATTTTGCCGATTTAAATGTTTAGTAGTTGAGTGCACACAACATTGCAACTCCACGTTTTATCCAGTGCTTCTGTTCTTTATCTGTTGGAAGTTCCACAGAAAATACAAAGTTGGTAGAGTGACCAGTGGTTGACAGAGTTCCTGAATAAAAGAAAAAAAAAACATGCATAAATTGGTTGATTTGTTCTTATCTATGATTTCAAAAGCACAGGGTTTTATCAGTGCACCAGATATTGCTGTTCAAATTTATCAAACGTTCATACATTCCAACAACAAAATTCAGTAACAGGGACCCAGTATCATTGTAACAAACATCATAGCAATATACAGTACAGTAAACTGTATTTCTGTCATGGAATTCCATTTTTACCATAAGCTATCCATTAGGTCAACTATACAGATTGTTACAGATAATTTAAGAAAAACTATTATCCGTGGAAATTAAATTACTTGGATTCAAGTAATTTGGATTTTATATCAACTAAAATAGTTTAAAAAAAAGCTTGTTTTACAATATAAAAAGAATGTAGTTTTAAAATTTTCCACACCAATACAATCGAAAAATGGAATTACTTAATTTATCCCCAGGATAGATTTTCTAAATGCAGTTGGCCATAAGCAGTTTAAAAGTTTACATAATTATAATGGAAAATGTTTAATCAAGGAATAAAAGCAATAAAATAGAATGGTCATTATTTGAAGAGCTGACAATCTTTTATTGTAATATCTAACAGTAAAGGTCTATAACGTGTGAAGTTTAGGTGTACTTACCTCAGTGGGGTTTTAAATTTAAATTATGTCGTGATTTTTTTCTGGGTGAAAATTTGGGATAAAATATTTATCTAAATGACCTTCACATCCTGTTCATTTGAACTCTGGAGGATAGTTGTCTCATTGGCACTCATACCACATCTCCATGTTTTTATTTTATTGAATTTTCTAAAAATTTGATTTCATATATTTCCCATTTATTGATAGCTACAAGTAAAGTTTTTGCATGTATTCTAACACACTTTGATTTTTTGTTAATAATGGTAAATTTATTCATTTAATGGATGCAATAATTAAATTAATAACCATTGTATACTTACACACATATAGGTGTCAGACCACCAATTCAAAATCCCTATCTATTCAAACAAATTTTACAAATTTCTCAGCTTTCTAAATATTTTACCTTAAGTTTAACTTCATAGAAACCAGGTATATCCTGAATTGTACATGTATCATATTTCTTCATGCCAGTTTTCAACCTATGTTTAAAGTCTTGCAAGGAAATACTAACATTCGGAAGACAAGTACTGCTAAAAATCATCTTAAATAAGTATACTATGGAGTGCATTAATTCTCAATTTTTCATGTAAACTCATGGACAAGTAAATTTTGGCTCAAAATGGTCTACATATATTTCTCTTTCAACAAGTTTCATTTCTGCAAATTTGTTGGTTAGTTTAAGTAAACAATGACATCAAAAGCACTATTTTTTGTCAAGGAAGGGCTACTTTACATACTTCTAAATTGGAGTGGGTGAATTGGTGGTTTGACACCTAAAGTATTTCTAATGAATTATATTCGTCAATTTTTTGTTGTTGATTTTTTTTCCCTAAAAATTGAAAATTAAAAAACCCACAAATTTATATTATGAAAAAATTGAACACAACCATATTTTACTTTGAAAATAACTCAAAGTAATACTGAGTAAAAAAAATTAATTTAGCAACAAATATTTTTAATGCTATATTTCAAAAATTAATTATACTTCTAAAAATAACAATAAACAATTTATTGTATCAAAGAAAATAAACCATATGTCAAAGAGTCAATTCTTTATTGACAGTAAAAAATATTAAAAATATATTTCCCCATCTTTGTAAATGTTTATTTCGAAGATTTTAAATTAAAATGTATGTTGCTAAACTTAACTTACTCAGTATATTTGTTATTACAGTTTGCTGTTTTGTATCACTAAAGGGGTTTTCAAATCCCCTCCCCAAAACCTTTTCAATAAGTGATCCTGTGCAAATCATTATGGGATATAAATCATTATTAACATTTCAACTTTTCTGATAATTATAATTTTTTTATTTATATATATGGATTATAGCCATTATAAATTGTTAACCATAAATTACATGTCTCATCTTCATATCAATATTAAAGTGTGACAGCAGGGCAAAAATATAGATCCTAGCAATGCTACAAATCAATATGTAATTCTATGTATTTAGTTATGTTTTCATTTCAGGAAAAGTCTTATTTGGCTTTCTGCGAATTGTATGATATCATACTTTTAACTTAATCCATTTCAACAATAAATAACAGTAGTAAATCTTAATACATAGCATTTTCAGGCAATTCTGTGAATAACATCTATGCAATCTAGAATTTTGATGGCACTAAGCAAAAACTTTACATAAATAGAAAGTTTTTGGGGAAACTTTCATCTTTCAACTTTACGAGTACATTTTGTTAGCAGTTAAAAATTGTCTGTTAGCCTGAAAAATTATAAAGTTTTCTTTACAAAAAAAACAAACAAAAACAAACTTTTTCTTATATGTTTTAACTTATAAACTAATGAATAGAAGAGGTTTAAAGATGGAAACTGCCAATGAAAGAGCTCAAATAACCAAAACATTACTTTTTTCGCAGTTCTTCATCTTAAAAGAGGCTAAATGATTTTCAAGTGACTTCTCAAAGAACCATACCCTAAACCTGGCCTACTAAATTAAACCACTGGCGTCAGTCTTAGCTACAACTTTGATAACCTATATATATGTTTGTTTGTTGAGTTGTGATGAAACTTTATGTTCATTCCGCAAATTAATTGAAGTCGGTTATTTTAAGTAGAAGAAACTAGGTTGCTGGGGGTATTCTATTGCATGAAGTGACAATGGGTGGGACCCACTTTGTCCTTTTGCAAATTTCCAGAGTAATTTTTTAACATCTTTAGAAAAATTAATAAACCATGGCCTTTTGAAAGTAACTGACAAAAGATACATTCCATCTAATAATTTTTAATTAATGTTGATAGGCAGAAGTGATCAAGACTTTCACAATAAAGGTAGTACCAACTAAACAGACAACTGAGACCCTTAACCACTTAGGCAATAAAGAAAGGACCAACTAAACAGACTACTGAGACCATAAACCACCCAGGCAATAAAGGTAGGACCAACTAAACAGACCACAAGACCATAAACCACACAGGCAATAAAGGAAGGACCAACTTAACAGACCACTGAAACCCTCAACCACCCAGTCAATAAAGGTTGGACCAACTTAACAGACCACTGAGACCATTAACCATCCAGGCAATAAAGGTAGGACCATATAAACAGACCACTGAGACCCTCAACCACCCAGGCAATAAAGGTAGGACCAACTAAACAGATCACTGAGACAATCAACCACACTGGCAATAAAGGTAGGACCAACTAAACAGATCACAAAGACCCCCAGCCACACAGTTAGGACTAACTAAACAGTCCTATGATACCCTCAACCACCCAGGCAATAAAAGAAGGACCAAGTAAACAGACCACTAAGACCCCAACCACCCGGACAATAAAGGAAGGACCAACTAAACAGATGACTGAGACCCTCAACCACCGAGGCAATAAAGATTGGACCAACTAAACAGACCACTGAGACCATTAACCACCCAGGCAATAAAGGAAGGACCAACTAAACAGAGCACTGAGACCCTCAACCACACAGGCAATAAAGGTAGGACCAACTAAACAGATCACCCAGATTCTCAACCACACTGGCAATAAAGGTAGGACCAACTAAACAGATCAGTGAGACCCCTAGCCACCCAGGCAATAAAGGAAGGACCAACTAAACAGACCACTGAGACCCTCAACCACACAGGCAAAAATGTAGGACCAACAAACAGACCACTGAGACCATCAACCACACAGGCAATAAAGGGAGGACCAACTAAACAGACCACTTAGACCCTCAACCACCCAGGCAAAAAAGGTAGGACCAACTAAACAGACCACTGAGACCCTCAACCACCCAGGCAATAAAGGTAGGACCAACTAAACAGACCACTGAGACCCTCAACCACCCAGGCAATAAAGGTGGGACCAACTATACAGACCGCTGAGACCCTCAACCATCCAGGCGCAATAAAGGTAGGACCAACTAAACAGACCACTGAGACCCTCAACCATCCAGGCAATAAAGGCAGGACCAACTAAACAGACCACTGAGACCCTCAACCACCCAGGCAATAAAGGTAGGACCAACTAAACAGACCACTTAGACCCTCAACCACCCAGGCAATAAAGGAAGGACCAACTAAACAGACCACTGAGACCCTCAACCCCACAGGCAATAAATGTAGGACCAATTAAAAAGATCACCAAGACTCCCAGCCACCCAGGCAATAAAAGTAGGACCTTTGAGACCCTCAACACCTCAGGCAATAGAGAACATTTGTATGAAAATGAAAGGTACTTTTGACAAACAAAAGTATTCCTACAAATTAATTCCCTAAAATATCCCTAACCAAAAACAATACTGTTTTTCTCTTTATTGTTTTTAGCATACATTAGGCTTATGGTTTAAAGGTTTCCATCCGGGGGCCTTTAATAGCTTATAAAACCATTTGAGTTTTTTTCATTGTCGAAGGCTGCACAATGACATGTAGTTGTTATTGGTCTCTGGTGGATAGTTGTCTCATTGGCAATCATACCACATCTCCTTACCTTTTTATATTTATAAATAACTCAGTTCTGTCACAATTATAATTGGACCATCAAACACAAGCTCACATGCTAGTGAACATAAAGTGACAAGTAAAATGGTAATCAGATACATCTGGCATCTGATTCCATATCAAACAGCTGATCCTTAAGTGCAATATTCTCTTCTGTCTATATCTGGATTAAGGTTTTTAGATTTGTCACATGTAAAACAAAAATAAATGTTGTGAAGGTGTCTTTATTGTCTTGTTGTTTAGTTAACTGCTGTTAGTTTACATCATGTGATACTCCTTGTATTCTTATTTCTTTATGAGTGAAGTAGGGGTAAAACCTTCCTCTTTCCTCTCTTACACATTATTTTCTCACCTCTTTTTTTTCATCATCCCTAATTTTAACCATTCCATTTTCCCCCTTAAAATTCTATATTTAAGGGTCAAGATAGGGTTAACAGAATACAAAATAATGGTTAAAAAAAATATAGTCTAAGAGAAAAATGAGTGACAGAATAGTGTATAATAGGGAGCTAAATTTGGGCGAAAAACTAGTAAAATTCAAGAGGACTGGCTTAAAAAATAATTGAAATCCAGAAGAGTGCACACGCTGAAATGTCTCGCCTTCTTTACTAATCATTGATATTATGTTGATAGTCCTAAATATAAAGCTTTATTACAACTGTCACATAAACTTATTATTAACCAAGTAAACTAAACATTGACCAATGAACCATGAAAATGAGGTCAAGGTCAGATGAACCATGCTAGGCAGGCATGTACAGCTAACAATTCTTCCATACAACAAATATAGTTGACCTATTGCTTTTAGTTTAAGAAAAACAGACCAAAACACAAAAACTTAACACTGAGCAATGAACCTTGAAAATGAGGTCAAGGTCAGATGACACCTGCCAGTTGGACATGTACACCTTACAGTCCTTCCATACACCGAATATACTAGACCTATTGCTTATAGTATCTGAGATATGGACCTGACCACCAAAACTTAACCTTGTTCACTGATCCATGAAATGAGGTCGAGGTCAAGTGAAAACTGTCTGACAGGCATGAGGACCTTGCAAGGTACGTACATACCAAATACAGTTATCCTATTACTTATAATAAGAGAGAATTTAACATTACAAAAAATCTTAACTTTTTTTTCAAGTAGTCACTGAACAATGAAAATGAGGTCAAGGACATTGGACATGTGACTGACGGAAACTTCGTAACATGAGGCATCCATATACAAAGTATGAAGCATCCAGACCTTCCACCTTCTAAAATATAAAGCTTTTAAGAAGTTAGCTAACGCCGCCGCCGGATCACTATCCCTATGTCGAGCTTTCTGCGACAAAAGTAGCAGGCTCGACAAAAATGGTCTTAATATTAAAATAATACAGAAATGAAAACCTCATATACTAGTGCAGGTATATGGATATCAGTTGTTTTCAATCAAACTTCTTAGTTCTATCAGCCTTGTGTAAGCCTAAACAAAGTCTTCCTTTCCACTACATAAATACACACCAGCTTTTAGTGTGATTTACATATTGAACAATAACAAATTTCATCTATTGGATTTTTTTTTTGTGCACAAAATTACATGTACTACTAGGCTCAAGTTTCATTAAACATGTAAGATTTCTCCTCTATTTTCTTCAACACAGTTGAATGGGATTAAAAGGTAAAATCACAAAAATACTGAACTCTGAGGAAAATTCAAAAAGGAAAGTCCCCAATCAAATGGCAAAATCAAAAAAACAAACACATCAAATGAATGGATAACAACTGTCATAATCCTGACTTGGTACAGGCATTTTCTTATGTAGAAAATGGTGGATTGAACCTGGTTTTATAGCTAGCTAAACCTCTCACTTGTATGACAGTCGCATCAAATTCCATTATATTGACAACGATGCGTGAACAAAACAAACAGACACAATAGGTAAAAATGTCAAAAATAAGGGTATAGCAGTCAACATTGTGTTATCATCTTAATCACTATAAAAACAAACAAATGTAACGAAGAAGCACAACTAGAGGCTCTAAAGAGCCTGTGTCGCTCACCTTGGTCTATGTGCATATTAAACAAAGGACACAGATGGATTCATGACAAAATTGTGTTTTGGTGATGGTGATGTGTTTGTAGATCTTACTTTACTGAACATTCTTGATGCTTACAATTATCTCTATCTATAATGAACTTGGCCCAGTAGTTTCAGTGGAAATTATTTTGTAAAAATTTACAAAATTTATGAAAATTGATAAAAATTGATTATAAAGAGCAATAACTCCTTAAGGGGTCAATTGACCATTTTGGTCATGTTGACTTATTTGTAGGTCTTACTTTGCTGTACATTATTGCTGTTTACAGTTTATCTCTATCTATAATAATATTCAAGATAATAACCTAAAGCTGAAAAAATTTCTAAAAATTACCATTTCAGGGGCAGCAACCCAACAACGGGTTGCCTGAATGGTCTGAAAATTTAAGGGCAGATAGATCTTGACCTAATGAACAATTTCGTTTTTGAAAGATTTGCTCGAAATGCTTTGGGTTTAGATATATGAGCCCAAAACTGCATTTTACCCTATGTACTATTATTAGCCATGTCCGCCATCTTGGTTCACGGGCGAGGTCATCAGACACAATTTTTAAACTACATACCTAATAATGATTGTTTACAACTTTGGTTAAATTCATCTTAGTATTTTCAGAGGAGGATTTTTGTAAAAGATTTACGAAAAATTGTTAAAAATTGACTATAAAAGGGCAATAACTCCTTAAGGGGTCAACTGACCATTTTGGTCATGTTGACTTATTTGTAGAACTTACTTTGCTGAACATTATTGCTGTTTACAGTTTATCTCTATCTATAATAATATTCAAGATAATAACCAAATACGACAAAATTTCCTTAAAATTACTAATTCAGGGGCAGCAACCTAACAACAGGTTGTCCGATTCATCTGAAAATTTCAGGGCAGATAGATCTTGACCTGATTAACATTTTTACCCCATGTCAGATTTGCTCTCAATGCTTTGGTTTCAGAGATATAAGCCAAAATCTACATTTTACCCCTATGTTCTATTTTTAGCCATGGTGGCCATCTTGGTTGGTTGGCCGGGTCACCAGACACATTTTTTAAACTAAATACCCTAATGATGATTGTGGCCAAGTTTGGTTCAATTTGGCCCAGTAGTTTCAGAGAAGAAGATTTTTGTAAAAGTTTACGGATGACGGACGACGGACGCCAAGTGATGAGAAAAGCTCACTTGGCCCTTTGGGCCAGGTGAGCTAAAAAGGCATACATCAAATTTAACATCCTCATTTTGCTTATATTATACGATTTTATTTATCTATGTAAAATCCAACCATAAAGGATGGAAGGTATTAAGTATTGGCGTATAATACAGATCCCATAATCATGATTGGCTTACAAGTACAAGGATATGACAATTAACACTCCATTCTAATTTTTGTTCTGATAATTTTACACCAACCAATGAAGTTCTTGCTTAGCATTTCTTAAGGTTTGTAATTTTACAATAAAACCAAAGAATCCCCCAAAAAAGTAATCAGATACTAAAACAGCATGATCAGATCTTTTATAAGGGAAGCCTGGACACATAAGATATTTCTGATAAGAAATATACTGTCATACAAGTGAGAGGTTTAGCTAGCTATAAAACCAGGTTCAATCCACCATTTTCTACTTAAGAAAATGCCTGTACCAAGTCAGGAATATGACAGTTGTAATCCATTCGTTTGATGTGTTTGTTTTTTGATTTTGCTATTTGATTGGGACTTTCCTTTTTGAATTTTCCTCGGAGTTCAGTATTTTTGTGATTTTACTTTTTATCAGTATCTAAGGGTAAACTGCAGGGTTTATAAGGATTTTATGGATCTGGATAAATTTCCCTCCCTCCTGTAAATACATACCAGCTCTTGTAAGTGTTTTATATGCAGGGCAATCATAGACTCCTTCAGTTGGGATTTTCCGATTGGATTCTGGTTGTAGCCAAAGTACTGGCATTTCAGTATAAAGCTCCTTTGGACGTGACTCTCCTAACATATGGCGAGCAAAATCCCAGCGACAACCCTCAGCATACAATCCATAGATGTAACAACCGTCTGCTGGGCTTTCTTTCAATTCTTCTCTGGCTTCTCTCTGTACCTATAGAATCAGAAGTAAGAACTGTTGAAAATAATGTCATTTTAAGACTGTTTATCAACGGTACATTTTAAAAGGTGGACATTTTTATAGTAAAAATTGTTCATTCTGGTAAATCAAACTTTATTTTTTGTTTAAACTATTCAAGAATTTAATTGCCATGTTTTTAAATAATGAGAAAAAAAAACAAAAAAATATTTATGGAATATTCCACTTCCATGTCTCTACCAACATTTTGTTCTTGTTAACAGTAAAATTAGACACTGTTTTCAATAAATCCAAGCCAAAATTCTTAAATTTTGGTAAAAGAACTGGGATCTAAATGTTAGACAAGCTCTTTTACCAATTTGTCCAATGTTTCTAAATTTGCAATTCTTAGATCACTGCATTTCTTTAATGTGATTTTTAACTTTTAAAAGTTGGCTCATACACTTGACTAGATTCAAGGATCAAAGTCTGTGTAAAAAGGCAATACTAGAAAGGACTGTACATCTTTTTTTAAGTATTCAACAAAAGTACAAGAAAATTACTGATTCAGCAAAACTTAAACTAATTGGAAAACTAATAAAAGATTTAAATAGTATTGTTATATCATAACTGTAAAAAACTGTTATAATTATTTTCAACTCTACATTGGACAAAATTTGATGAATATCGGTTGTATAAGATATATACAAAAGTACAGATCAATAACTATGGTAACAGCTTTCTAAGTTAGGCGGATTGTAAATGTTGATTTCATCGTAAATTTGTTATTTAATCAATTTTGTCAACAAATATCCCACCATAGGACATTTGAGATAAAATTCATAGATTTCATCCAATTACAGAGACAGATTTTTTTCTTTTTATGAGCAATGAATAAATTGATTACTGCATCCATAAGATATAAATCGGTCTATCAGCTGTGACATCACAGTCAGAGAAGTTAATCAAATTTATGTTCAATCATTGATTTAATAAAAGGAAATCTAAAACTTTAATTTAAAAAAAAAAAATAACAAACATGGAGAAGGCTGAAGAAAACATGGAATTTACTATCGGGCAGGACTAAAAACTAATTTATAGTTTTATCATTCAATCTATTTCTTTCCAGGAATTATGGTAAAGGCAGTATATGGCAACACATGATATATAGCAATATTCAAAATACTTATATCCAGCAATAAACATTTTTAAAACTTTAAAACTTTATTCTCTAAAAATAAAAATAAAAAAAAAAAAACTGGTATAAAGCCATTTTATCTGCTTGATGCCTTAAACTCATATTTTGTAACATAAAATACTTAACCTGCAAAAAATGAAGACAGCCAATTTTTAAAAGCAAAAAATTTGTTATTATGGAAAAACCAGTCTCTTATTACACGTATATATAAAGCTTGTATCAAAGCATATCTGAAGTCTATTACCCAGTCTCCTAAATAAAACTTCAATTCAGTGAACCTGATTCTGGGAAAAGTCACTTAAAACTTTGAAGTACAAGTCATTGTAATACAATCTCCTCACGTATAAGTGTCTAATTACCAGTAATTTTATGTACGAGGAGTGACTATAGTAGCCAGTCTCTTATTACATGTGAAATGTTTTTTTTTTTAACTGGTTTCCTATTATATGAGAAGATTGTTATCTCCTCTTGTATCAGGAACTGGTAACAGACCTTTATGAGAATTGTATTTAAGTTTCAAGACTCTATATGTTTGGAAACATCATAAGTTTCATGAGTCTTATGGATATTTAATAAGTTTCAATACTCATTTTGTATTATAATCTCCCTTTACCAGTAATATTGATTAATTGATTGGTGATTGCTTTATGCCACATCAGCACAAAAAGGATATATCGCGGCGATCTACCAGTAATAACAAACATGACCATGGTTAATGTCACAAATGTCCTCCAACATATCAGATAAATATATTTTAATAAATAATGGTAACAGATTTTGGAATCCATGTTTCGGGATGCAAAAACTGTTATTAACTCTGAAATTTCAAGCACATGTACAAAACTTAATGAAATGTCAATATTGTTGTGTATTATGCAACACCAACACTCAAAAGGTATTTTTTATACTTTATATAAATTATATAATATACTGAGTGCCAATAGAAAAGCAACACCTGCATGCATCTTCCATTATAAAATTCTAACCATCCTATCTACTATAAAGTTGACAGATCATTGCAATATTGTTCAGATATCATATGACATATGCATACAGATTAGTTCTGACAATTTTTAGAGAATTCCAATTTTAGGATCAAGAAGTTTATAAACTCTACATTTTTACAGAAAAATTGTAATGGAATATTTTAATATTACAGACTTTTGACTCTGAAGTACATAATTTATCACTCAGGGGAGGGGGGCTTCCTATATACAAGGTGATAGGACGTGCCGCAAGCTTGAAAATATGTGAATAGGTCGGGAAAACTATCACAAATATATGATAAGGTCAATAAAGTTCCCATAACTTTTGGTATTCCACTTTTACATTACACACCACAGAAACCCAAACAATATGGGGAAAAGGTAACAGTTTTACCTATGCAATATATGAAAAGGTATATATTTTTAAAATCTAAATTATATGAAAAGGGTGGGGTAACAGAACCCCTATCAATTAAGTAATGAAGAGCTTGATTTCACTTCTTTTAGTTGCTCTTACTTGACCGAGTACCAGAGTGCCTTACCACAGAGTAGGTAACCTGTATAATCAGAGTAAGTTGGTAATATGAAAATAGTCCATTGGCACCTTGGAAGGCAAATCTCAACTATGATTAACCCCTCTTGCAAAAATTATTGAACACATTAATATTGTTTAACAATGCACCTTTGCATTTGGTCCAGAGTGATCAAAAAAGGACCAAAAGTGACTCTGAAAATCATTTCTTGCATTTCTATTGGCCTTCTTTTCATATTTATACATGAACTTATGATGCTTAATGTTTTACTCAAAGGATCAGAAAGTCATAATTCAATGGTTCAAAACATGGCAGTGAAAACAAATGTTTAATCAGATGGGGGAACTGAAATGATTCAAGAATAAAACATAAGACCAATTGCTTAAACAGAATTGATAAAATAGTGGGAAGAGGGGGGATTTGGGGAGGGTCAATCCCAAAATATATGAAAGTGTAAATTTCCTATGATTTCTAAATTTACAAGAAAAAAAGTTTACTAATAGTCCAATTGTCTAAATGCAATTTAACCTACATGTACAAGTGGTTAGTGACATGAACATTTTTTATAGCCAAACAAACCCCAAAATAACTTTCCTGTTTAGAAAGTAAATTCTCTTAATTATATGATAAAAGCTCGTAACTTTTAGAGCTAACTAGTTTGATACAGCAACTTATTTCTAGTGGTCGATGCACTTTTATGGTAATCTATTCAAAATGAAGAAAAGATTATAAATTGAAAATATATAGATCTAAATGCATTAAAAGTAGATAAATTTTTATTGCTTTAGTGAAAAAGAGAGAAAAATACATTTGCTAGTTAAATCAAATGCAATGAAATTAAAAGATAAGTAGAAAAGTAATATAGTATAGATAATGTATGTTGATGACAACAGAAAAAACGTCATTATTTGATGGAACTGACGTACACTGAAAAAAAATCATCAATTTGATGAAATCTTGAACAAAAATGAATCGTAGAGTATATGCCCTGCCAAGTACAAATATAATGATCAAAATCTAATGAACCTATAAACTTCGTAACTTTCTAAAGCTTAAAGGTAATTTCTGTATAAAAACGGGGATCAAATGTACCGTTATTTTTAAAAGGTCAACTTGCTAACTTCTACATCATTTGGTCTCTGGTGGAGAGTTGTCTCATTGGCAAGCATACCACATCTTCTTATTTTTATATATTGCGTGTCATGGACACAAAATAACAAAGTTTACAAAATTATCAATACTGCACATTTACTGAAACAAATATTTCCAAATCAAATAAATCACATCTACCTACAAGCCCACCTTACAACTTCATGACAAATTCATAAACATCTTATTGGATTTGTCTATAAAAAGACTATTTCATTAAAAGTATTAATTCATTGTAAATTATATTATTCACCCAATATATTAGATCAACAAGATCAATCGTGACGAATTGAATTAAAGATCCGATTTCAGATTAAACATGTCTCCCACGGGTGTTGAAGCTGTCCTTTACATTGTAAATATAATAAAACCTTACTGGTTTATTCTCTTAATTCTAAAGATAAATTAAATATTAGTTGTTTGTTTTCATGTTTTTAATGATACAAAATAATTGTAGTCAATCGTTCCAAAAAAAAAAAAAATTAAATGACACTGGTAATAAAATGATGGGAACATCCTGTATAACTTCTTAGAACATGTATTGAAAATTTTGACCTTGACCTTGTTATAAATAAATAAATCCTCAGATTTTCTTGTTATTTGTCCGTACGTTAATTTAGATATACAAAACCTCAGATTTTCTTGTTATATGTCCTTAAGTTAATTTAGATATACAAAACCTCAGATTTTCTTGTTTTTTTTTGTCTTTAAGTTAATTTAGATATATAAAACCTCAGATTTCCTTGTTATTTGTCCTTGCATTTGTTGATGAATTAAGATATAGCATTATAGATGTATAAACCAATCTATCTATTGATGTAGTAAATGCTAAGTGTATACATGTATTTAAATGTCACAAGTAGACTTGTGGTAAATCCTTGCTGTTCCAAATTTGTAATGAAATATTCAGTACAGTAGTTTTGAAAGTGGCTTAAGATAATATTACCACCATAGAAGTACTATAGTTTTTGCTGTAATACTTCCATAGTACTATCAACTTATTTGTATGGCTTATCATTTAACTGTATTTACTTAATAAGTGCTGATGCGACGTAAAGCAATCACCAATCAATGGATGTATTTACTTAAAATCTCTGGCCCTAGCTGTGCTTTGAATGAATCATAAAATCAGTGTAGTCAGAAAATAAATAAAGACCATGAAGACCGGTACTAATAAAATGATGGGAAGATCCTGTAAACTTCTTAGAACATGTCCTGGAACATGCTGATGAATTGGCAACCTTGACCCTGTTGTATAAAACTACACAAATATACCTCAGATTTCCTTGTTATATGACCTTATGTTAGTTTAGATGTAGTAAATTCTTACTGTATATTTAAATTTCATAAGGTAACTTCTGGTGATTGCTTGATGTTCTCAATTTGCAATGAAATATTCAGCACCAAAGTAAAGTGGTACTATCAGAGAAGTACTATAGTATAGTTATAATACTTCCATTGTACTGTCAACTGATCAGTGTCCTCAATTTTGTATGGTTTATCTATTTACTGTAAACTGGTAAATATATCATAATAAAAACTCCTGACCTATAACCCCGATCCTTTACATACACTCTCTCAGCACCAACATTAAATGTAATTCATAATTTTACAATAATTAACCCAAACAAAATTATGAGGTAAATCCCCTTTAAAGTTGGAGTTTTTATGGCATTTTAAAGGTGATGTCGGATATGAATCAATGTCTTCTTTTGTTTTAAGTCAAATCTTATGAGGCAAGGATTTATACATCCCTGCATGAGGTGAGTCCTTGAAATTAAAATATATATTGTTTTCTGGACTGAAAGTGACTTATAGGGTAAATGTGAGAACTTAAAACCTTATACAGGAAGAATGAACAGAAAACTGGACATATATGCAAAGACTAGAAAACTAAATGCCCCCCTCTATTGTAGGATGGGAATAAAAAAAAACAGTATGTCTGTAGGTTGGTATTGTTTAACCTCACAACTCCTTATTTTAGCGTCTCTCATAGCTTCAGCATCCTATTAACCTCAGATTACCCAATATGTACTACTAATGACTGAGTGAACAAATAAATAAAGTTGTATTAGTAGCCCTATGGTTGGAGGGCATTAGGCCAAAATATGTATACGATTGCTTCTCCTCAACCCAACTGAATGTAGGGGGAGTTGGGTTGCACAGGATGGTTGGTTGGAAGGTGCAAATCTCTGAATTCAAGAAAAAATGGTAGTGCACCAAATGTTGGTTGACTACTCATCAGAAGGTTTGAGTTTTCTTCAAATCTTTAAAAAACATTGGCCAAATTCTCAAATGAAATTATGTGTTCATATCCCATCTTGACCTCAAGGTATTAGCTACGGTACTTGAAACCACAGTCTACTTTGTAGCATAGGTAACTTAAAGGACCTTTTTCAAAAAGAATACCAGCATGCATTGTCCAGGTACTACAAAACCATGACCAGGGGTATGGGGGGAACAGAATTGTGGCCCTATAAGGGGCAAATAACTGTCTAAACAATATCATTACATTTAGATGCATATTCCCCCAAAAAATCTAAAAAAAAATCATCAAATGTAAACCTGAGTTTTAAGTGTATAAAAAAATGATAAGTAAAAAGTTTACAACAACAGTTTGACAGATGTTATCTAGTAAATTTCGTGTCACAATCTGCCTTTGAAATTTGCAAGACTAGTAATGTGTTATTAATTATTTATCATGTAAATGCACTTTCGTACAGAAAACAAGTGTTACATAATTTCATGTGAAAGTTTATCTTGATTTCCTTAGAAATCAAGAACATGTATCTTTAATTATATCTTCTGTTATGAGACTAATTCCATAGGCTTTAAATTCCTGTGGTTTTATAATACTAAGTTGAAACTAAATAAAAAAAATCATTTTAAGCTAGATTTTGATTTTTTTTTCTCCAAAAAGCAAAATCAGGTATGGAACAATTTATTTCAACTGATGAAAAAGTAGGTAGGGAATTTCCCCAGATGTGATTGAATTTGCACCTGACCTCCCCAAAGGTGTACTGCTAGTCACCACCATGTATGTATTTTATTTATCATTCTCCTTTGATTCAACATGAATTAGCTATTAAATGTTTTAATTATAGGGAAGATAGAAATCAGATTACAATTACAAATAATATGTTCCATAGACAAGGCCTCTGGTGGCCTCAGGTGTACAACACGGTTTGACAATAGTCTAGAAGTATTGCATGACTGGTTGCCATTATTATTTTTAGAATACGGTGGATTCATTATTATTTGTGGGATACAGATTTTCATGAATTTTCTGGGTAAAGATGATCCACAAAACTTAAATGTTCAATGGAGTGCAAATTTTCAATAGGCTTTCATGCAGACTTTGGAAAAACCATGAAATCAAATATCCACGAAAGTATATTTTATCCTCATTCCACAAAAATTGATACATGTACCCACGAAAATAAATGAATCCATATAAAAAGTCAAAAGTCAATGTCACTTCCTGCAAAAATTCTCTGATATAAGCTCCTGTTAGATAGTATTGTACACTACTTCCTCAACAGCCTTAAAATCTTTGAAACAGCAAAAAGATAAGCACTTCAGAAGCATACAGTTTCAGGAAATAGTTCAAATTGACTGAAAAAGTATGTATCAATATTAGCAGGAAACAAGAAATTGTTAACTTCCTGAGTATGAGCTGATGGGAAATAACTGTAGCATGAAACCTTCCGGAATTTTTTCCACTTACAATCAATCTTGTTAACTGTATATGACAGCTACCTCGCCTCTCATATGATACATGATATTATTATTTTTCTCAGAATTCTGAATACTATAATTCAAACAAGACTATATTTAAATGACATGCCAGAGTACAATTAAGAATTTCTTATCAAATTGGTTGATTGATATTTGCTTATATAAATGTGGACCAGTGCAATGAGTGTATTGCACAACATATTTCAAATAACATGCTGTGCAAAATATTAAATGGTTTAAATGTAAATGAAGATGAAATATTCAAATACTTTAGAGTCAAATTATTGATTTCAGAGTTTGTGACCTAATTTTCATTGACAATTGTCCTAAGATCAATGAAATATAACTTTCTTTTGATATTTTGTGGCACAGACAGAAATTTTTGCAGTCTTTTTGTTTGTTTTGCTCTAGGTTTTTGCTATACCTTTCCTGCACTGAACATCTTTAAACATGCAACGTTCGGTGATAATGAGGGGATCAAGCAATGGCATGCTCTTAATTAAACTCTGATCAAATACTCTCTTTTGTATTTCAGTTATGTTTGAAAAGAAATCTATCATCATACATCAAATTGTCACAATTTCATAATATACTGCATCGTACAAATGTTGTATAACCATACACACTAAACTAAGTTCTACAGAATATACATAATGTAAATAAACATCTACGTCTAAAAGCTAATAAATAAATGCTATCTGAATATAACATAGAAAACAAATTCATTCATGCAAACAAAATGTGTTCTAAATATAATATAAACCCTATAATCCACTTAGCAGAGTGAAAGTCTGATTATATAATCCACTTGGCAGAGTGAAAGTCTGATTATATAATCCACTTGGCAGAGTGAAAGTCTGATTATATATGTATATATGACCAAGAAAAAACCCAAGCATAAAGTTTTGCTATAAATAGTAATTTGACCACTTTATGTCATATACTATACTATCATGCTAGTTTTTACCTTTGGTAAAATCTAAAATAAGTCATTGACATTTAATAATAAGCAAATTGTAATTCCTAATTAATAGAATAATCTTTAAAATAATTGAACGGTAAACAACGGAGGTATTGTTTACCTGAGAGTGTACAAGTAAACAGCTATGTCAATCTTGAAACCAGACATTGATAAATCTTTTCGAAATTGTTTAACATGCTTTAGCTATTTGCAACTTAATTTTAGTGAACATTTAGAACTGTCTTTAAGATGAATCCACTGATGAAGAGATATCACTCAATTTGTATGACTCTATTATAAATTGAAGCTGGGGGTTGGGAAGGAGGGTTTAAGACTATCCAACAGTTTTCTGCTGTAGGTCTGACGGATGGTTTTCATGTGTACCATGACCATACATGTACATGACCTTGATCTATTGTTTACACATAGTTATATATATATATTGGAGATATCTGTTGACTGCTGTTACCATTCTCTGAATGGCACACGTAAGTGTCACAAATGACATATAAAAAATTAATTAGGAAGTACAACATATTTCAGATAAAATAATGTAAATGTTGCTGGATTAGACAGATATGGGGCTCCAGAAGGGTATCCCCCTAAGTCCCAAGGTCACATTTAAAAATTGCCTCAGGTCACTTTCAAGCAAAATATACAGTTCTAAACTGATTTGATTTTGAATATTTTTAAAGGTAAAAGATTTTTCTAAAATGAGACGTCAGGTTGCAAGGTCGCCTGCCAACCCCCAACCCCATCCCCAAGGTCACAGGTCCATTAGTAGGAAGTAAAATATTTACCCATAACAAAACAGATTTGATGTGACAGAAGAAAAGTGATTGCTAGCAAAGGACATAAGGTGAACTGTTGTAAAATTAGGGAAAGTTATAGTAAAGTCCCAGGACTGGAAATCGGTGTATAAAAGTGGTATTTCACTTAATTTACAAAAACCAAAAGAGCAGCAAATGAAGTTAGAAACAAGACTTGTATATGCTTTTTATGAAACCATAAATGCATATTGGAAATTCAAAATCTCCTGTGAAAAATACAATAGCCCTTATTTGGATATTGGAAAATAAGATCTCCTTTATAAAACTACAATAGCCCTTTTTTGGATATTGAAATTAAAGATCTCATGTGAAACTTGAATCAGCCCTTATTTGGATATTAAAAATCCAAGACCTCCTGTGAAACCTGCAATATCCAATATCCAAATAATGCATTTATGGTTTCATAAAAGGCATATACAAGTCTTGTTTCTAACTTCATTTGCTGTTTTTTGGAATATTGGCTATTGTATTTTTCACAGGAGATTTTGAATTTCCAATATGCATTTATGGTTTCATAAAAGGCATATACAAGTCTTGTTTCTAATTTCATTTGCTGCTTTTTGGAATATTGGAAATTCAAAACCTCCTGTGAAGCCCTTACTTGAATATTGGTAATTTAGGACCTGCTGTTAAACCTGCAATAGCACTTATTTGATATTGGAAATTCAGAATTCCCTATCAATTAGATAGAAGAAGATGTGGTACGAGTGCCAATGAGACAACTCTCCATCCAAGTCAAAATTCAAAAATGTAAACCATTATAGGTCAAAGTACGGTCTTCAACACAGAGCTTTGGCTCACACCGAACAGTAAGCTATAAAGGGCCCCAAAAATTACTAGTGTAAAACCATTCAAACGGGAAAACCAACGGTAAATCCGCAAAAGCACCTATCTAAATATTGGAAATTCAGAACTCCCTATTAAACCTGCAACAGCCCTTATTTGAATATTGGAAATTCAAGGAAGCAAAAAATTAAAATGCAATACATTAGAGTTTGAAGATTCTGTCCAAATTTGATTGGTTTCTGTTGAGTAGTGTAATACCAGATACGGTTTGATGAATAGTTGCTGATACTGTGGATTCAGTATTATTTTTGGGATACCAATTTTCGTGGATTTCATGCGTATAGATGAACAATGAATCTAAAAATGTTCAAGGAAGTATAATTTTTTTATAGGCGTGTATGCAGTATTTGGCAAAAACATGAAATCAAATATCCACGAAATACGTTACTTCATGTATCCACGAAAAAATAAATGAATCCACAGTAATACATAGTATAATGGTTAGTGAACCTTATATGTCATGGGACTCTGCTATACATGGGACAAAATAAAACTTTGATTATTGGACTTTCATGACTATCCCAATCCCCCTTTTGAACAAAAGCGGTTGTTTAATTTTGAATAAGATTAAGAAAATTGGTTTAAAAAGAAAATTGTTTTCTGAAATGAATTATTTGTACAATGATTACCAGTACTTCGCAATCAAAATACAATAGGCAAAAACACACAAACGCAACTTTCACATCTATTTTAAAACTGCGCCCTTTGGTAGAAGCAAATTAAAAATTCAAGAAATCAAATTCAAAATCTTTTAAAATTAAACATAATCCCAGATTTTGCATACAAAGAAACACTTTTTATAAAAGTATTTACCTTGAATCCAAAAGAGATAGTATCAATGGAGATAATCTTCCTTCTTGCATAATTCTGCAGGGTACCAGTCAGGAAAGCTTGTGGGAAAAAGAAACCAGATATCCAGTAACACTGAAAAGTAAAATGTTAAAACGAAATGAAACTTCATAGTAATAAGTCATGTAAATCTACATTATAATAAGTCATTGCAAAAACAGAACAATATACTTGGTAAACATGGTTCCAAGAAGGTGATATTTGTCAGTCAATATCACTATTATTTTTAAAATTACATCTAGAAAATACTTAATCCAAATACCAACTATGGGTTTGCATACTTTTTATCTTACTGTAAACTTGATTGTTAGAAGTACAAGTACAGGAAGAAAAATTTGTATTTTACAAGTCAAGACTTCAGAAAAAAATAATTCAAAAGAATAAATAAATTAGTATTTTAATCATTTTAATAACCCCAAAAGGATAGGAAATTGAACATATGGACCTAATGAATCAACTGTCTTTACATGTAACTCCAGTAGAATATATTTCATACACATTTAGAACACAATAACAAAGTAATGATTGTAACTCTTTCTTCTGCAGCAGATAATTTGCATATTTCTTTCATTATAAAGTCTTTGATATCAAAATATACCTTTAATTTGGGTTAAACAAATTGCACTAGAATCTGAAAAAAGTATGAATGTAAATTTTTCCTTTTTATTTATAAAACATATACAAAAGTTGATTTTTCTCTTATGAGACTTGAACTTACAGTTGGATTTCCATGCTCTATCCAATTATGAATAAACTGCATCCTCATTTCAAGATCTGTTACCCACTGTGCTAAAGGTTTCAGTGAAGGATAGGCCTGAAAAAGAATATAAAATGCAATAAAACAGTGTTTAACCTTCTTTAAGACTAAATCATTTAAACATGATGTAACACATAAATTCGCTTTTTCAGAAGTAAATGCATTATACTAAATTTAAATGCTGTCACATGAAATCATTGTGTGTTACCTCCCCTTTGTCTTCATTTTAGCTAGATACTTTTAAGGATGTACTTAGGTGAAATTAAAAAAATCTAGAAATTGAAATTGATGCTACATGTATAAGACAGAAGAGCATTAGTTCAGGAACAAAATAAGCTAAAAATATTGATAGGTTATGGAGCTCCTTTTCGAGATATTTAATTTTTCTAAAATGGCGGGGAAATGCTGACTTGCACTTTTACCTTATATTTGCACTGGTATTATTTGGGTCTCAGATTGAAAGAAAAAAAATCTACAATCTGCTTAAATTTTGGCAAATTACCTTTTATAAGCTATTGAAGTCTTATATGAAATGAAAAATGGGTGTTATAGGGCAAAATATTTTACCCTGTATCGTAGGAAAAGACCAAGGAGTCCGAACATCTGACAAAAATTCCTAAACCTGACCTAAGTACATCCCTAAAGAATGATCACAGCTGACCAATTCAGGAAAACCAACTTCAGCCTTTACAATTGAAATCTTGACCAATCAGTGTCATTCAAACAGGTGCATTTCCATAATGCAATCTAATTTTTGAATTGGTCCATTTGATTAAAAAGGTCCATTGGATGATGAGAATATTTATGTACCTTTATGTTGACCACTTTTTAAAAATAATAATATTTACCTTTCATGATAAAATATCAAAATTTTAATGAAATATTAATATAAAAATAAGAAGATGTGGTATAATGCCAATTAGACAACTATCTACAAGAAATCAAATAAAAAAGCTATGGGTCACCATATGGCCTTCAACAATTGTAAAACCCATACAGTAAGTTTGTTTACACGAGAATATTGTATCACAATGTGATTAGTGATACCTACAAAATAAATGTCAAATAGTATACAAGTACAAAAAACACTGGTCTAATCCAAAGAACTTCATTTCTGAAGGTTTCATTCAGAATACTGTAAATTCAGAAATTATTGCATGCACTTTTTATTGAGTTTTTTGAAGAATGGGCAAAAATGCCAGATTAATTATTGGGATTTCAGGAAAAGCTGCATACACTAACTAACAGATATATGCATCAGATATCAGATATCAGAATGTGAGTTCTTGTTATTGTGATACTCGCCCAGTAGCATTATTTGCATTAATAAAAAAAAAACCTCGCAATAATTTACAGTATTCATATGACAAGTATACACAAATCAAATTATAAAAATATCCTTATACAAGAGATAAGTTCAGACAGACTTCTTTTTTGCACAAGTTTCATAGCACTAGAAATATTTTTACCTTTTTAGCCCACATGTTAGGCACACTGTTGTCATAAAGACTATTAGCCATCATTTCTAATTCCTGAGACAAGACCACCAATCCTTTCAGGGCTTTGAGCAGACTCTGTAGACTACCATGTATTGATTCCAAAAGCCTGTTGTATCTGTATAAAAACAAATGCAAGATATAACAAATATGTATTAAATTTTTCTTAGTTTATTTTTATCAAAAAAAAAAAAAATTAGTTATCACTGACAAATTTTTGATACATTAGGTCCGAGGACACAGTTATCGTCCTTTGGTTTTCGCTGTCTACGAGTATAGTCCCTAGTGTGAACAGTGTATAACTTGCAAAATTTGTTCATACACTTTCCCAATTTATTTCTTGATATTTTATGCATGAAATATTAAGGGGATGAAATTACAAGTTAAAAAAATTTGAGTGCTGAGTCTTTTTGTTGTCTACGAATATAGTCCCTAGTGTGAACAGTGTATAACTTGCAAATTTTTTTCATACTTTCCCAATTTATTTCTTGATATTTTATGCATGAAATATTAAGTAAGGGGATGAAATTACAGGTTAAAAAATTTGGGTGCTGAATCTTTATGTTTAGTTGTGATTTGGTCCAGTTAAAAAAGGTCAAAAATTAGTATGTCTGAAGCTGTCAAACTGAATTTCAGACCCCCTTAACATAGAATTGTTCATATTTTGAGTTAGAGCTGGTAGACTTTTCTATAATTTTGATATTATTTGTCCCAATAGTAGCACAATACACTGTAAAAATCTTTTTGAGATAGAGCAGGTGCGATTTTTTAAATTTGAGTTTATTGTCTAAAAGAAATGCACTACGAAATAACTGTGTTCTCGGGCCAAATGCTTCATATATGATAATCCAAATTAAAAAAAAAATGTATTTTGAAGGCATTTATTTGTTGTTTGATTTTAATGAACCATGTGTTGAAAGACACAGATTTGTCTGAACTATATTAGTTTATTTTGGTCATAATTCTGTTTTCATTTGTTTTTTATTTTTCCTGAAGGGAACACCTATAATAACTTTTTACAAATTAATTTCATTGAAATATTTAGCAAATTTACAGATATAAAAAAATGCTTGCGTTTATATCATCAGAAAATGAGAAGGCTTCATGATATATAGCCAAATAAACCTGTGACAATTCTGCATTTGGTAGCAAGTTGGTTAAAACTAAACCAGAAATGACTTCACAGTAATTTTGACAGAGAATTTTTAATAAAAGGTACTTTTATATGAAATATATAGCAAAAAAATGTAGGTGATGTATACATATTGCATACTGCTCAAAGGCCATACCAATTTGCATTAAAAATAATCTCTTAATCACTCATATATATATATATATATGTAAAAGAATTTTTATCCTATATGTTATTAGATATTTTATGTTCTACAACTGTCTACTAAGTGGGACAACTAGTCACATCTACAGCTTAAGTGAACTCCATGTACTAATAAAGATGTATTTCTTTTGAAATGTTAAACAGGAATTAATAATTATACAATTACTGTATGTTATAAATCATACACAGTCTCCATTATTGTTAACTACTTGTATATCTATGAATCTTTTGTCAAATATTTTTGGTTAAAATTTATAAGTACATAGTGATAATGAAGACAGCAAACAAATAAAAATTGTTAATAAAAGTTTTCTATAAAATTAATGAAAGTGTTGAACTTTTTGAAAACAGAAATATATCTATATATGTACTAGAAATAAAAATAATCTGATATGCTACATCAATTTATAAAGTTGTACAAAAATGAAGACAGATTACATATATAATAAACTTTTAAACTGTAAACATGTTTCTGCCCAGTTTTCTGTGACCCTTTGCATTCAATTTCCAATTGGTATCTATATTGAAATCACCTACTTAGCTGATATTATCTTGTTTACTTTAATGAATGTCATTGAAAAGAGCAATCCTGTGGTAAATTATCTTGACAGGATGAAAAAAAAAATAGGGAATTGAAATACTGGCATTAACAATTTAGATAAACACATTATTTTTGTTATTCATAACATGAAAGAATATCACTTACATAGACACATATACCATTTTAAAAAATGCAACTGAAGATATAATACTGATGAATGATACTACTGAAACTATATATTTCTTTATATATTATGATATATAAGTTATGCACAATTTGTAATTTTGTACAAATTATAATCTGTACAGACTTTTACTACCAAGTTTTCTACCAGTATTTTGACAAGCACTTTGTTTCATCAGGTAATACAAGATTATCTTTTAAAACTAGAAGATAGTGAGGGGAGTCATCACAGTAATCAAAGTAATTTGTGATGCAAATTAGGGAGCTACCATTTGATTTTTATGGGGGGGGGGGCTTGGATGAAAAATTTTGTCCTGCTTTTTTTTTTAGTTGTAATCTCTGTCCTGCCTTTTTATTTTTCACTCTATTCGGTCCTGCTTTTTATTTTATTAGTTTATCCTGACTTTTTTTACATAAATTGTCATCCTGCCCTTTTTTTACTCAAAACTCCTGTCCTGCCTTTTTTTCAAATTTCATCCTGACCATGACTTTTATTGTACAGTTTTCTTTCTTGTACCTCACATACCTTTTAGAAGTGGTGAATAATCATGCCAAGTTTCATTCCTAACTCCAAAGGATTTGATAATGAAAGATTTTAGTACAAACTCACAGGGGGGGGGGGGGGGGGGGGGACCTAAGTTGAACTAAGTTTTTTACCATGACTTCTTATATACAGTTTTCTTCCTTGTAGGGGACACCTTCTAGTAGTGGTGATTGATTGATTGATTTTTGGTGTTTAACACCACTTTCAATAATATTGGCTATTTTGTAATGGCTAGTTTTAATTCATGGTTGTGGTCTTAAGTCAACAAGCTATCTAGTCCTTAAAGCACTAAGACTCAAACTTACCTAATGACTTCTTGTGTTAATACTGTATTCATGGACTGTTCATACAAAACTGGATATTTTTCTACAACAATATTGATGTCAATTGGCTTTGGAACTCTTCCTAAGATGTCTTTAGCACTATCTTCCATTACCTAGTTAGAAAATCACATATAATCAATGAGAGTTGTAATGGGGGTTCCTTCATGACGAATAATGCTAAAAATTCTTGCTAAATGACGTTAATGGGACGATAAAATGTACACTTTCTTTTAGACAATAAAAAAAATCAACTGATTTTGACGAATCCCGTTAAATTTTTCCCAAAATTAATGGTAACGATAATTATTTGAGACCTCTGATGAATCACGATTAGGATATTTTGACGAATCACGGTAAAATTTTAACCTATTTGATGTTAACAGTAACCGAAAATGACCGTTTGACACCTGACGGTAAAGGGCATTCCTACCCTCATCAATGGCCAACCTCAGAATCTGGAAAATCTTTCACAAATCTACCCTAAGACTTATGTGTGCTTAATACATTCTGATGTATTATTTAGAAAGAGTTTGAAATTGATTGGATTTGGGATCCTTAATAAAAACAGAGAAGGTATGATAAGAGCCATTATGTCGCCCCTGAAATTGCAAAATTTCCAATTTTATGTTAGTTTTATTGACAAGTAATTACGATGATATAGTTAAGTGTCTTTTGTGCAAATTATCTATCATGATGTCACTGTATGACTCACATAATTAAAATTTTGAAACATTTTTGAAATTGACATAATTGACACAAAATTGTTTAACCAGAGTTTTTGGTAAAATTAAATATGAACATGATGTCTTACAGCAAAATATCTTGTTAGATATGGGATTGATCTAAATATCAATGACAAGATCTCAAAATGAGGTTGATTTTACAGTTTTTCCTTAAATGCATGGTTTCAATTCAAGGAACAAATACAAATTCAAACAAGAATATGTGTTAATAGGACACCATGCCAAACTTTCACTATCACATTTCGGTGTTTAGTGAATTGCCAAATATGGTTCAAAATCCTTATTTGGCATATATATTTAAAAGATCACTTCATAATAAACATGTGTACTAACTTTCAAGTTGATTTGATCAAAAACTACCTTAAATCTAAACTTGAACATGAACCTGGACAGATGGACGGAACGGAACAGATGGATGAACAGACTGGAAAACATAATGCCCCTGTACTATAGAAAGTGGGGCATAAAAAAGAATAATGATATCTGACATAACAATGTCTTGTAAACATTTGAAGGATTTATGATACTTCTTGATATTTTTTAATACAAGGGGCCAAAAATTGACCTATCTTTCCTTCTTTCAAAATTTTTTAACAGTTGAAAAACTTTACTAGCTCAGGACTGTTTTTCCAGAGAGCAAAATTTACACCTAAAAATTGTCAGGCTGATGACCAGTGACTAAATTAAAATAACACCTTTCACAAACAGTAATCAATTTAAGGATTTCGCTACTCTATTTCAAAATTTCAAAATAACAAGCTTTTTAAAAGACTATTATAAATTGATAGTATATATATAACGGACCAAAAAAAGAAGAAAAAAATGAAGGGTCCGTGTGCTAGTTTTCGAGATATAAGACATTGAAAATTTGGCAGGATATGATTCTCTCTAAGACTTTTCATACATTTAATTGGCACCTTTTTTATTTCAAAAATGATGAAAAAATAACAAGGATTTGATTAGATTTTCAAAGATGACATTTTAAACTATATGTAATCAAATTATGGAAAGAAAAATAGAGGTTGGTGGGCAAAAGTTTTAATGGCACAATATGGATAAAACCAGAGGGTTCCAAATATTTGGCAAAAATTAAAAAACAAGAGGAGCGAACATCCTTCACCTTAGCATAAGATCTTTTTACATACTTCTCTGATGATGCAACACATGCTCTTGAACAGATCTCAGACATAATCCTCAAATTATTTAATCTTCTAGAGGGGTAGAAGGGGGGGGGGGGGGGGGGGGGGGGGGGGGGGGGGGGGGGGGATAAAATTTTAGCTTTATCTTATTTTAAGTAGCCCAGGCATACATTTAATAATTATTAGATAATTATACTTAATAGATTTCAGTTTTGATTAGTACTCACCTCCTCTCTAGATTTCCCAGCGCCTGCTGCTGATTTTGGTTGTAATTTCAGTAAGGATTTCAGCAAAGAATATGTCTCATTCTGAGCAAATGTGATGTTAGCATTCTCATGGAGACCAAATACTTCTGGTGTGTCATTAATGGGCAAGGAACGGATGTATGCCATATATCCCTGTTAACCAATTTAGAATTAGTACATGTAAATATCATGAAATTTCAATACATTGACAAGATTTCCAATACCGTTCCTGCCTTTTTCTGCAGTTTAAAAGCTGTTTTAAATTTTATATATTAAAAGTTTCCATTTTAATTCTCATGTTTTTTCTCTCTTCATTAGAATTAAATACTTGTTTACGCATTGCAATTTATGTTGCACACTTAAATACAAACAATTCATTCTAAAAGAGCATGAACTTAAGATATATGATAATTGTTAAAATATAATAATAATCTAAATTTCTATTTCTTTTGACATACTTTCATAATTCTGCTTCAAATTTGATAAAAAACAAGATACATTTAAAGTTAAATTTATCAGTACATGTATTTCAGTTTCTGACATACTTTCATAATACTGCTTCAAATGTGATAAATAAAACGGATGCATTTAAACTAAAAGTTCACAGTACATGTTTTTCAGTTTTATTTATTACAAATTTTTCAAAGTTAAAAAAAAAATCTATTCATTGAACAATAAAATATCTTAAAGTACCACATGTTTCTTTTGACTATTCAAAGAAGAATGGAACATAAAATATACTTTATGTAAATGGTTATGCATTATACTTCAAGGACTTATTGATCCTTAGAATAATTTTAATTTACTGCAACAGGTGCAATAAAAAAAGTGTAACACATAATATACAATATATAACAAAATCTTTTTCAAAAAGCATGAGAACAAAAAAATTTAGAAACATGGAATAAAATGTAAGAAATCATTTACTGATAAACTGTGCAAAATATCAATGACTTTTGGACATAGAAATTTCACATAATACTGCATTCAACTTGATTCTGTGAAAATTACATCTTCCGCAATTTATCTGAAACCAAAATTGTGAGCCCTTTCTTTGATGGCCTTCTCCAAAAATATTTTCATAATCAGTATTTAGAAAAACTAATCAATAATTCATCAAAATTGTAAACATCTTATAAATCCTATTCAAAGGTAACTGCCTAAGTGGTTTGGTCTTTTGTAGACTAAAAGAGTGTCTAGGGTACAAAATTACAAGCCTGGTATCTCTTAGCTGAGTTTTTATTTGGTACTGACATCTGATATGTGGTCTTTGGTTCGATCCCTGGCTGGGTCAAACCAAAGACTTTAAAATTGGCTTTTTGCAGCATTTCTGCTGAACATATGGTATTTAAATGTAATAGGAAAAACTTTCTGGATCTAGAGTCAAAATAATGAGTCTAGGTTGGATAACCATCATGGCAACTGTTACCTTGTAAGATGGTACATTAAAATGAGGTAAAATTTATTGATTGCTGTACAACGTAACATCAGTGCAAAACCGCTTTATCAGGATGAAAAAATTGATTTAGTATGTCAAACAAGTACAAAGCAGGTTTAATATTCAATCAACTTGAATATGCTCTACTCATTTAACATGAATATACTCTCATCTTGAAGTCTGATGATAAGACTATCTGCTGAAGCTCTTCACACACAAAATCTTATAACTATAACTGATAGTAAGTTACACTGAACTGTTCATCAATTACAAGCTAATTTTTTCATAGAATTTTTTTCTAGGAAAATGTCTATAAGAAATTAAACCCCTATCCATCCATCCAACTACCTGTCAGATTTAATAGTGAATGACAGAATTGATTGATTGATTGACTGTTGGTGGTAAACGTCATTTGCAATATTCTGCTGGCCATTTTTTATTGGTAGAGGAAGCAGGAGTGCCGGGAGAGAACCATCGACCTTCAGCAGGAAAAATTGCAATCCTAGTCAAATAAGATCAGAGTTGAATGCACCTTGCCAGAATTTAAGATTTGGGTTAGAACTCACAACCTCTGTTGACAGGCTTGTGAACACTGTCAATTCACTACTCAAGACCACTTGGCAGCGAGACCTTCGTGAATGACAGTCAATTTACTTGTTATTAAACTTAAACTAAGAGAAAAGAATCTTTCCTTTTTAATTCAGAAAAACTACCATTATAACTACACTAGCTTATGAATCTTTTGTGATGTGAGCTCCATAGAAAATTCATTAAATATATCAATCTAACAACTAATAAAAACAAATATTGTATAGAGACAATATTCTAACGTGAAGAATACACCTCGTGGTTACCATTGAAACTGATGCATTCTAAAGTGAATGAAAGTGACATGCATATAAGAAACATTCACTAAAAGCTCTTAGTCTGTATACAAAGGGAATATAGATATCTAATAAGTGTTATTTACCAGAAAGCTATAGTCTATATAGTACAGTATTCTATATAATTTCTTATGTTAAAAGTCTGAAGACAGTCTAAAAGTAAATGAAATCTGAAAATGTTAGTATCCAGCAGACTGCAATAATGATGTTGGTAAATTTCATAGATCGTAGGTTTTCTAAAATAGTTTAAAATTAAAAAAAGACATGCAAATATTCCATGTTTTCTTTCTTTAAATGTCTTTCAATTTCAATTATGAATAGAAAAATATCTCGACTAAATCCCCCCCCCCCCCCAAAAAAAAATAACAAAAGCAAAAAAAATGAAATTTCTCCTTTCAAATATAACTGATTTCTGTTGAAACTGACCAACATCAAGAAGTTAAAAGCAGAGCACACATTAAACAGCAGACACACATCTACACACATACATTTCCTTAACTGATAGTTTTTGTTTTTTTTTCTAATTCTAAACAATTTCTTTACTTAAACAAAACAAATGCAAAATTTCAATTATTCAATTATTTAATTGTTTAAAAAAAAATTATATAATTGAACAAAACTTGCTGCATGACATATAAAAGAAGTTTTCATATTTTTTTAATTCAAATTTCAAAATTTCTCTTGATATAACTGATGTTAAATCTAAATTTGTAAAAATCAATTTTAAGTAAGTTTTCTTCTAGCTGAAATAAAGTTGACCCTTAAGCAGAACAGGAGCATTTACTCTTTACTCTGTAAAGCCTACTTCAGACATTCAAAATATTTACAAGAAATAAGTTGATTTCTTTTAAAAGCTGGAATCTCCATATTTGGAATTTTGGCGTAGCAAAACATATAAAGCATCACAACACACAACATCAACACAATGGTTGATCTCTCTCACACCCATGTCCATAAGATAACCGTGATACATGGCTACTAGAAGTAAGAATGAGTACAGCTACTAATGTACACTCCAGTACAGTGTACTGAAGTTTTGTACATCTACTGTGTACATTTCATGCATCACATAATTACATTATGGTCATTGGTCGTGGGGATCTGGTGATAAACTCCCGACTCAGAATACTTATGGTCCTCGTTGATCACTTCCATGCTGTAGAAATCAGCTAAGACACTCATCATGCATCGTCTGTCCCAGTCGTCAGTTACTCTACCTCCATAGTTGATGTGCCCTCCGGTATACCTCAATACCTGAAGAAGAAAAAAAAACACATTGACTTCTGATAAATTTTGCTTCAAGATTATTTTAATTTATCTGTAACCTTAAACAAACTTTCATCAATCCACAAACATTGATAACCATGAAAATAAATGAATTCACAGTAATAAATAGATTCACTAAATACTTTTTTCAATTTATGACAATTCTTGTTAAAATAATTCTTCTCAAAAAACATTATATACCTAACAAATATTTATGTCAAGTCTTCATGATTCCTTATGCATACTTTGCACAACATTACGCAACTGTGATAATGAATACCAACCTTCAGTGGAATGTCCTTGTATTCTTGTAAGAACATTTTCAGTTGACTGACACAAATACGCAGATCACCATCTGTAAACTCATATGGAATGTTGAATCCCAAGGCACCAAACTTTCTTCTTTCAATCAGTACCCCATGGAATAGACAGAGGGACAACAGCAGGGTTTTAAATTCAGCATGCTGAAAAAGGAAAAAAAAATATATTGCTGTTTTTAGAATGAAGCAAGTATTTCAAACAATTTTATTATTTCAAATGGTCCTTGGTAGATGAAGTTGGATTATCCCAAATCATTCATGGTACTGTAGATTCAGAAATGTTTGCGATGTTTTTATTATTGCAAAAATTTTAAACCGGAAAGGTTTCACAAATATAACAAGAGTGCACACGCTGAAATGTCTCGCCTTCTTTACTAATCATTGATATTATGTTGATAGTCCTAAACATAAAGCTTTCTTACAACTGTCACATAAACTTTACATAAACCAAGAAAACTAAACATTAACCAATGAACCATGAAAATGAGGTCAAGGTCAGATGAACCATGCTAGGCAGGCATGCACAGCTAACAATTCTTCCATACAACAAATATAGTTGACCTATTGCTTATAGTTTAAGAAAAACAGACCAAAACACAAAAACTTAACACTGAGTAATGAACTGTGAAAATGAGGTCAAGGTCAAATAAAACCTGAGCGACTGACATAAAGATCATAAAATATTTCCATACACCAAATATATAGTTGACCTATTGCATATAGTATTAGAAAAAAAGACCAAAACTCAAAATCTTAACTTTGACCACTGAACCATGAAAATGAGGTCAAGGTCAAATGACACCTGCCAGCTAGACATGTACACCTTACAATCATTCCATACACCAAATATAGTTGACCTATTGCTTAAAGTGTAAGAAAAACAGACCAAAACACAAAAACTTAACACAAGCAATGAACCTTGAAAATGAGGTCAAGGTCAAATAAAACATGCCAGACTGACATGTACATCGTAAAATATTTCCATACACCAAATATAGTTGACCTACTGCATACAGTATTAGAAAAACAAACCAAAACACAAAAACTTAACATTGAACAATGAACCATGAAAATAGGTCAAGGACAAATGACACCTGCCAGACAGACATGTACACCTTACAATCATTCCATACACCAAATATAGTTGACCAATGGCTTATAGTATTAGAAAAACAGACCAAAACACAAAAACTTAACATTGACCAATGAACCGTGAAAATGAGGTCAAGGTCAGATGAAACCTGCCATACTGACATGTATCCCTTATAATCATTCCATACACCACATATAGCTGACCTACTGCTTGTAGTATCTGAGAAACGGACCTAATCACGTAACTTTAACCTTGATCACTGATCCATGAAATGAGAATGAGGTCAGGTGAACCCTGTCTGATGGACATGTAGACTTTGCAAGGAACCCATATACCAAATATAGTTATCCTATTACTCATAATAAGTGAGAAATTTACATAACAAAAAAACTAAACTTTTTTTTCAAGCAGTCGCTGAACCATGAAAATAAGGTCAAGGACATTGGACATATGACAGACGGAAAGTTTGAAACATAAGGTATCTGTATACAAAGTATGAAGCATCCAGGTCTTCTACCTTCTGAAATATAAAGCTTTATACAAATAGTTTACGCCGCCGTCGCCGCCGGATAGTAATACCTATGTCTCACTTTCTGCGACTTTCGTCGCAGGCGAGACAAAAATCGCATTTCGATAAAAAATAAAAAAATAAAAATTTAATTTTGGATGTAACATTTTCCAAAATCAGAATAATAAAATGCATGCACATATTTCTGAATTTATGGTGTTAAAAATTGTCGAATATTGCATGGTTCTGTTTTGCATGTAATTTCAATTTTTTTATTTTTAAACACGACTTTGGTGAATTTTCATTTTCAGGTCTGCAAGTCATGCTAGAAGCAGCAACTCACTTGTTAACTTATGTGAAAAAGAGTCTTCAAATTCTAAATAAATAGTTTTTTAAAGATAATTTTTACCCTGTTTTCACATGAATTGAGGAAATCATCAGTGAAGCTTGTATAAGATTTCAGCAAGTTGGCCTTTATTCCTCTCGGTGGCTCTACTGTCATCTTAGATCCATTCTGAAGGATGAAGACAGGGAATACCTTGCTTGGCATACTGGTCAACCATAAACGGAAATCTCTGTGTACCTAAAATTGACAGCAAAAGTTATTTGAAATTTTAAATCAAATGTTAAAATATGGAAGAAAATTTAGATTGAGTATGCAAAATCAAATGTTATTTGAAATAATAAATGATAGAAAAATATTTAATTGCTCTAATCCCCAATTACATGAATGTATACAAGAATTAAACATAATAAAATCCCTACAAGTATGCTTGCTGACCTTATCAATATTACTAAATTACACTAAACATTTTCTTAAACTCTATTTGTGAGGATAGCAAGATGGAAGAAATATCTTCCTCCTAAAAAAAAAAAAAATTTCTGACTTTGCCTACCTTATCTGGATCAATCTGTTCTACCAGTCTTTCTAACGTTGGCATAAAGCTTGGCGCCAAGTGACAATTCTGGAAAAATACCCACTTTCCTCTCTCCATGGCACTTCTCATCATAGCTTCTGCTCTGGGTCCCTGAAATTTAATATCACATATGCAAATTTTTAACTTTAGTATAATGTATAAAGGCTATCACTCAAATTTTATAAGGCATCTTAGTTACAATTTAGAGGCTGGTGGCAGTTTCTGAAAATTTTGTCTTATCAAATACACAACAATATTAAAGTCTATCTTAAATAATGCATTTTTTTTTTTTAAATTTTGAGTTTACGTATGACTAAAAGAAAAAAATTGGACAGCATTTCACCAACACAAAAGAACAGAAGATATCTAGTTAACATATATGTTCAACAAAAGTCAAAAGTGTGTATACAATATATCAGACTATATGGTGAATTTATACCATTCTATATCTTACTATATTTATGACAATCATACTGAAAATACTGTAATTTTTAGATTTGAAGCTGATTACTCACCTGACCTTGACCCAGGGAAATGGCATTCAATTTCTTAGAGAATCTCAACTTGTCAGCAAATTTATAAAGATCTGCAGCAGGATCTGTTCCAGCAGACAAGACAAAAATCAGTGGAATTGTTGGAGCAGAATCTTTAAAGACAAGGTCTAAATCAGCTGTCTGAGGCTCAATAAATCTTTGTCCAAGGTATTTGGTGACATAGTCCTGCATAGCATCAGTTATTTTGTCAGGTCTCAAACACTTCAGAACTATCATTTTCTGGAAATCATCAAAGTCCTCTTTCCAAGTACCTGGCAGCTCTTCCCTGAAAGAAGTAAGATGGAATTTAATTAATGAAGTTTTGCAAAATATATAAATTAATGTTGCCTAATGTTGAGTAAGTGCATAGCATCATACTGTTCTTTTTCTGAGAATTTCATCTTTTTAAAAAAAAAATTTCTTAAGTTTTTTTCAATACATTCTAATTCTCAAATGAAAGTCTAAATCATTATTTTGTTTGTATTTGTATCCTCTATAATTATGAACATTTAGAATATTTACTATCAAGCTGTATAAAATTTCAATTATAACTAGATTACATAACAGGACTTTTAAAACAACAGGGTTGTATGTCTTTCTGCAACAAAAAAATCCAGGGGTTTTCCAGGATTTCTCTGTGAACAGTCATTCATTTTATAGGACTGTATTAGAAGACTAAGAAGAAATCCTAAGTTACCTTTTGAATGTGAGACATTTGGACAAGTCTCACTTTACAAAAATTACTGAAGTCATGTTCAGTGATTGATTCTATGATAGGAAAATGGAGTAATTCCTACTCCTACATATATTTCAAAATTAATACAATCAATTAAGAATAAAAAAACAGGAAAGAACTTGAATTTCAAAACATACTACTGAATGTTTGTTTCCAGGCAATAAAATAGAATTATACGCCTTTTTCAAAATTTCAAGGAAACCTGGGTACCTTGATATAATTTCTTATAAATTGGCAAAATTAACGTGTTTTGTTGTTATTTTGTTAAATTATAAGTCCATCTGCAAAAATTTGGTGAGAGTTAATCTAACAAAAAAATATGAATAAATTTTGTGTGTCCTAAAATAAATATACTACAAAACAATTACTTGTGTGGAATTGTACTGTCAAAGATTCTCTTGTATCCATCCAAATTGTTTTTAAAATCTTCAGAAAACTTGGAAAATTTGTCAAGGACCTGTGTGGTGGTAATATCTAGCCACGATCTTCCTGATATCCATTCTGGGGCAGGATTAGGTATTTCTCTCATAACATGTGTGCCTCCAGCTAACATAAACCGCCACTCATCCTGTGAAGAAAATAGTCAAGTTTTATCCAAATATGAAGTAAGCACTGTAATTTTGGTGTTCCAGATAAACTAAATATTGAATGAAAAATAATTTCTAAGTTAACTTATTGAAACCTAACATAATAAATTTGAGGTGGAAATTAAGTCAAGGCATAAAGTTAGAAGCAATTGGTTTCATCAATTTTTCATTGTAAATAGACAATTTTAAGATTTATTCATTAATTATAATTGGCTTTGAACTGGCTCTGACAGTAACTGTGAGTAACTGTGAATACTCTTAGACTGGTACTTTGTGTCATTTGTTTTTATGTTAGATGTTTTTTGTGTCTTGTCACAATCTGATGAGTCAAGCCATTTCCATCTGATTATTAGTTTGTTCTGATGTTGTGCTGTTAAACCACTGTCCCAAGTAAGGGTGAGAGTTGAGCGCTTACAAACATGTTTAACACTGTCACATTCTTAATGTGCTTGTCCAAAGTCAGGATCCTGTATCTTAGTGGTTGTAGTTGGTTGATGTCTGTCATATTTGTTTTGTTATAAATCAGGCCGTTAGTATATTTTAACAGTTAAATCTACCTGCAAGTGAATGTTCATAGTATATTTTAACAGTTAAATCTACCTGTAAGTGAATGTTCATAGTATATTTTAACAGTTAAATCTACCTGTAAGTGAATGTTCATAGTATATTTTAACAGTTAAATCTACCTGTAAGTGAATGTTCATAGTATATTTTAACAGTTAAATCTACCTGTAAGTGAATGTTCATAGTATATTTTAACAGTTAAATCTACCTGTAAGTGAATGTTCATAGTATATTTTAACAGTTAAATCTACCTGTAAGTGAATGTTCATAGTATATTTTGTAATACTTCAACTTTTAGGCCAATTTAGGACCCTAAGATCATCTCCTTTCACTTTGCGGCACTCGACACATTTAAAAAAAAAATAGTGAGAAATACTTACCATATTTATTTCTCCTCGATACATTTTCATTCTGGTACATAACAAGAAAGCAAAAAGAAGTTTGTCCTTCTCAAACAAAGATCTGCAGACATTGGAATACAGACTGAATGTGAAATAGTTGTTGATGTTTAACACACGCTGCTGAAGGTTATCTGTAAAAAGGAAAATAATATGTAAAATGTAACTTGCATCAAAAAAAAGAAAGTTACCAATGGCCATCGATATCCCTGTATGCCCTTAATAACTGTTAAACTTGAAAAATGACAAAATTAATTACAATGAGTTGGTACCCCTAAAGTAAAAAAAGATTTTCCTCATCAAAAGTAAAAACAGAAATGGCTATACTGGCAGTAGACTACCAAGTTTAATAAAGAATCTATCAAGGACAATAGATATAAGAAGATGTGGTATGAGTGCCACAGAGACAACTCTCCATCCAAGTCACAATTTGTAAAAGTAAACCATTTTGGTCAAAGTACGGCAAGTCCAAATAAACAATAGAGAAAAACCTGCTTAAAAGCAGAATTTAGTCATCTCTGAGCTAAAAAAAAGCAATCATTATCAATACATAAAAAATTAAAAAAGAGGGATGAGGGGGGATGACACACTTTTGGGATAGGCGCTATAGGAGGGTAAAAAAAAGTGGGGATGTGGGAAATAGGGAGTAAACAAAATGGGATCTGGGAAAAAGATGGAAAAAAAGAGGGAACTGGGAAAAAATTACAATAAAAGCGGGATTTGAGAAATGAGCACCCCAATGTCACCCCTCTGGGATTACTCACCTGCTCGTTCTGCCTGTGAGATACCACCAAGGAAAATGGTAACAAACCATTCAAGAGAATACTGGTACATAGGATCAATGTTGCCCATATCTGACACACAGAAGAATAGGATCTGAGTATTTACTGCCACAGGAATGTACTGACTCCTGGTCTGATCAATGTCTTTCTCTGTCTGCTCAGCTACCAACACTTTAGCCTACAAAAAAAAAAAACAAGTATTATTTTCTATCATAGTAGTTATGTTTCCCTGTTTATGAAGCCTCTAAAATTTAAGAAGGCATGTCCTCAAAGAATGAAGTACCTTTGGCATATGCAAGTTTTTATGTACATATCATTTTTTATTTTTTTCTTACTTAATAGGTGTGAAGTCTTTCTGTTTGGAGGGAAGCCTCCTAATTTGAAAATCTCCCCTATTAAATAGTCTCCTTTACAGAAGTTCTGAATCACCCTAATACACTTTTCTCCATTTTTTTTACCCTCTATTATCAATCTATAGATATAAAACTAATAATCACTGTATTGTCAAAATAACATCTTTTCACACAATACCGAAGAACTCAAGATATTCAACCTATATTTCTTTATGTAATACAATATCTTCCAAGGACAGCTGATGCATAATGAATTTATACAGTAAATTTAATACCTAACTCTCTATCTTTTATCAACCATGAGGTACTGTTAATGTGGATATTGTTGTGGGTTGTATTTTTCACATTAATACATAATGCATAAACTTTTTGTGAGATAGTTATAAATTTGCAGACAGAATGATAATTGAGGCCTTCACATCAATATCATTGATTTGTACAGGGGGTATTTTTCACATTTAATGTTATTGCAAAATATGAAAAATAAACCCTTGCATGAACAATAATTATAAATTTGCAAATGGAATAACAGAGGACTTCACATCAATATCCTTGATTTGTACCAGGGATATTTTTCACATTTAATGTTATCGCAAAATAAGAAAAATTTACCCTTGCATGAAAATTTCCAGATAAACAGTACAATAAATTATGAATCCATCATACCTGAATTTCCATAGATTTAACTTTTGAGGCATCTAGAGTATTGATGAGATCTATATCATCTACAGGGCTTCCTTCTGATGAACTCAATCTCTCTAAAATTCTGTCTTCAATTTCCTTTAATTCCTGTTTCATCTTAGCATTGCTTACAATAAGTTGATTCTTAGCTTCCTCTAGATCTGGACGTTCCTCTGCCACTACAATACCCAACATCTGATCTTCCAATCCACTGGAAAACAGAGAAATAATTATATGCTTTATCATAAAACATTTTGAAATTTTGATAAGGTAATTAAAAGGTTCTCACTAATTTTGCAACAAAAATTCCAGGTTTATTTTCTCAATGACATTCATAAAATTTTATGGATGGTATCAGAAGAAATAAATGAAGATTTCATTAATCAATTTTGACTGTAAAACAATAAATTTGAGATCATTTATATAAAATTGTTTCACAGCAAAAATCATTTCACCATGAACTTGCAATTTTTACACAACAAAAGTATATCAAAATTTTATTTCTGTAATTCCATAATCTTGAATTCAAACATTTTAATCAAAAATTATATTGCTAAACCTTTTTTACTCAATATATATAAAGTTGACATATTCACTAACCTTGGTGACAGTATAAAGTTGACCAAAGTGACTTTAGCTGACACTTCTAGTGTAAAATGTATATAAAGTTAACATATTCACTCACCTTGGTGACAGTGTAAAATTGACCAAAGTGACTTTAGTTGACACTTCTGGTGTATAATGTGGATTAGGCAGTTTTGTTGTGATGTAGAATTTGAAGTCCTGATGATATGGAATAATAGCATCTCCCAATTTGATTACCAAGCTTCCTTGTTGTTTGAATGTCTGGAAAACAAGTTACGACAATACATCATTATGAAAAACAAAACCTAAGTTTAAATTATAGCTCACTTTAAAAATAAAAATTGACCTCTGCATGTAATGCAAGTGATTTAAAATCAAAGATGTTGTTAATATAATAAGATAAAAATAAAAAAAATAAAAATAAAAAACATGACTGCTGCGCAGTCTAATTAGTAATTCTTTTTATTTCGCCACTGTAATGCTATGGACAGATGTGTCTAGATATCCAGTACAATGAGCATCTAACTTTTTACCTAAGTAGACGTTCAGCGATTTAATGTTTCGAAGTAGAAATGCAACCTTATTTCAGTAACCATGAGAGTTTTGTGTGGGATTATGCATCCATTTGAGGGTCACTGACACTGATGTGTGCCCAAAAGCATCAAAGCAATTTTATTTTCTTAAGAAACTTATCAAAATTCTTGCTATTAACATGTTGATACTAAAATTGTTATGAAGGAAAAGTGATCACAAGAACAATACTTCTGTTGCAAGAAGATCACTACTGACTAATTTATGCAGTTTTGTGTTGTCACAGAATTCTACTCAAAAAGACTGACTAACCTGTTTTAGAAGTATAGGTTCCAAGGCAGGATCAAGTTCAACACCAATATTCTCTAGCAGACATGGTTTACCAAATCTTACAGCATTCTCCAATGATCTGAGGAAATCTTTATCAGACAGCTTGATCACATCCAAGCCAGCATCCCTTTCCTGCAAAATTAAGAGAAAATTAAGAAAAAATACATATTTCACAAACAGCTCCTATACATAGCTGTGACTTTGAAAATATGTTAAATATTTGGGTAATTTTGGTATGAAATGAAAGCTTAAGGGCCATGGGCCAATATTGAACCATGCTTGAATGATAAAAAGTTATATGACATTGAAATAGGAGGGTTTTTTGCTTGTTTCTCAGATAAGAAGTATCTGTTTTGTACTTCTAGACTTCTGTAAACCAGTGGACTCTTATATTCAATTAGAAGTGTGTTGGAATTTTCTAGCTTTAGGTATTGTATAGACATGAAATGACTGTTACTTGATTTAAACTTTGAGACAAAATGGCTGTGAATGCTGGAAATTGCTGATTTCACATGGAAAGCAATAAAGCCATGAATTAGTTGTTATATACTTTGAATTTTTTTCAAAATACTTAGGATTTCCTACCCAGGAATAGATAACCTTAGCTTCATTTGGCAAAACCTTTCCGAAATTTCTATGATGAGTTAATATACCATAAATGTTATTCAATCTATCCATAAAATCACACTTTCAATAAACTTCCGTAAGGCAATTACTATTAAACTCTTCTTTTTCTTAGCTAATACAATATATAATTATGTTACATACCAAATTTTTAACCCATTTATTAGCTTGTCCTTGAGGGTCAATAAACAGGGGCCATCTCCTGGAATACTGTACAATGACACCATTCTCCACAGACAAGTTATCCTTAGGTAGACCTGCAATTTGCCAGCTACGAACTTTGACTGGGTCACTCATGGTAGAGATCAAGGATGGATCATCTGTTCTGGGAACTTTAAATTTGTCTAGTTCTTTTACCCAGTCGTCAAACATCCTTTGTCTGAAATCTCCCTGAAAAAAATGGGTTTAACTTTATTCTTTGTAAAATCTTCTGCAAACATTTAGTTCTAACTTCAACATTTTTAAACTTCTCAATTCTTTGGTAACTACTACTATAAATATTTAAAGGTTATAACATTTTCATGGCATCTTTTTTATTGATCGAAGATATAATGTAGGTAAAAGAAGCTTATCTTTTATTTATGACATATTTCATATATGAAAAAACTTACAGTGAATGGACCAAGATAGGCTATATAAGCAGACGATATTAACACATCTCCTACATAGTTATCAATGACTTTCTCCAATGTTTCTACTGATTCCTTCCATCTTTCTTTCTCATCTGCTAGACCACCAATCAGCTGTACAAGAAAAACAAGTACATGTAATATCTGATATACAATTATTGATAAACAAATTAGAAATTAGATACTTTTAAGAAAGTAAATATAGGAATGTTGTTATAAATAGTATTAGATTCTATCATTATATATTTATAAATATCAAAGTGCAAATAACTTTAACAAGATATGAAGCATCCAGGTCTTCTACCTTCTGAAATATAAAGCTTTATACAAATAGTTTACACTGCCACCGCATACTGTGACAAAATACTGTGAAATTTGTCACAGGCGAGACAAAAATTATGAACTATAATTGTCCCCAGAGAGGGACCTATATTCTTCTTAATGGAATTACAGAGTTACAGCCTCCCACTCCCACCCCCACCCACACCCCCACACAAACCAACAAAAAATATTGGCATAAAGTTAAATTAAAGTGCAGTGACCTTAAACAACCATTTCCCAACAACTTGTAGAACTTGGTAATAATTGTGTAAAATATTACTCGTTTTTAAAAAGGCATAGATAGGTCAGAGGCAACAGTTGTGTGAAGAGTTTCTCAGATTTAAGCAAGACATGAAAACCTGACCCAGACACTATCTATCTATATATATATATATATATATCACTAGTGTGGCCTTTAACTTCATAATAAACTTCATAATAGACAGCAAACCAACCACACAAATAGCTTAAAAAAAGCCTAACAAACCTTGTCAGCTCTGATGAGTCTTTCTTCACATTCCCTGCATTTATTTTCCAGTTCGTCCTTCTTTCGGAGGACATCTTCATATTTCTCCTGAAGTGTAGCAATGCCTTCTGTTACTTCCTGTAGCCTCTGTCTGGCAGCATCCAGAATACGCTGAGTTTCAGCTAATTCCTCTGAAGCTTGACGAAGCTTTTCTCTCTTTGGGGCTACACCTCTGGCAACAAAGTGATATTTGTGCATAGCTCTTGCCCACATGCAAATGGATGTACAGGCCTTAGACACCTACAATACACATTAAATGGGTAAATATCTATTTCAGTATAGGATTTTAAAAGGAGTCAATTTTAAAAAAAAAAATTTAATCATATGACAGGTAATCTATCTAAATTTTTTATTTCCATACCTTTGGCATTGCAATTAATGCAATTCCCTACAACATTGGCAATGCAATTCCGTACAACTTCAGTTTTTTTTAAATAATCTTTTATTCATTTTTGTCTAAAAATCAGATTTTTAATTTCCAATTAGAATAAAATGATGTGTATGCCATAATGTTTTTTTTTTAAACAGAAAGCAGATGACTACAGTTATTAGTCAAATGGTAAGTACTTAAGTTATCAGTCAAATGCTTAGTACCAAAAGTTATCAGTAACATCATACCAGTCAAAGGATGAAAAAAAACACATTTCATTACCTTGCACATGAGAAACACGAATAAAACATTAAATACCTTTGCAATAGCAGCAGGTGTGAATGCTTCATCATCAATGTATGGCTGGATCCTTTTAATACAATCATCAGGAATGTTATCTTTGTCATACTTGAATAAACTTTCAAGGAATTTACCAGGGTCACTCAGCTGTGCTTTGCCAACATCCCAGTAATCATCTACCTTTTGTCCTGGCTGAAATAACACATGTAAAAATCTTTATTTTTTTTACCAATCAAATTGAGGAATTTTGTTATCAACCAGTTTGGAGTTGACGTTTGAATAATATCCAATGGTAAATATTTCAAAGATTTTACCACATTTAGTTCAGCTGGTTATAAAATATTCTAGTTTATGTGTGGAACAAACCAATTTCTTTTTTTTAATAGGGTAGTTTGATTTTCTTATGTGTATTAACATTAGACACGCTTAATTATTTAGTAATAACACAAAACATTCTTTATTTTATTTGGTGTATTGAAATAACATTAAACATAAAGTATTCTTAAGTGTAGTAACATAAACTCTCTTTCTTGCCATACAGTCTCTTATATTATTCTGACTCCCTGTAGGGAGCCCCAGTGATATAACTACCTTATCTCCAGTGACTCTCTTTGGTTTGATACCCTTCATAATACAAACAGCCTCTATGACCATTCTGACTCCCTGTGGGGAGCCCCAGTGGTATAACTACCTTATCTCCAGCGACTCTCTTTGGCTTGATACCCTTCATAATACAAACAGCCTCTATGACCATTCTGACACCCTGTGGGGAGCCCCAGTGATATAACTACCTTATCTCCAGCGACTCTCTTTGGCTTGATACCCTTCATAATACAAACAGCCTCTATGACCATTCTGACTCCCTGTGGGGAGCCCCAGTGATATAACTACCTTATCTCCAGCGACTCTCTTTGGCTTGATACCCTTCATAATACAAACAGCCTCTATGACCATTCTGACTCCCTGTGGTGGATTGTTGAGGGACTTGACTTCCACGACATCAGTCTTAGACAATGACTTCAAACTGGCTACAGCTGCATCCTACAAAATAAATAACATGTCAATAGGTATCCAACAGTAATAGTTTTATATTTGAGTTGAGTGAAGCAGGGTGTATAGGGATCCTTAGACTTTTTTAATAGTAAAAACACCTAGCCAACCTGTTATTCAAAAGCTGAAATGATGTCTATTGTCAAAATTTAATTGTGGAGATTCATTTGTAGAATTGATATTAGTACAGAAAGTTGGTCTAACCAGTACCACCATTAGTAAAAAACCTATTTTCTTCATGAACAGTAAAAACTAATCATTCTTTAACACAGTAACAACAAACATATATGTCATGAAGAGTATTCCAAAAGAAGGAGTCAAGTAAGTGAATTTATACAGTCAAACCTACTATAAAGGTCACTGCTATTAAGCCAAAACCTGTCTTGTTAGATCACCCTCTTCTTGTCCCCTCGTAGTAAACCCAATTCATTTTGAACCTCAATTCAAAGATAAAGTCAGTTTTCTCTGGTCCCCAGGGTGACAGTAATTTACAGGTTTGACTGTACAAATGTACTTCAATTCCATCATGATATGTTTTTAAGATAAGTTCTACTGGATAAAAAGATGTATAAACCATATTGCTGAAAACTTACTAAGGCAGGCAGAGCTTCATTAAGATCTCGTTGAGCATCATCAGCAATGGCCTGAGTTTCTTTAGCCTTGATTGTAGCAGATGCCTCTTCTTTTTGTACCACTGCTTTTGTTTCATTAGCAACCACCTGAAAACCAAGTCAATGAAAAGGTGTCAATAAATAAAAAAAAATCCAAAAAAGTGTAATAACAGAACTCCCCAGTATATCAATGTTATTGTATAAATCTCATCTTTAAATTTATGCATAGAGTTTGAGAAGATGAATTTCAATTTTCTTTTAGAAATTTTAAAGAAATTCTTTTCTTTTTTTTTGTGTGCAAATTTATTATACTTAATTTAGATAATATACTGTCGAATGGAAAAACAAATGCTGAATCCTGAATTCCCTAAAAAGTAAAGCACTCTTCCTCTGATCCTGAGAAATTTATAATTAATTCCCAAGTCCCGATTGGTGTATATCCCTAATTCCTGCAAAAATAAAGTCCTGATCCTTATGCCCCTTTCAAGTTTATTAATTAATATATATAACCTACCGTATCTTTGGAGATTTGTTCCATTGTAGATACTGACTCTTTGACAGCCTCTTCAAGTAAAGGCTTCATTGAAGCCAATTCATCTTGTAACTTGTCTACTTCTTCTGCTGTTTTCAACAACTATATCAAATACATACAAAAACTTTTGTTAAAATTTTAACTCAATACATGTTTACATATACAATTAGATATTTTCAAATAACACTCATTTCTCTAAAGACTATTCAGGTTGTACGGGATATAAATTACTGTAAATTCAGAAATTATTGTGAGATTTTTATTAATGCGAATAATGCGAACTGGTGGGGATCGCAATAATAACTCACATTCTGATATCTGATGCATATATATGTATCCAGATTTTTCTGAAATTGCAATAATTAATCCTGCATTAATGTCCATTCTTAAAAAATCGCAATAATTTCTGAATTTACAGTATATGGAATGCATAAAGTAAAGGGAGAACTCTTGAATAACAATAGAATTCATATATAATATTTTAACAACTATTTTCTAAGACCAAAGAGATTTACAAAAACAAATATTAAATTTTTTCATTTTAACCAGTAACAAAATGAAATGAAAATAAAATATCTGCGTGATTTTTTACCATACATCATCATCATAATAGACCCTGTTTGGTTTTTAGACATAGCTGCACTTAAATAACTAAATTACTGCTCACTGATGATACCCCCGCCGCAACTGGATAATTTTAATAGTGTAAAAATATGTAAGTGTTCGGTAAACAGGAAGTTGTTGAGTGATGAATCTGAAAACGCATCAAACGGTATAGCTGACTTATATAAACCCTGAAACCAAATTTCAGAAATCCTTATGATGTAGTTTCTGAGAAAGATGCGACAAAAAATATTCATGGGACGGACAGACAGAGGTAAAACAGTATACCCCCACTTTTTTAGCGGGGGTATAATAAAAACAAGTTGCAAGAAAATCAGACGTAATACTATACCATACCTTATCTAAACCAGTTTTTAGTCTGTTCCTGGATCTGTTTAATTCCGTTTTCTTCAATCCAACGAGACGAGAGAATATCCCCAACAATTCCAGGTAACTGGTAGGTGTGACATAGTTGTGACGATTTAACTCTGCCAAAAATTTTTCAGTATAATTAAATACTGACACCTGGATTTCTTGACACATTGTAACCTAATAAAACAAATAAAAATAAGATGAAATTATGCTGATTTATATAGTTTTCTACTTGTGTAAGAAACAGCAAGACTGTTTTTATTTCTGCAAAAAAACTAAAACGTATTCATTGCCAGCGTTTAACAATAGGACTTACCCTTCATGAACAGTTGGTAACCTTAATAGCTATACAGCTTATTATTGGTCATAAACCATACAACCTTTTTTAAAATGATGGTCTGAAGAGGTGACAATCATGATAAATGGATGACCTAGGTAGAATGCAAAATATTAGTATGAATTTATTTTGCTATGATCTGTATTTTTGAAATATTTCTTGGCGTAATTACTGATTTATTATGCAAAAAGTGTCTAAGTGGTTTTCTTTGATATATACTGTTGATTGATTGATTGATTTTGTAAATTTAATGGATTAAGGAAAAATTGTTATTTCATGGATACCTGATTTCAAGATTTTAACATACAATCGTACATTTAAAAAGAATTAAAGTTGGTTTCTAAAATTTGAGGTTAACCTTTACACATAAAACCTACACCCACCAGTAATCATGATCCACATTCTAGTTTTCACCAAATATTTCTAGAGCATGCTGTCAGATGTACATCCACTTCATAACGTTACACTCCTCCCCTTTCCAAAAGCAGCCCAGATCACCAATTTTTACTGATGACCACCTTTTATAGAACTATCCTGAATTTGTTTACACTATACAAGTCTTCTTAAAAATTAAAAAAATTAACTTACCAAACCTTCCATAACTTGATCTGTACAATCCAATTCTGGGATATCATTAAGGAACCTCATTGCAACAGATCTCAGAGCATCAGCTGGCCATTCGCTAAACCAATCAATTGTACAACAGTTGACCAAAGCTGGGAACTGTCGAAGTCTGGCTCTGAAGATCTCACCAAGAGGACTCATAGTGATTACAGTGTGTAAGTTACTTTTAACTCTCTTTGTATAGGCAGAAAACAAATTTGTTTTAGTTGGTGGAAGACCTAAATCTTGAACGAAAGGCTTCATGGCGGTAAAAATCTGTTCTTGGTCATCAAAAGCGTAAATATTGGGTACATCACCTGCGTTCAAAATGTTATTAATGTCTTCAAGGAATGATTCATTCTTAATTTGTGTGTCACTAAACAAAAACACCACAGGTTTGCTTTCTAAACCAGCTTTCATCATAACTTTTTTCAAATCGTCTTTCCATTCATTAATACCATAGTTTTTAGCCAATTCAATCTGGAAACAGTCAAATTCAGCAATATGTGCGGACAACCTTGTTAAACTTTGTCTACCACTACCTCCCATACCAAGCAACAGAGCATTTCCTAATGGCTGTCTAATGACACGGCTGATTCTGCTGATATGCTTCACTGCATCCATAAACAATACAAGTTTCATCTGGGCTGTGTTGATTTGATTGTAATCTTCTAACGAATCGTCTAAGACCTTGACCATTTTTACGTGATCTTCTATCTCAATGTATGGCTTGTTGTCTCCCATACTTGTAGACATAAAGTCTCCATAAATAACTGGTTCCTTTGTGACAACTTCTTCAAACTCCATTTTAAAGTCCGTTTTCATTTTTTCTTTAATTAAGCTAGCAAACCAATTACGATCTTCATCGTTGACAAGACGGTCTTGGAATACACGACAGCTTTCATGATACCAGAGTCTCAATAGGCTTGGCAAACCCTAAAAAACAATTACATTGTAAATATTTTAGTAAACTAATTCTTACAAGATTTTATTCAAATAATTTGACTTTAAAGGGACTTTAATAATGTAAATGAAGATTTTTTTTTTTTCAAAGTAAAAGTAAAATGTTCAATCCATTTATCAGAATAAATCAGAATAAGATCTTTTCTTTCTTTTTAATTTTTGATTTAAAAAGTTTTCTAGACTGGAGTATATGAGAATGTTCTAACAGAGTATGTAAAATTGTTCTAAACATTTTTGATGAATTTACTAAAGAAGATTTTAACTCAAAAGAGTAATAAAAATTCTCTATTCTGTAACAAAAATTTTCTTATTCAAACAAGAGTCTCATTTTTGAACAAAGGAGATTCTGTTGTCACAATTTAAATGACATTGACCCAAAGAGAACAAACATTGTCAGATAACAAGTTTTAATGGGAGATTACTTACATCAATTTTTGTAGGATCAACCATCAACATTCCCTGGAAAACTTTAGACAAATCTCTCAAGTTGAAGGTATAATGAGATTTGGTGGGCGTTGGCAGGAGCTGTGTGGTGATGGTGTTGTAAACAGAAATACAAGTCGTTACCATTTGGTCTACATGTTGCTGCATGGCAGGAACTGTCAATACAAACATTCATAAGTTATGATAGTAAACATTTTGGGGATGTTGTATGTGATCAGGGCTATTCCAGAAAAAACTTTAGGGAGGGTTGGACATCACGATATTTTTTTCTGTTGGCAATAGGGGTGGAAGCAAATGCAATTTTGTTACAAATGAAAATAAAAATAATAGGCGATGGGGTATAGAAAAAAGTGTTAAATGCATTTTTTCTGGAAAAGTCCTCACTGAATAACACCTGCAACTGTCTCTTTCAGGTAACAATGGGCTATCTATATATGATATACCTTAAATAAACCAATTTGTTTGTTTCACTCTCTATATAAATATATTTTGGATAATTAATCAATTTGCTTGAACTAGATAACATACAATTACCGGTAATCAATTTGTTTATCATTCATGGTATACTTAATAAAAACCTCAAATAGGAACTCTTAAAATTAAGATGATCAAATATCAAATCCTAATTTCCTATTACTAAGGACTTTTCCACAAATATCCCTACTTATTAAGCTAACCATGAAATTTTTCTACAAATACTGTCTGTAATATTTATCTAGAATTGTCTTAGAAACTATATTAGGAGCTTCATCATGTCATATTTATAATAACTTTGACTCATAAATTCCTGATAAAATTTTCCTATTACTATACACCTTTTCCATTTTTAAACTATTTTACCTTTTCCATTTTTAAACTATTATGTTGAAATGATAGAGACACAATTCAAATAACATGCTGTAGTCAGAAAACCTGCTGAAATTTTTTCATTTTTTATTACAGTGCAATGAGAAATAATGCAGCAATTCCTGCAGAGGTCAAAAATTTAGATCAAGAAAATAACTTTTACAAATTATGAAATGGAAGAACAGAACTGTACTCTATATATGAGGGTCTGGTTGAGGTTTACAGAATAGAGAATTGACCAAATCTACATAAAAATGGGGCAATAGAATAAAGAAGAGAGAAAAAAAAGACCCCCAAAAAAATAAATACTTGAGAATAATTAGGTGCAAAACATATAAAGAGTAGAGAATAATAGGCAAAAAATATCAAGAATAGAGAAAAATGACTTGAAAAATTAAAGAATACAGAAATGAAGGACCCCTTCCTCCATCCAGATCCTCATATATATACGATTCTTGACTATATAAATAGCTATAATAAATCTTCATTTCTATTGGAAAGTAGCATTTTAAATTAATCTGATGGTCTGATTAGACTAATAAAAACTTTACTGGTTAAGGAAATATGTAAAAATAAATTTCATATTTTTTCAACCAGAAGGTTTTGAGCTTCTCTAAATAACTTTCTTAGATGCAGGCTATTACATTTACTATAAAGTTATTTGTAAAATCTAAGGGAAAAGAAAAACAACAAATTAAAACTAGAACAAGAGAAGTTTGATATCTAAAGGTTTCAGATCTACAAAGAAAGTTGAATTACCATTTCAGAACTTTATCAATTTCAATACATATTTCAAGAACCATTTTTAAATGTATAAAGATATTTTTCTTCCTTTATTCAATTGTGAAATGTTTTTTTTTTTTTATTTCATTTCATTTAGCATAAACTAGGAGTGCGAAAATTTACTACCTTGCCTGATTAGCTAAATTTCATTAAATCCTTTTTAATTCTGAAATGGTATTAGATAACAAGCAATCAATACTACAAGAGATTCTTTGAGCGCTAACAAGTAAAATAGAATAGTAGAATATAAGTAGTTATCAATTTGGAAAGTTGTTTTGATGCACAGAATATAAAGACGAAGAGCTGATACACTACTTTATAAGAGATAGATTTTAACATGGCTACAATCTACTGTAGTTTTACTTTCAACAAACCTTCATTTACCAAACCCATTAACTCGGTATCTAAAACAAAATCAACAATAACCTCTTACCCAAATCTAATTCTTTATATAACATATATACATAGATTTTATCAGTCAGTTGCATATCAAATATTTTATATTTTTTTTACATTTTTCACTTTATTACGAGATGTGTTGATACTTATAAAAATTGATATTCAATTTAAACTCCAATGAAAGCATAATATATATATACAGGAATTAAATTATAAATTTCATATTTTTCTCTACTTTAGACCATTTTTCCTTGGTTACCAGCTGTATGTCATCTCTTAAAATTTTTTGCTGTTGAATTAAACTCCCACTAAAGCAGTCTCTTTAGATTCATATATATAGTATTCAAATTAAAAATTTCAAACAACAGATATAAAGGTAATTGAATTCAGAACTATCCATACTCTTTCCGAAAAATAAAGCATCCATAATATATCAGAATTTTATATTTATATTTCAATTCTTTTTAAAAGTACACAAGAAATTATAATCATATTATATACTAAATATTCTAAATAGATTTTAAATTTCATTAATTTATAGAAAAGATAAATATCAATCTTATTTCTTTGTTTTCATCGCTAGATTTTAATAAGTAGCTATAGCATCATTTTAATATTCATAGATTTTATATAGCATCATTTAAATATTCATAGATTTTTTCCTCTCAACTAAATATTCATAGATTTTCCCCTCTCATTTAAATATTCATAGATTTTCCCTAACTTTTTGCTCAACTTACCGACCCAGGACTTGAATATGCTACCAAAGATCTTTCGTTTACTTGAATCTTCCATTTCAGTGAAGGCGATGAAGTTGAAATGACGTAACAATCTAGCAGAGATTGGATTCCTGCCTCCACCTGGTGGACCCATGGCACAACAGAAGTTGACATCTACTAAGTTACGGAAGTCACCTGTAAATAAATCATTGAAAACAATTTAAAATGGTGCAATTATCTGTTTGAGATCCAATTTTGTGTTTATATCCAGATGTATCGTTTGCTAAACTGAAGCTAACGTCTGTCAAAATATGATATTTTGATTGATTGATTGTAGGTTGCCTAAGGTCCTGTAAAAATATGAAATCAGACACTGATAAAATGTTTGTTATTTAGAACTAAGTCACAGATTAAGATTTAAGCAATTTGAATGTAAAAATATGTTTTTTTTAAGTAGATTTTTTTTGTATTCATTTAAGGAGGGTGTGTATTGTATCAATTTGACATTTTCTAACCATATGAAGGATAAGAACATCAATTAAAAAGATTTCTTGGTTGTACATGAGCTTACAGTCATAAAACTTTCCAGTAAGATTATTGTAATCAGACTCAGAAATCAACCAATCAAAATAATGGATTTGGCATTTCGAGCACAAACTTTTTACTCTGAGTACTAAGTAAAGTTTTATGACTAAAAGGCCTGAACATTGTGTAACAACACAACTAATACATTTAATCTTTTCTAATCACAGTTACGACTTTAGTGGAATATATTGTATTTCTTATACTTAATAAATGAAAGGATAAAAGAAGAATGTGTCTGAGGACACAAATGATCACGCTCAAGCTTGCTTAAAATATGTGAAAATACAGTTGGGACGGACGGAAAGATTTGATTTGATTTTTTGGTGTTTTAACGCCACTTTTGGGCTATTTCCTGGCGGCCAGTTTTTATTGGTGGAGGAAGCCGGAGTGCCCGGAGAAAACCACGACCTTCGATAGGAAAACTGACAATCCTAGTCAATTAAGATTGGAGTCGAGTGCACCCGCAGGAGCGGGGTTGGAACTCACAACCTCAGTGTTGACTGGCTAGTGATTACAGTAGTAACTACTTAGACCACAAGGCCACCGAGGCCCCTTGGACGGAAAGATGGACAGAAGGACGGACTGAAGGACAGTTAAGGGTAAAACTCAATGCCCCCTTCGCCTAACGTTGGCGACATAAAAAAGTTGGGAATAAAAAGAGAAATAGAGTAAATATCAATGTGACAACAACACAATTTAAACCTTACTTTGTTTATAGACTCTGGGCGATTTAGAGCTTGAGATACTGTGTAGACAACTATTGTTTGTTGAAGACAATATGTTGATCTTTGGAAATCTTTAGGTTTCCTTGTATTGTTGAGTTGCTGTCTCATAGATGTAAGCCCCACATCTTTTATTCATATAAAGGTCAACATGGTAATTTACCATGTGCCATTTAATATTCAAACTTTGAATACTTGCTTAATTGTAAGCAGGAAAAGTAAAAGCTTTTGTTTTAATGTGCATGAGTTTATGAACCATGACCTCCCTAACTCTTGGAAGGTACATTATTCACAAAGGCAGTATTTTTCTGTGAAACTTACCAATCTGTTTCCTGTCATACCATCCTTTGAAGTCCATCCATTGTCTGATCAATTCTATTGGAGGCTGGGCACCATATTCCTCTAATGCTGGCATGTTCAAATCATCAATAAAGAAGATGAAATATTTGCCCAGTGGTGGTCCAAATACTCCTTTACGTCTGTAATATAACATAAAAGGTTAGAACTGTCAATGGTTTCAAATCATGCCTTCATGTTGAAATACTACTGAACAATAGCAATATTTAATTCTACAATTCTTAGCTGATTTACATCCTAGTCAACAGATTGTTTTTATAATCAACATTGTTTGCTTATTTTCTGCAAACTGTGGCCAAAATTCAATTATCAAATCTGATTTCAAACTTGTTTTCATTAGTTTTCCATAATGATGGCATGAACAAAGTTGACCTTGCCTGAAGATGCCACACAGAAATGACACATTTTTTTTCCCCAGACCTCCAGAAAATAACATAAAAATTACTTGTATACTCATCAAAAGTAATTTTTTAAAAGATACAAATTCTATGACTGCATCTTGAACAAAACAACATCTCTTCACCCTAAAAATATTCAAATTACTGGAAAGCATCACATTTAGATTTTCTTTTAATATAAGTGTTATAAGGCGTTTGGTTCTACTGGCCATAGAAGAGCAATTGTGAGACTATAATTTTTCTCCTAAAAGTTAAATTCCAATTTCAGTTGTCTAATAGAATTTCTACACCATCATACCTCTTGTCAAGTTTTCCATCGATGAGATCCTGTGTCTGGTTGGCACTAGTTTTAGCAGAGAAGACCATGAATTCTGGAATGTATTCCTTTGGCATTTTTGTACCAAGTTTGTCAGCAATAGTCAGTGTCTTTCCAGTACCTGTTGGACCTACAGACATTACCTAAAACAAAAAGTAACAATTATTACCTCAAACAAGAAAAGTAAAAGCAGACTTTCTTGAATTTCTTTTTTTCCCTAGTGGTCCCTGAAGAAAATTTGCTGTCCTCACTTTAATTTTTATTGCAAAATATCAAAATTGTGTTGGTCCTTTGCAAAATTTTGGTGGTCAAAACCTTCAGACCACCACTTTTCAAGAACTCTGTAAAAGGCATTACCTAAACAAGGAATGTATAAAACTATAAATCTGATGTTTTGGCCTTTCAAGAATTCTACTACATTACAACAGTGAATATGGAGTTGTGGCTTTCAGCTAAGAGTCTTGGTGACTTCAGTTGTGAAAGACTGTTTGTTAAATGAATATTTGCAAGTAAGAAGAAATTTATGGATTGCAAATGATTCATTTCTTCAGTAATTTTTTATTTCATATTATTAAAATTTTTGTGTTGTCTACCAGATGCCTAAAATAAATTTAATTCTTATGAAACTTACAGATTTTTTGTTGGTCAGCAACATTTCAAGAATACAAGAACTTCTGATATTGTCAATAGTTGGTACAATAATGTCTGAAAACTTGGTATCAGGAGTGATGGTAAATTCTGGACATCCAATCAACCAATTCTTCCAACAGACCTAGAAAAAAACACAAAATATTCTGAATACAAATTAAGAAAATAGAAGAAAGAGGAAATTTTCTGCAAATATCTAAAACTGAACGTCAGCAAGCATTTTGGGTCGGTTCACTGTGCTCATTTGCCAATCAAAGACTTCCTATTGTGACTCAACACTGATTCTATACATACTGTACTACAACATCAATTGGCAGAAAATCTGATTATTGGTACCAACCCACTCAAAAGAGTGACAGACTCAAAAATGGATGAAAATTGGTTCACTAAAAACTTTATATTTTACTTCACTACCCCAAATTCTTCAACATATCAGTTCAAACTTTCAAAATGTTTTTAAAACCAGTTTCATTTATTTCAAAAAGATAAAAACTACACAAATCATATATAATTATATTGCACACAAACCTGTTAAAATGGCAAAAACAAATTTGAATGTGATACTTAAAAGAAAAAACAGTAGGTTAAAAATTCATAAATTACAGCATTTTCAAAGGTAAGGTTCCTTAATACAAAGTTTGCCCAATTCCTCCATATCTGATACTGTAAATCAACTAATTTTCGCAAAAAACTTTATTTCACATTTAAGACTACTTCGCAGAGATTAATCTTCCCAATTTTCTAGATTTACCATTGCATTTATATATGTTATAAATTATATTCACAAACTTTACAGACGAGATCTTGTATGTATCAGTCCAAAATTTGTAAGCTAGCATTCTTAACATCAGCAACTGAACAGAATATGACCAGTTGCTAAAAAATGGTTTATAATTAAAGGTTTTAGATCTTATCTCAAACTTCACTGTTATTGTTAGTTTTTCATCCGTTCTTAAATTTTCAAGTTTAGAATTGCAAAACATATAAACAAGAGTTATCTATACTTTTTTAAAGTATCGAAAGCTGCACACTTTACCTTTGCTACCTGTAAAAAAGAAAATCTATTATGAAATTTCTCTTAGTTTTTCAAATTAAACAAGAGCTATACCAGAAACATCCTTTTCAAACTATTCAAACAGAATTAATAGAGTATGAAAATTTTAATACCCATGAGGATTAAGTCTGATATGGTAAATTATTTTGCATTCAGATTAAAATCAAACCGCTCACTTGCTGTCGTTTATTTATATGTCGTGCTTCATATCAGAAAACAGAAGCGCTGAGAGGTTTGATTTTAATCAGACTATTTTACACTGAACAAAAAGCAAACTGAACATTCTATTGGCTCTTCTAAATCAAATAGCCCTGAATGGGTGGATTATAATTTGGCAAAACTTCCTAATCACAGGGACGACTGCCAAAAAATCTGGCCCTGTTTCAATTTTTATTCTCTCAGATAATTGCCAGGTGACTTTTTCAACTCCTAGCAGCTAAATTATGCAAATAATTTTTAAATACTGTGAATTCATTTTCAATCGTGAAGTGTACCAATTTTTTTTTTTGATTTCTTGGGAAAAGGTAAATCAGAAATCTACATGTTCACTATGTATCAATTTTTACAGTTTTGTATGCAGACTTCGGCAAATCAACGAAATCCAAGTGAAATATCAACGAATACATATTTATTCCTCAGTCCTTGAAAATTGGTACCTATAAAAATAAGGGCTATTCCTCAAAATGTATGTGGGAGGGTAGGAAGGGACTTCCCTATATCCCTACAACCAAGAACCATTTTTTAAATAATTTTGCATAATGGTAATAGACACATACTGAAAAAAGACCATTGACCCACATTCAATAATTAAACTTCCCTTCCTACCCTCCCACATACATTTTAATGGAATAGCCCTAAATGAATCCACAGTAAATTATGTTTTTAAACAAGGCCACAAATAAAATTTACATAGTTTGATGTTGCCTGCCTACCTACCCACCTAAGAAGCAGCCTACCTGAAAAATTTTATGACACCAATCGTTTCAATTTTTTTAAAAAGATTTTTCCTGCTCTAACATCGTTTTGCTGTTTAAAACATGTAACTTATGTAGTTGACTAAAAAAAAAAGGAAAAATCCCTACCTACCTACCTAACCCTACAAGGCATGGTTAGGCAACATCAAACCAGGAATTTCTTAAGGGTGGCCCAAAAACAATTCCACAATTAAAATGTATATGTATATTGTTTGATGTTCGTGACAAACATTTGTAAACATTTTGTTTTTCTTGTACAAAATTTAAAAAAAGATATGTATACCGATTTATTTAACATATGTTGCTTAAGTCTTACCTCTTTTTTCTCAACAACCTCCTCTTCCATCAACTCATCTGCCTTACTGCTACTGATCCCAGCATCATCAAGTCTATAATCGTAAACAAGTCCTTCTCCAGGGAATAGAAGTCCAAACTAAAACAAGAAATTGAATGAAAAGATTCGAACAAATTGTACACCTGACAAAATCAAAAGTTATGTCTTCTATGGCAAATTTCATTGTGAAATAATGATATTAACATAATTTAGAAACTGTTCCCAGTTTTCTCCATTGAACATTTGAATAAGACTAAACTTAGCACAAGAAAATCTGTATAAAAAGATTTCAAGCAAAAAGTAATTTAGCCTTTGTAAAAGAACATTTCCATAAAAAAAAATATGTGAATTTTTTTTTAGGCTGAATCACAAATTCAGCTGAAAATAGGTTCATCCCCATCAACATAATTAGAAAATTGGACATCATCAAAAGGTATCAAAGAAAAGAAGATTTCATATAGTTATAGCTCTGCAACTTAAATTTAAAGTAGCCATACTAGTTTCTTTTTACAACTTCTCCTTTTACTAATTCAAGGTCGATGAAGATCATTCTCATTGTATTGCATTATAACACTAAAAAGGTAACTAACCTTCATTTCTGCCATTTTTTCTCGGACCCAATTTGAGAATTTAGTCCAGCTGTCATTGTCCCCTGTACAGCCTACAGACCAGATCATGGAAAAGATGAACCATGGCTCTATCAGCTCTTTTATTCTTTCCAGTCGTTCCTGTGGTATTGGTTTGTCTCCCTATCAAAATTATACAAATTACTGTTAATGCATCTTTCATTGCTATGTGCACTTTTGGAAAAATGTATCTTAACAAAATTTACAAGCACTACAGAGAGCTTGCCAAATGTGTGTTTTTTGTTTTAATATAAATAAAAATACATATAGGGAATACATAAGTAAAAGCAGATCAGACAACAGAGGAAAGTTTATAAAGATCATGAAGTGATCATACTTTTACATAAGCACTTGTATTTTCATGTATACAAAGAACTTTTATCAAATTTGTGACATCTATGTGTTGATATAGCACACTTTTTTTATTTAGTAAGTAAAAAGTGTTTTTAAGTAAGTTAAATGTATAAGAAAGAACATCTATTAAAATAGGGACTTTTTTCATATGATGATGTAACCAAAACATAAATCAAAAAATGCATGCAAAAATGATATCAAAATTAATAGCAATAAATGACACATTGAAATATGCCACCTAACAGGAATATTTCAATATAACTATGAAATTATGTCACATGCATTTAGTATGACATGTATCACACACACATGTTCATCATGTATACTATTGAACTATCATGTTTAGTTTCTTCAAAACAAATGAACTCAAACACTATATAATGGCCACTGGAACCTAAAAATGAAATAAAATATGACACCTAGCAAAGGAAATTTGTGAGAGACAATGTGGTTAAAACCATGACTATTGTAAGATGAACAAATCATACTTTATCAATGACTCAACATACCAAATATTATTGACTTCTTATGCATAATTGCTGAAGAATAGACCTTATATAAGAAACTTGTGAGAATGAGATCAAGACCAAAAAAAACACTTATCACCTCTTTACACTTAATCCCAAATTTCAAATGTTGCTGAATTATAATGTATGGCCAATGCAAAACAGACCTCATTCAAAAGTTCTGGTCAATAAGGCATGAAAATAAGGTCAAATGAGTGGCTGTTGCCTGTCTGCCATATTTGTTTTTAGTTAAATTCGGAAGTTGTTTTCTCTTTTGATTTGTTTCACATTTTGTCATTGCAAGCCTTTAAAGCTTTCTATACAGTATGGGATTTTGCTCAATGTTGAAGGCCTTTACAGTTACCTATATTTGTTAACATCCTTTTCATCAACTACTTTCACATATATTTGATTTGATATGAAAGACGAAATGACCTGTTATAGTAAAAGCAATACAAATAACCAATGTCTGGTCTACTTGCTTCACATGCAAGGAAAAAAACTGAAAATCAACTGATAACCAACAGAAAAAACACAAACTGGTAACCATTACTTGTTGTTCAAATTGAACGAGAATACAGACTTACTACTTCCTCTTGGTTTTCCTCTTCCTCAACCTCTTCTTTAACGGAACTCACAAATAATTCCTATGTGTTTATTCAGTAAAATTTAATATGGCTAGGAAAACTCATTTCATACGTAGGATTATTTTCTACCCTTGCACTTGTTCTTAACATAACTGTTTTCTTTTTTTTCATAAATAGACCCTTCATTTGTCTAGAACCCTGCTAGTTTGATCATCTAGACTTTAAACCCAACAGAAAAATATATATTTATAAATATATTGATTGTTGGTTGCTTAACGTCCAGTGGCAAATATTTCATGCATGTTCAGGACGATGTATTTGAATATAGCATCTGTATCTAATTTGCACTAGAAAACATTTTCTTCACGAGAAACGATATTTTCTTGCTATTGGTCAAGTATACTTTATTTTTATTGAGAGGTATTTGAAAAAAAATGTCACTTTTTGACACCCATACTGCTCAGATGAAATTTATGTAAAATCCAAAATGGAATTCACTGAATCACATAGTTTCATTTGAGCTGATACAGATTTCAAAATCAGACAATTTTTTAAAAGGTTTGGAAAATAATTTAATTAAAATAATCAGTTACAAAAAATGAACACATCAACAGTGTTTGATGTAAGTGACAATAATATTTATATCACCAAAAATTTTACTTTACAAAAGTACTACTTCCACCACCATAATAAATTTCTAAAATATATTTAATTATGATACACAGTTATTGCTCTACGATGACCTATATGTACTGTAAAAGCATAAACTCTTGCTATTTAGATAATTTTTTCAAAAGCCCCCAAAAATGGTACCCTTCACATATTGTGCTCACTTAGAATTAATGGAATTATTCCAAAAAATCAATGAAATTAAATCACTGAAAAACAAAACCATAAAAATTGGATCCTGCCAAAATTGATACCTTTACAGTACATTTTCCACAACTATGTATATAATATTCTGAAAATTCATAACCAACTAGACCATGTGCATTTTTATTGCTTCATCATTGCATCAAAATATCTGGACTGATTTGATACTTACACCTGGGAATTTTACTCTCTAGATACAAAATAACAATTGAGAATAGTGATTGATTGTTGGTGTTGAATGCCACTTTCAGCACTATTGGCAATATCATGGTGGCCAGCTTTTATGCATGGAAGTTACAATAAGTTTCAATTTCAATGTTATATGTTGACCTACTTCAAAATTTCTTTAAAAAGTAACCAAAACATTCTTAAAAAGATGTACTGTGAAACTAGCGTTTTCCTGTTTCAAATAGTGTCATATTTCAGTATGTTGAAAATATCTGCATGTATTTTTGCAGTTTGAACAAAATAAAAATAATGTATTAGGGGATGCCATGACCCTCCTTCTTTAAATTAAATACATGTATATCAAATTCTCATCCTTTAATTTTCTAATAGTCAACCAAATATTATAAGAAATAGGAAAATGAAATGGTTAGCTTATAAGGTAAAAGGTTGAAAACATTTTCAATCTTGCAAATGAATGAAAGCCAATCAGCCGAAGACATCACATATCCATCATGCAATATCAGCTATACTGCAAAAGATTAAAATATTCTTCATGCTTCAATATTCTCTATTTCTAGCTTTGATATATAGTTTAAGCTACATATAAAAATACATGACATTTAGCTAAATATTATACTGTATATGTGTTTCATGCATAGTACTGTGACTGCTCTAAAACCTTACCACACGTAGCCGACTGGCCTGTGTTTGTATATAGTTTTAGATTAAATCAAATCACACAAATTAAAATATATACATATATATTGGGTCCCCACACAACAAAATAATATATATCTTTATAAGATCATGAGGTAAATAAAAGAATATATCATTTTACTTATTCATTGTAAACAATTTGATATATCTGAAGTAACTTTATAGAAGCTTTATACATAACTAAAGCAATGACAAAACCTTTTTTTTAAATGAAGCATGGTAATTTTCAACTGCAGGTTATAAAGTTAATAAGGTTATCCTTTTTATTTATCAAAAGTTTACATTTTAAAATGTTTATGTCCTACATAAGCTCAAAAAGCAATGCAATTCCCCTTTTCAGAATCAAAGGAATTATGGGTAATTTTTCAAACATCATACACTAAAATGTAATGGTTGGTTAACAACAATATTAGCAAGGATTATTTAGTCAACAGTATTGTGTTATTTTCATTTTGGTGAATGAAGATAGAAGAAATTACCCAGAATTCCATAAATTCAGAATAGGGAATTAAAATTACTATGTTCTCTTTGAAAAAAGCGTTTGGACTTAAAAGCAAATCATTTTAAAATGCAGTATAAAATAATTTTTTTGGATCACAAAAGCAAAACAAAAGATAAATGATTAAATTTAAGCATATGCAAAAAACTTAAAAGAAACCAAACCAAATGGTACATATGTTTAGTGTGGATGCAATGTGGAATCATTATCATTAGTTGGGTACCAATTTTCGAGGATTTCATTGAAAAAGGTAAGCCAAGAATTTAAATGTTTAACAATGTATGCAGAGTGTGGCAAACCCACGAAAATCACATATCCACTAATACAACTTTTACTCAATCCACGAAAATTGGTACATGTACCAACGAAAATGAATCCACAGTATTGTCATTTAATTTTAATAAAAAAAACTTTTGCCTCATAGATGGTTGTCAACCAGACCTCAAACATCTGCAACAACTTTGTAAGACCAAAAATTAGTTTTTATTTTATGAGTATGACGTTAAAGCAGCTCCATGTAAGAAACCCAAGATAATTTTAAATAATCATTAAAGAAAGAAAAAAAAAACATTTCTGTTCATTTTTTTAGTTTTGCAGACATTTCCTGGTAACAGCCTTTTCAATTGTTCATATCCTTTTTTTTTATATCAGAATATACAAAGATAGTTCTTACCTCCTGAGGAACAAATGGTGTAAAGAAACATTCCAATAACTTCAGCCAACTAAACACAATGTTACAGTCCACAGTATCAACAACCTCTCGTATGTTCTTTCTTACAAATTTCACAACAGGCTACAAAACAAATGTTTAGAATCAACACTATTAAAATACAGTACAAGTAATGAACTTAAACAATAGTTCGATTTTTCTCTATCAGACAAATAGACCTATATAAAAGCATATACGATAGCCACCAAAATTGATATAGATCTTGGACTTTTCTATTTACCATTAATATGGACCATGGAAGTTTCTTATTTACCATTGATATGGACCATGTAAGTTTCTTTTTATGGTAGACCAGAGATATATCATAATTAAGTCCATTAAACATGTTCTCTCGGACAAATCCAATTTTATTCATAATTTGATTACTAATTCAATTACTCTTTTTTAAATAATTTTTGTCTCAAGATTTACATACCTGCAGAAAACCATCAAACAGGTCTTTCAGTTGGTCATGATAAGGTTCTATTGGTTCTGGTAATTTCCTCAGCCAACATTCTACAAATGGTGGTAGTCCAATGTAACTAGGCTCTAAGTAGACCATACCACATCTACTGACTGTTGCCGGGGAGGCTACAGCTAAATCTGATACTTCAAACATCATAGTCATGTGCTGCAAATAAAGCAAATCTATATATAGTTATTTCATAATATAAAAGAGAAACGAAAGATAACAAAGGGACATTCAAACTCATCAGGTCGAAAAATAAACTGACAATGCCATGGCTAAAAAAGAAAAAGAATAAAACACAAAGACCAATCAGTAAATTTTGACTTATCCAGATAATCAGTTTATCAAGTTGTTAAAAGCACTTTCAATAAACCAGCATTGAACAATTGTAACATTGGGAACACATTACAATTGCAGGTGATAAAAGGTTATTAACATGCAACTTGTTTGCAATTTTATTCAGGTGTTTAAAGTGCGACAGTTTTGATGTAAATAAACAATAGGTAGAGCTCAACATTGTTAACATTTTTGCCCTGTCACATTTTCTCTATTTATGGTGGTTTTCCAAATAAATAGGCAAATCTTGGATTTTACCCCTATGTTCTATAATTAGCCATGTGGGCCATCTTGGTTGACAGACAAGGTCATGGCACACATTTTTAAAACCAGATACACTAATAGGGATTGTGGCCAAGTTTGGTTAACTTTGGCCCCGTAGTTTCAGAGGGGAAGATTTTTGTAAAAGTTAATTGAAGACGACAACAGATGCCAAGTGATGAAAAAAGCTCACTTGGCCTTTCGGCCAGATGACCTAAAAAGAAGCTCTGCTACATAGTATATTAAAATAAATATAGATGTACTAAGGTTCGCAGTAACAGAAAATACCAGCTTAGTACTCGTTAAAACTTTTATGTTTGTACATAACAAATCTGACTTTCCAGCTAAAAAATACGTCTCTGGCAAAATCTGACAAATAAAATCTAAATATGGTTTATCTACAATTATCAAAATAGTCAGAACAAGGTTATTTAAATGCACTCAGAATTGGAAAAACATATACAATACATACATCTGTTAACTTGATAATTTCACCACTGCTGAGACAAAGTTTCTTGTTGTCATCCAGTACTGTGTTCATACTCTCAATCCATACAGCATCCACTGGGCCATCAAAAACATACCAACGTTTAATTGTGTCGGTTGAAGAACTACCAACTCTAATTAAAGTTGATAAGATACCATCAGTCCTGAAAAAAATCATGAATCATTTCTTTCAAAATATAACCTTTGATATAGTTTATTCATCAATAATATATGTTTGATTTACTAATTTACGGGATATAACATCTGTCATCACAAACTTTGTTCCATTAAAACATACATGGTACCAAGGGAAAGCAATTTGGTCAAGATCAAACTAGCATGATTTCACTTGAGACAAGCATCCAACCTTCTGAGTATTGAGAGAATCTACAACATCATTAAGTCATGGATATTTTTTCTCTCTTTTATGTGTAAATTTCATAATTCATTTGTAAACTGGAATCTCTGTTAACATCAGGGAGCTTCATGGATGAAAATTGAACCATGGAGGAAAGTTCATCCAGAAAAAAAATCCTAAATGTCGCCATCATGCTCGCAATAAAAACTAAATTGATATGCTCATTCATCCATTTTTTTATGAAGTGAAACCTTGGTTAGTAAATAAATGGACAAGTTCTATCGTAATCTTTAATATGATCAATCTTACAGAGAAACATCTGTAAATTTTGAACAGAAAATGCTATCCATTTAAATTTTTGTTTACCACAACTGTACTTTCATTCTGTTTTCTTATTGCTTCTAAGAAATTGCTGCCTAATTTAAACTTTACTTCAACTTTTTCTTTCTTTTTCATTTTGTAAGGACTTAAAAATTGTGGGTGTTTTTCTCACCATCAAATTTCATTAGCATTTGCTGAAAAGTAATTCAATAATGCAATTAATTGTCTATTTTGATCAATATATTCTCCTGTCAGGTTTGTCGATCTACCTGTACAAGTCATTAACAATCATTAGCCGGATATCCCTCAGGGCATTAAAACAGTAATCAGGAGGACCCTTTGGATTATAAAACAATAGGGGTTATGCATTTACATGCCATTGATTATAATTGCTAACAGAATAAGCAACAGCTAGTGAAATTAAAACAAATTTTGACTACACCTTTCAATCATAGCAAAGTTATTTAACAATGGCGCAGTTAAGTTAAAGATGGTGGGCCGCCATCATAAAACAGGTCATGGAGCTCTCTGTAACATAATAACACCTTCAAAGGCTTACCACTCATGAGTCATGGCATCAAATTCACCATACAACTGTCCCATAGTGATGGATTTAGGGTTCAATATATAGGTCATAACTGGGTCAAATATAAATCCAGCTGGTGACATTTCTCCTTGCAAAGCTGTGCAGGCATTCTTTAGAACTTCATAACACTAGAAGATGAAGAAAATAAAAACAATAAATATTGATAAAAATTAAACATTTTTCAATTTGATTTGACTTTATTTAATGTAAGACAATCTATCTCCTGTTACCCTCTCAGTGAGATAATGTTTGAATTAATTAAATAACAGTTGTAATACACTGGCAGTCTCTTTTTTTCATATCTATTAACAAATTTGTAATATATTTTGAATCATTTTTTTTTTTTTGGTGCATGTGTGTGTTGGGGGTATAGTTGAAGTAGTGAAAAGTAATTTAGATATTAATTTTATTATTCAATGAAGATAATGGACATTGTCATTTCATACTACAGAAAAGAGTTTAATTTCCTTCATTTTTCAATAGCGGTGATACAGTAGTATGATCTGATTAGGTTGAAGCCTTAGATTTTAAGTAAAAAATATTCCATTAAACATATTTGACCAATTTAGCCTCTGACTTTTAATATACCTTAGTTTTGCCAGATCCTGTAGGTCCTACCAACATAAGACCATGTCTAACCACTGTAGTCTCAAACAACTGAATACACTTGTTGATAAATCCTAAAACAAATACAACATTTCACCCATGTAATAGCTTCTCAATTTCATATAAAAACAATATAGTTTGAGCATGGTGGCGAATATAAAACAATGAACCCTTACATCTTAATTGAAATATTATTTCTGTAACTTGTTGAAAACTGTGGATTCACTATTATATGTAAGATACCAATTTTTGTGGATTTTGTCGGCATAGGTGAACCATAAATTTAAATGTTCAACGAAGGAAAAAATGTTTTTATTCTTGTAAGGTTACTTCGTCAAAATCATGAAATCAAGTATCCACAAAAATACAAAATACGAAAATTGGTATCATCGCAATCATTTAAACTCGCATTTTGAATTTTTTTATATGAATTAAACAGGGTTTTTCTCAATATCGCAAAATTTAAATCGCATTTTAGTCTAAAATGACAAAATCGCAATAATAAATGCATGCGATAATATCTGAATTTACAGTATTTACTATTGATCATGATTATAAAACCAATACTGACCATCAACATCTTTAATTCCACTTTTGGTACAGTTCTTCCTCAGTGATGTTTCAAGAGATCCATAATCAATTGGTTCTTCTCTGAAATCAAGAAATGTCAAGTTATATATGACTAATTTCTTTCAAAAGATCTTTTGCAGAAAGTTATCTAATAATATAATTCATATAGTTAAGATTTGTACTCATTATTCAATAGATGACTTAAAATGTTCTAAATGTATATGGAAATATCTTCGAACAATCTAATTACTTAGTATAACATTTTTATACAATAACAACTAATTAATCATATCCTTTTTAGAGACGATTTCAAATTGTCTCCCTTTGATTCCTATTATTTTGTTTTTTACATGTATATTTTTATTTAGATAATCTCTTATAACTCTTTTTTATAGTGTCTCTTTATGTTTTATGTCTATGCTATATTATCTGTTTGGAGGTTTTATAAAATTCAGAGGTGAGAATTAAGTAATGTCTTGTCTTGTCTTTATTCAGCAATTCCCTGTTTTAGGATAAAAAATATTTCTATCACAATGGTGAGAGAAAAAAATTATATCAAAAAGTTGGCACATTGCTTTTTAAAGAAATCTGCTTTAATATATTTGAATTTTGTTCTTTTAAATTTAATTCTATTTATTTTCTTATGCATGAATATTCATAGAAAGATAACTTACTTGATGTTAGGGAACAAGTCAGACACAATACCACCAAAGAGTTTCAAATCTTCTACCAAGAACTTTGGCACATTGACATCTCTAATAGCTCTCAAACAGATCAATTCCTGTTGAAAAAAATGATGTTAAATAAATAAATGTTCTGGTATTTACACAGATCATCATTGTTGTATGAAATTTGTTGCTTAAATATACATCAAATGAGTGTTAACTCTATTGAAATTTCAGTAAATTGATTGTTCTTGACAACAAAATTGTTCCGGTAGAATCATGTAAATTTAAGGTTAAATCACCTGAATTATGCTGTTCCACCTAAGAAAACAAGTAAAACAGTTCCTAATCTGAAGCCCAACTTTTTCTCAATCTTACACTTCATCCAATAAACTGTTAACACAGAGATATGTCTTGCCTTTTTGTTATTTTGATAGTAAAATGCAAATGTTGAAATTAAAATAGCAATACTTTAACATGTAAGTTATGCAAAATATTCAAAGTCAATGAACCTTAATTGAAGGTAAGGGTCAAACAATCCTCATGGAAATGAGATGTGCCAATGCTAATACAACTGCATACCAAATATCATTGACCTACCACTAGTGGTTCTGCATAAACTAGCCTAATTACAACCTAATACATGTAAACTAAGCAAATGTTTTAAAGTCAATGAACCATGACTGAAGTTACAGGGCCAAATAATCTCCATTGAAATGAGACGTGCCAATTCTAATACAACTGTATACCAAATATCATTGACCTTCCAGTATTGGTTCCTCATAAACTGACCTAATCACAAACAAATACATTGTTGACACTGCCGATTCTGGAAACAGCATACTTATGCCTCGCCTTTTTACTCCGTAAAGGCAAAATAATAAACAAAAATTGTATTATGCTTCTGTCAGAGAAAATCTTAATTTGATTACATTTGAAAATCATATCATAAATACCTCATTCATGTCTTGGTACTGTCTCTTCAAGTTACCAGCAGCAGAAATGACAGATTTCACAGCTCTCATACCAAAGTCATAATGGTCCTAAAATATAAAAAAATTTTCTCATCTTTGATATCATTGTAAAATATTTATTCATGTAGAGATGTATAACACTTGATAATGTAGCCATTAAAAAAATATCAAGAAACAGACAATTGAATGTTGAATTAGAATTCCCCTCATAATTTTAAAGTGCCAATCTGTCTAAGAATCAGGCAGTGGTGAAAACATGACAAACAAAAACCCACTCAAGTTTACATTAATTTATGCTAAAATTGTATAATGGTGCACAAATATAACATTGGTTTCCTTTTCTTGTTCTGGTAATTCAAGATATAATTTGGTTGAAATGCACTAGAAATTAACATTAAGGGGAGCTAACTCCGTAATTTGCTATCATTCTAACCAAAAGTTATCTCGAGATTTCTCGAATTACCAGACAAGCAGAAACGAAAGACGTACCATTTTTAACTCAGGATGAGGGTAACTTCAAAATAGGATGGTTAGGTAGGTGGGTTTTTTTCTGTCATGTTTTGAATTTTTTCTAAATTGCCTGATTCTTACAATGACTGGCACTTTTTGTTTTCTGTAACTTGATGTGTTTGTTCATCCTCGTCTCACCAAAGGGTGACAGCCAAGAGATGAGGAGGTGATAATGAGAAAATGTATGGAGTTTAAAAAAACTTAAATTATCTGATTATCATTAGTCCTAGGCAATATCAATGATGTATTGCTTATGACATCATCACATTCTATTTCTACACAAGAAAAACCCATCTCATTCCTTATACATGAGATGGAAAATTATCATACAGAAAGATCTATCAAAGATTTTTTTATAGAAAATAGCCATAATGTTTAAGATAATTTATATATTTATGCAGATATCTAACACCACCAAAAATAGTTATTTTATAATAATCTTGAATTGGACAGTTGAATATGGACCATGACGATTTATCCTTACCTGAGAACTAAGCTGTTCTGATGATAATTTGAAAGTGGTAACAATTTTCTTGGCCAGTTGTTTTGCATCTGAGAAACCAAATGAGAATAAACTGATTTCAGCAATCAGAGCATAATCTGGTACCATCATAGCCACTGGTCTAAACAAAGCCTGTCAAATACAGAATACATGTGTCAACAAATTCTTCAAACTGTTAAAATGATAAAAATAGCCATTAGGCAAAGAAAAAAAATTATCATTAGCTTCTCAGGCACTGTTATTTGTTGTTTGTTGCCAATGTCTGGAAATTCTTGGTTCCTGGTTGTGGTACAATTCCAATATTACAAATAGTGATCTTGGTAAACGAATCGTTTTAGTAACAGTTTAAAAGGCTACAAATTCTATGTTCATTGTGATTAAGCAGTATTATATTTCATAGGGGAAAAAACATATACTGAAATAAAAAAAATTTGGTCTGAGAAGTTAATTTTTTTGAATGCATTATAAGACATTTTTTAATCTAATAAGGTGTTGTTCATTTATAAATATTGAACTGAATAAAATTTTATCTATCAATAACAGCACTGAATTTGTTTAACAATTGGCTCTGACACGTTTAGGAATCTGAGTTTCCTCATACTTATATATACAAAGTATCTTAAACTTATTCTTCAAAATTGTTGTCTTTTGCTGTAATTACATGACCTTAAATTGCCTTAAAATTGAACTTCCATCCTTTAAAATACAATATATACTAAGTAAAAAAAGTTTTGAACAAGTGTTTTTAATTTTATATTCAATACTAAACTTTCTTCTAAATAAATTATTTGACTACAAAAATTATTTGGAAATTTTTTATTTAAAGGTTTTAATCAAAATATAAGTTGCTCAACTTTTTTTAAAACTCTTTTTAACTCAGTATAGATGGATAGATAAACATTTATTTCCAAAGACAAATTAATGCAAGTTATCTCCCTTACTTTCAAATTGTCTGGCAATTCTGTTCTTCCAGCATATCCAGGGTTCATGGTGATAAAAACAGCACATGATGCTTTCAACGTCAGCTCTACACCCTCAAATATAAATCTGTCCACCTACAAATTATAACATTAAATGTGTAAGAAAATTTTATTAAATTCCATAAACTCTACGAAATTCTCTGAGCATTCAAACTTAATAAAAAAAACCTTTTATTAAATTCCATAAACATTAGGAAATTTTCTTAACATTCAAACTTTATAAAAGAAACTTTGATCATTGAAGAGTTGTTTAGTTGAGGCATTGTTTCTTAATAATTAATGGAATACAGTGATTATAGTTAGCTGCAAAACAACTATAAAAAGCTTTAACCTAACATCACCTAAAAATGAAATGTTATTAAATGTACTCTAAATCCAGCATCATTTATTGTTATATTGTCAGTACAAATCAAAAAGTAACTTTACATTTTATATGTATTTTTCAAACTGAGAATTACATTAAAATTGATAGGTAATAGGTTTGTCTGCAGCATTTAAAACTGATTCGCTAATTAATATTAATCAAATTGAACAAAGAAATAAAATTATTTGATGGCAAAAGTGAAAAATGTTTAACACTGAAAGAGGAATATTTTTAAACAAAAATAAGAACCTTTCTTAAGCACATTGAAGTACTAAAGTCAATTTAAAAAAAAACAACAACTTATTCAAAAAGGTAACATTGAAAATCATGCATTAAAAGTCATGTACAGAAACAGCATCTTATGTGGATACTTAACAAAGGAAAATATTTAAATTAGCAAAGTAAAGTGAAATATTTAATAACAAAACAAAAGTTCCTGCAAAAACTTGCCATTTCAAAATCCTATGGACTATGGGTTATTTCATTGTTTGCTTTTCTACCAGATTGAAAATAACATCACATCATTGCCAGGCTAAATTTTTTTGATGAGGACTCTTTTAACCAATCACAGCGCTTTTGTGTACTTTAAAAAAATATTACCCAGAATGTTTAAGATTTTGAAATGACAAATTCCTACAGACTGGTTTAAAAATTGTAACAAAATTTATAAACACTGGACTTCAGGAGATATCTTTTCTTGTTGAAAAATCGTCATTTTTGTTTCTTTATTCTTTTTTGCAGAAGTCAGCAAAGAAAAGAAATTTCTGGCTGACCTTGCATCGTCTTCTAAGTCATTTCAACACAATGGTGTTCAAATTCATTTAATTATATTTCCTGATCTGTTTCAAATAACAAACTATTTAAAGACTTATAAATTGATAGTTTATAAATAACAGAACTAAAAAAGCAGAAAATAATAAAAGGTCTGTGTCCTTGTTTTTGAGATATAAGCCATTGAAAATTTGGCAGGAAATGATTCTGTGTAGATTTTACATACATTTAATATTGGCATCTTTTTTCTTTCAAAAACAATAAAAAAAACTAACAGGGATTTTTTAAGATTTTCAATTTTTTTTTAAAAACAATATGAAATAAAATTATGAAAAGAAAAGTAGTGGTTTACGCAAAAATTTCCTTAATGGCACTACATGGATAAAACCAGAGGATTTCGAATATCTGACACTAAGTCAAAAGCTAGATCAGCAAACATCTGTAAATAGAATTAAATTTTTGAAACCTTGTTATGTGATTCTATCCTGAGGTCCAGTGTTCATGTATTAATACCTTTTCACACATAGCATGATGAATGACCATGATTTGCATAGCAACTACTGATAATACTTCTACATTTATACGATTAAACTCGTCAAAGCATGCCCAGGATCCAGTGCTTGTGTAATAAATATAATATTAGTGCAGGTGGATTATAAGTATTAAAAGCTGTTCCAAAATAATCTTTGAAATGGTGGTACATTTAATTGAGTGTATTAAGAAGAATTAAGACTAAGAAAAAGTATTTGTCTGTTTAGGGTCCCATTGCTTGAAAAATAATTCTGAATGGTCTGTCAACAAGAATATCAATAAAAATATTGGTTAACAATTAAATACCATAGTAAAAAGTCAAAATGATCAGGAAAAAATTGTGTAGCTATTGCTAACATTTAGATTATAAAATGTCATGAGGAAGACAGCTTGGATTTCTATATCATGCAACCATTATATACACTGAAGTACAATCACAACAATCTTTTTTTATCTAAACTTGAAATGCATGTGATTGCAAGTTCAAATATTTTCTTTTATTTTCATTGTTATCATCAGATTTACTGTGTCAAAAATTTAATAAAATAACGATACATTTTTTTGGTAAAATACTGTAATATTTTTGTGGTGTTAAAAAGCTACAATATTCTGTGGTGTTAGAAAGCTACAATATTCTGTGGTGTTAGAAAACTACAATATTCTGTGGTGTAAGAAAGCTACAATATTGTGTGGTGTTAGAAAGCTACATTCTACAGAAAGAAAGAGACGTGAAAATGAAGGAGATTTACAGGCACACTAAAAGCGATAGCAAATCACACAAATCCTCCTACCCTTTGTGCCTGGGCTTTCTGTATAGTTGTAATCTGTTGTGCCACAACAGATAATACTTCAATGTCTATACGATTGAACTCATCAAAACAAGCCCATGCTCCAGCACTGAAATAACAGTCAGATTAGGGTTACATCTAGCTAGGTTAAGGGAGATCATTTTTAAATCATAAAAGTGTTTGTAATAGTCAGTTTAACCAATGCTTCTTTAAACATTCAAGTGAAACAGAATTGAAATGATCTGTGTTACATAAAAGCATATAATTTAAAAAACAAAAATGGTTGACACAGACTTAGCATATAACATAACTTTATATAACCCTAAATAAAATTTGATTAGAACAGACCGGTAACAACAAAATTGGTAAAAAAATGTGTTTTATAGTGTAACTATGAGACCTTTTCTTAGGCTCAATACTTTAAGACCGCTAGAAAAAATGGTAGTTATTTATAGATGTCACTGAAAATTATCCTTCTTTGTCCTAGACAGAATGTTGTAAAAGTCGGAATTCACCACACCAGGCAAAGTGAACCATATTATCACCCTAGGTATCCTGACTTTGGTCTAAAGAAGCTTCAAGGAGAAGTTTAGGTCACCATCAGTTTTCAGTAAAATTCCTCATTGCCGCTTCATGATTTTTGAAAAATTCTCGATTCGAATGCAGGATTCCTATATCCAACAAAATAAAACATGTTACCCCCAAATCTGTTCTAGAAATAAAAAAATGTTTACCTTGCTAATCCTTTGAAGAATTTACCCATAGCCATGTAATCCAGCTGGTCAGAACAGTTAAATACCACACACTGGTTGGCCATAGCCTTGGCAAGATCCTAAAAAGACAGAAAGCTTACTTCATCCATTTTGAATTAGTTTGTTTGTATTTTTTTTCTAATATTCTATGCATTTTCATTTAGAAAACAATAAAAAATCAATAAATATAATATTTCAATGGTTTCTATGGTTCTAATTAGAAAGAACTATCTTTCATTTGCAGCATTTGTGTACAAAATGTATAACAAATTGATGTATTTTTTAGCATGTTTTTGTAGTTATTTGTAATCGATGGTTGTTGTTCCATTGATACATACTCACATAAACACGTTCAAATTATAAATACCTTCACTTAATCCTTTGCTTTCACTCATTTTTGTAATTAATTTCTTATCTTGACTAATCAAAACATCAGATAGACCAATAACCCCAATCCCTTAATTGTCTGCAGTTTACAATATTTGATCCTCAAAATTAAATAAACTTTTGATACAGAGATATGTCTTGCCTGTATATAATTTTGATAGTAAAAATGTAATATGCAAATGTTGAGATTAAAATAGCAATACTTTAACATGTAAACCATGCAAAGGTTTCAAAATCAATAAACTATGACTGAAAGGGAAAGGCCTAATAATCTCCATTGAAATCAGATATGCCAAAGCTTATACAACTGCATACCAAATATCATCATTGACTAATCATACATGGTTTCCCTTAAAATGGCCTAATCAAAAACTGTGTAATGTAATATAAGCAAAAGTTTCAAAGTTTATAGACCATGACTGACGGGGCAGGGCCAAATAATCTCCATGGAAATGAGATGTGCCAATGCTTATACAACTGCATACCAAATATCATTGATATACCATAAGTGGTTCCCCTTAAACTGACCTAATCACAACTTTAGCAAATTGTTTATGCCACAGCCAGAAAAAGCATACCTAAATCTCCCTTTTGACTCCATCAATATGGATAAAAATTTTGTTTACCTTTGTGGTTTCTGTTTTTCCTGTGCCAGCTGGTCCTGCAGGAGCACCACCAAACTTAAGATGGAGAGCTCCAGTCAATGTCAGGTAACATCTACAACATCAGTTATGGGGTATTGAAATACAAAGAATAGAGAATGATAGCCAAAATAAAGAATAAAGGAAAATGGTCTAAAAAAATAATGAAGAAAAGAAGACCCCCCCCCCCCCCCATATTCAAACTCTTTTATATAAAAGTTATTTTCACGTCAGGTTTTGTTTACTGTTTGGTATTTACACGGAACACTTAAATCTTTGCTGTGTTTATTATTCATATTTCATGGCCTTGTGCAATGCATTTATAAAACAGTGAAAATTTCCTGTTATACAGGGTAAAAAGGTCTATAAAAAATATTGTTCATCTTTCATCTGTCATCTTCATCGACCTGCCAGAAAGTCTGTTACAAAAATAACTGTGTTGGCAAATGTTAATATGATAAGTACACCATTTGCCAGTTTGTCATTCACTTATGGGAATGAATTGTTTTCCTAAATCTTTTTAGTATCACAAAAGAAAATATGTGTCAGACATAACAAACCATGACCAAATTTTTTGAAAGTCATACGGTCAATTGGGCAAAAATTATGGTCAGTCAAGTAAAGTCATGGGATTTGAAATTGGAGTGTTGAGACTGCACAAGAGAATCTAAACGCTAGATTGGATATCTGTTTGAATGTATAAATGAAAAAAAAAATCTTACAAATTAATCTTTTACTATAAGTATTTTAGTTATTCTTGTTCTTTTTCTGCAATGTTACCCAAAAAATATAAAAGATGTCTGACAGGCATCAACCCAACATCTCATTTAATAAATAAATCAGTAATGTACTCACCTGTCAGTTAATGGAGTAATGACGAGACGTAATGTATTACCAAGATATTCATAGCCATAAGCAAATTCAGCATTCACAGCTTGTAACCACATGTTATCATCATGCCAATAATATCTGATCTGGCTGACCCACTCAAAGTCATTTTGATTGGCCACCCCTTCCTCTAACATCTTAATCACAACGTCCCTAGCATGCACTTCTACTACAATCAAAGCAGACATGGTCATACGTCCAATCCTAGATATATTGGTTCTCACTAAATTTCGTAAATCATCTAATTGTGAGAGAAGCACATCAAACCTTTCCTTCAAATTTCCCTCGGCCAAGGCTTGGGACACTTCTTCTGTCCAGTATGTCTGGCAACCACAGATGACAACTTGTCCTGGCCAGTCCAGTACCCAATCTACTCTGGGTTTCTAAAAATAAATATTAAACTACAATTTTGCATCAACAAAATCTTGAGAAAATTTTACACATATCAATGCAGTTATTCTTTATTTATTACATCTATAAATTAATAATATATATACAACCCATTAAGTTCTCTTATTTCTAAAAGCATCATATAATTGACCAGTATTGCTATCACAGCTAACTGCAATCAACTGAGTTATGAGGGCCTTAGGAAAGATTAGTTTTATAGCTAACTATGTTATCCTCTCTAAAATAAGAATTATTATCATTCTTAATATTATTACTAACTGTAGGGAGGAAACCTATCAAACATTTAGAAAATTTTAATTTGAACAGATATCTTCTTTTTGAATAACTATGATAAACATGGTAAATTGTCAACTACCATAAAAAGCTGCAACAACATTTGCATACACTGATTAAGACTGTTTACACTACAGTGGATTCATTATTGTTCATGGGATACCAATTTTCGTGGATTTCATGGGTATAAGTGAACCACGAATATAAATATTCAAAGAAGTACAAATTTTTTATAGGCTTGTATGCAGACTTCAGCAAAATCACAAAATCAAATATCCACAGAAATACAATTTTTCCTCAATCCATGAAAATTGGTATCCACAAAATTAAAATAATCCACAATACGATAAACATGGTAAATTGTGTCAAATACCATAAAAAGATGTAACAACATTTGTTAACAGTGAGTAAGGATGTTTATACACAACATTTGTTAACACTGAGTAAGGCTGTTCATACACTATATTTGTTAACACTGAGTAAGGCTGTTTATACACTATGTTTGTTAACACTGAGTAAGGCTATTTATGAACAACATTTGTAAACATAGTAAGGCTGTTTATACACTATATTTGTTAACACTGAGTAAGGCTGTTTATACACTATATTTGTTAACATAGCTGAAACTTACAACTTTATAATCTGCAAGAGCAGCTTTGATAATGAGTCTCATACTCTCCTTCATACAATTTTCAATTTCCAGCATCCATTCTTCAACATTACCAGTGGGGTACATTGTCCTAATGAATTCTACTTCTTCTCCTTCTCCTGAGAACATCTTTGTTATCTTCAAATCATCTTCAAATTTCAGCTGAAATCAAATTAAAATTACAGTCAGCTGATCATTGATACAATTTTTAACACAAACACAATTTTTTTAGTTAAACAAGGGCCATAACTCTACTTTGGTACAAGTAAAATTCATCATAACTCAATTGAATCTGTCAAAATCTTGAGTAAAATTTGAAGATTTTTTTTAATGAAGTCATGAATCAATAGTATAATATACAAGAGGGTCTGGATGAGGGTCTGGATGAGGGGATCTTTATTTCTGTATTCTTTAATTTTTTATGCCATTTTTCTCTATTCTGTATACTTTTTGCCCATTATTCTCTATTCTTCATATTTTAGCCTCTCATTATTCTCTATTGCTTATTTTTTTGGTCCATTTTTCTCTATTCTTTATATTTTTGGTCCATTATTCTCTATTCTGCAAACCCCTATCCACACCCTCATACAATAGAATGATCAAAAGAAGAGATCTGGGTAATCTCTGTGTATGACAAACAAATATCTGTTGATATATGAAAAAAGTTCAGTTGTATAAATTGAGAAGAAATACAGTGTTTATTTTAATAAAAAAAAGTAGGTGTGTAAAGGTCCAATGAGCAGTCAAATAAAGTTTGTGAGTGACAGGCTGAGATCTCCTTTTACATAAACTTTTTAACTATAAAGAATTTTGAAAAATATATCTTCCATCATAAATGCATGTCAGCTGTCTTAGTTAAATTTGTGGAGTGAACCTGACAAAATCAAATGCTCAACTATATCAACTATATAAATACATGTGTTTTACTCACACTAGCAATGTTCTCGAAACATTTCTTGAGATGAGGTTGTACAGCTTTAGGGTCTTTTGTCTGGGAGAGAATTTCCAACAATTCATCGTCAGACAGGAAGTAGAATCTGGGGAAGGCATTTCTCTTTGTCTCTAGGTACTCACTCAGACCTTTCTGTACCTGTTCCAACAGTTTGTTGCTTTCACGGAGATTGTCTAAGAGACGATTATCTGGACAAAGTGAAATGACCTGAAAAATTACAAATAATTGATTTCAATCAAAGAAAAGAATATCTGGACACAATAAAAATAATCTGAAATGACAGAACATTGATTTCAAAATCTTGCCATTGTATATCATTTAAGACATCTATAAATCTATTGGTGCCAATCTATATCATAGCAAATCGATACTTAAATGTTAGTTTTGTGTGCATGTGTATATGTGTGTGTGAAAGTGTGTGTGTCATATCAATAAAAGTACTTTGGAATTTACACTTGAAATCTATATAAAAATAAGGAGATGTGGTATGATATGAAAATCAGCATCTGTTATAAAAATTAGGCAGAAATATAGTAATTTAGTAATTTAGTATAAAAGTAGGTGTAGAATGGTCCAATGAAGTTCATGAGTGAAAGGCTGAGTAAACGAATTAATAAAATCCTATCAAAATAAACTATATTACTATAAAGAATTTTGAGAAGACTGTTCACGGCAAATGCGTGTCACCTGTCTTAGTTTATTTAGTAGAGTGTTGCATTTTGTTTGAGGTGTTAAAATCAGCAATTTCAGACAACTCTGAGGAAAATTTTCTGTAATTTTTTGCTATTGAATTCTTCTCTTAAATGCATAAAGAATGTATCTGACTGCTTCACACACTTTTTTTTGGTTAAAATGTCCATTTAAGCAAATTTTGTCAGTCCCATTTTGACCTGAGTATTTCCATCAAGATATAGTCTTACCTGTGGATTGTCTCTGGCCGTCTTCATGATTTTTCTCCAGATTCTGTCCATGGTTTGGTACCTCTTACTCTCTACAGGAAGCTGTCTCTGAATGTCATCAGAGCTAAAAATAGGTTCCAAGTACAGCCAGGATCTTTGACAAGCTAACCATTCATCTAATACATCCTGAAATCATAAATATAATTTTTCATAAAAATGAAAAATACGACTTTTTTACTATGAAATAAAAATATTTTTTTCAATAATAAAATCACAAAATCAATTAACTTGCTGTTTTAGAATCTACAGCATAGTTATAATTAATTAATTTATTCCTTTATCAACTGAAAATAGTCTCACTTTGATGAATGCATCAATTTTTAGACTTGTATTATCTGATGCATGCTTTGATACTACCCAGAATGCTTTAAAAGATACAACGGAAAACATCGCTAAAATGATTGATAAAAAAAATATTAGAAAAACAAATTTCTTCTGTCTTTAATTCATTATTTGTACGGGGGCCTCTGTGGCCAAGTGGTCTAAGTAGTTTTACTACTGTAATCACTAGCCAGTCAACACTGAGGTTGTGAGTTCGAACCCCGCCCGTGTGGGTGCACTCAACTCCAATCTTAATAGACTAGGATTGTCAGTTTTCCTATCCAAGGTTGGTGGATTTCTCCGGGCACTCCGGCTTCCTCCACCAATAAAAACTGGCCGCCATGAAATAGCCCAAATGTGTGCTTAAAAGTGGCGTTAAAGCACCAACAATCAATCATTCAATCATTATTTGTACAAACCTGTGTTGTTTTGAGCTTATTTTCCCAATTGCTAATACGATCCTCAAATGGCTTCTTGTATGGTGAGAAGGACATACTCTGAGTCATGACGATATGATCGTCCAACAACTGTGATGTTTCTTCAGATGCCTTCAGGATGTATGTTCCTGTATTCTTATAGTCTTTAATCTCAAAATAAACTGGATCCCATTCCTTCTCCATCTTATCTAAGGCCTGTCAATACAAAAAATAAGACAATTGTAAATATAAGATCTGACAATAAAACAGTCTTTAAGAAACAGTGCATTTTACAACTGCCAATTATCAAATTAAATTATCAATTGTCTCAGATTCATTAAAATTCATCATTAATGTAATTTACATTATCCAGGAATCATGACAAGCAATCAATTTACTGTAATAAATGTAAGAAAAAAAGGAAAAATTCACAGACAAAAAAATTGATATGTCATTTTACCATAATAACTTTGATAGCACCCTCATTATTAACCTTTGATATTATAATTAAATTGTTCAATTGAACATATTTTTGGTTACTTTCAATACTTTGCCAATTGTAAAGATATTTTATCACACCAATTTCTAATGCCCAAAATTTAGGACAATATTATCTTGTTACTGTGGATTCATTATTATTCGTGGTAAACCAATTTTCATGGTTTTCGTGTTAAAGATGAACCATGAATTTAAATGTTCAAAGATGTACATATTTTTACAGACTGGTATCAAGACTTTTGCAAAACCAAGAAATCAAGCATACAAATTTTCTCAATCCACGAAAATAATTAAATCCACAGTAAGGAAAATTGTCATTGTTGATGTTACCTGTTCAATTGAATATTCTTTTCCAGCTACTTCAGCTACTTTGGTGATTGTAGCCATATGTTTATCAAGTCCCATCTCTAAACACTTGGAGAATGTCAGATTCTTCTTTGGACGAACTGCCATGCCAATGTCAGCTGACAACTGCAAATATTTAAATATATGTTAGCATGATATTGATTATGAAAAAAATTCTATTGTTGCTTTTCATGAAAATTTAGGTTTTTTTATTACTTTCAATCAATCCATTCGCTCGAGCTTTATAAAGTGCAATGTCTCAGTTAGAAGAATTTTTGTATTGTACATACCTTTTTTGTCAGATTAATTTCTTTTTTAGCTGAATTTCCTGTTGTAAAAATTTCTAACACCCCTCCCTTATTTAATTCCATCTTTATGAATAAAACTAGTCTGTTAAAGAAGACATACTTCCTAAGTATAGAATAGAAAACTTTTGCTGACATTTTGAAAAGAATGTTCCTTGTGCATTTGTCTCGACTTCTGGCATTATGACATTAATTAGTCATCAATTGTTCAGTGTATTCAAACACTTTATCCCAAATAGCATGGACTCATCTAGAAAGTGTGCTATGGAGAAGTTCAGACCTTTTTTTGGCAATGTGCAACTTTTTCCAGCACAATACAATGCATAAAATCCCAGATAGCATGGACTCATCTAGAAAGTGTGCTATGCAGAAGTTCAGACCTTTTTTTGGCAATGTGCAACTTTTTCCAGCACAATACAATGCATAAAATCCCAGATAGCATGGACTCATCTAGAAAGTGTGCTATGGAGAAGTTCAGACCTTTTTTTGGCAATGTGCAACTTTTTCCAGCACAATACAATGCATAAAATCTTAAATAGCATGGACTCATCTAGAAAGTGTGCTATGGAGAAGTTCAGACCTTTTTTTGGCAATATGCAACTTTTTCCAGCACAATACAATGCATAAAATCCCAGATAGCATGGACTCATCTAGAAAGTGTGCTATGGAGAAGTTCAGACCTTTTTTTGGCAATGTGCAACTTTTTCCAGCACAATACAATGCATAAAATCTTAAATAGCATGGACTCACCTAGAAAGTGTGCTATGGAGAAGTTCAGACCTTTTTTTGGCAATGTGCAACTTTTTCCAGCACAATACAATGCATAAAAAAAATCTCTTTAGAAATAATAATGAGAAGAAGCAATGAATCTACATAAGATCCTGAAATCAATTTCACAAAAAATCTTGAGAGAAAAAATACTTGTGTAAGTTATGAACATTTCAGTTTAACCTACGATCAATATTGATCGTAATTTTTTTTGTGAAAAAAAGGCCCTGGTACATGTTTACCTGTTCCCAATGTCTGTTCCTCATACCAGGATTACGTAGACCTTGGATCAGTGGAATAAATGGTTTGAAATCCTCAATGTTGGCCTTTATCTCAGCAGCTACTTGTTGTACACCTAATGACAATAATTTACATGGTAAAACTGTACAGAATATATTAAGCATTATCACAGACATTTAGCATCAGCTATTCAAACCATTTCAAAACTAATATTTTTTAAACGATACTGAGGACTAATTTATTTTCGTGGCTACTAATTTACATGGATAGAAGAAAAATTGTTTTTTTGTGTATCATTGATTTTATGGTTTTGCAAAAGTTTCCATACAAGCCTATAGGAGGTTTAAACTTCCTTGAACGTTTGACATTATGGTTTGCCTCTATCCATGAAAACTGGTACCCAACAAGTTCTAATGAATCCACATGCACAGTATATCTTCATATTTTGATCAAAGCACTAATGATAATCAACTATATGTAAAAACCCCTGTGGTCAATTTCAATCTCTTTGAAAATATTTAATTTGAACTTTAATTGCAGTCTCATTGATTCTTGTACACTATAAATTAATAAACTTTTGTGTGCATGTATTTTTGCAATTGTCAAGCAATGTGCACCATGCAAGATTAAATATTGCAATTTTAAGAAATGTTACTTAGAAATAATGATTTTGAAATTTTAAATACAAGTTTTTATTTTTGCTAAACATATCCCATCACATTTTTTTTGCAATAATAAAAACATCCCAATAATTTCTGAATATACTGAACCTAACATCTCCTGTAATATATACTTACACAAGTTCATCACTTCCCCCCTTATACTTGAGTATCATTTTCAAAGTAATTAAAGGAAAATTGCAACAGGGAAAGTGTATTTTTCTTGTGTTCTGTTTAGTAAACTGTAAGTACATTTCATAATTCTCATTACTGCTGAATGAGATGAGTAACTGAAACAATCACATTTCAATTAAATTTTGTACCACTCAAAACAACTTCAGGATTCAACTCATTTTTGGGAGGAGTTTTTGTTTATGTTTAAACTGTACCAATTCACTCATGAATAAAAATTTGTTTTATTCTTATAAATGTTTGAATATTTCATTATTTAAACAATGGTAGTTTGTACCTGATGCTTACATGTTTTGAATGTTGACAATTGAAATCAGATCATTACATTGTTCATTTTGTAAAAATAAGTTTTTTGAACATGGTCTATCAAAAATAACCTGCAACAAAAATCATTTCCAGAAGAGCATAAAATCAATCATAATGAAGGATTCCTAATTATGCAAACCCTTATTAAATATTTCAACAAACCTGGCATTTCTGCAAACACCTTATTAGATTTGTGCATTGTTTTGTAAGAATCGTTGACATTTTTCTCGACTTCTTCTGCATTGATGGCCTCCAGTGGGTCATTCATCCAGCTCTCGTGCCATCGTAACCAATCAGAAACAGTCAACCACAAGTTACGGAACGGTTCAAAATCCTTAACAAGCTTGCCTAATTTGTCATACTATAATAACAAACACATAACTAACTCAGGTCACATGCACTTGAAGCTAACAACAAATATACATTCTATACATTCACATCTATGAAAAATAAATATAACAGGCATTAATAATTCAGAATTTAAGTTATCCATGTTTAAAGATCCCCAACTAATGAGTTTAATTTAGTTTTGCATATGAACTGAAATATCTTTTTTATTTGCATTGATGAAGAGATACTCCCCATTCCTATAAATCAAAGTTCCTTAACATATTAAAATGGAAATAAAGTTACCTCTCTTTCAAGATCTTCAGCAAAGGAGGTTAATTTGGTTAAACCGTTTGTCATTTGATTGAAATATCTTTTTCATCTGCGATGATGACCAATGTTCCATAACTCAAAAAAATTCCTTCCCATCAAAAAATGGGAAAAAAAGTTATCAATTTTTCAAAATCTCCAGCAAAAAGGTAAATAAGCAATTGTATTACATTTTACCTAAACTCAAACAACTGTTGACTAATTCTTGTAACAGATCAGTTCAATTCATGAATTTAACCTTTCGCTTTTTAAACATTAGGTAGTGAAGTTTGTACTACTAATGTGTAACAAGAGTACTCAAATGGATTTTCTGTATTATTAAGGCCTAACAGTGAAATAAATAAATAATAATCATAGTTTAACATAAAAATAAATAAATAATATCTCTTTTTCTACTTTACATATATTAAATAAAATGCATGCATATATAACCAGTGGATGTCTATGGTAAATAAATATTACAGCTCTTTTAATAAGGCTAGCAAGACAAAGGTTTGTTTGACTTGCTTGCTTTGTTTGTATAAATGTTTGCTCAAGCATTGTAATTAAGATTGACAGCTGCAAACAATACAAGTAGGCGGAGTTCAACCTGTGTATAGGTAAATTTGATTATTTGATAATGTCCAATCAAATTTAAATATAATGTATACAAGTTTAAATCCGCCTTTTTATGTTGTTTTCATATGTCAATCTTAATTACAATGCTTGAGCAAACATTGATACAAACAAAGCAAGCAAGCCAAAAAAAACTTTGTCTTGCTAGCATTATGAAAAGAGCTGTAAGTGAATTATGTTCCCCATATTTACAAAATATACACATAGACATTCACTTAAACACACAATACGAATAATGCAACAGACGGCAACTTTCCTATTGAAAAAAATTGTCGTCATAATAAAACTAGAGGCTATAAAGAGCCTGTGTCGCTCACCTTGGTCTATGTGCATATCTAACAAAGGACACTCTCCAACATTGTAGACGAGAATAGACTTCATGACAAAAATCTCAGTTTTGGTGATCTTGTATTACTGATCTTTTAGTCTGTTTAGTTTCTCTCTATCTTCTTTAGTTTTTGCTCAAAACACAAAAGAGGGTAAAAAAAATCCTTATTTAAGAGCAATCACTCCTATGAAGAGTGACAGTCTACTTATTATATCAGCAAAATTTGACTTTTTAATAGATGTTGCCTTGCTGATTATTTTTGTGATTTAAAGTGTGTATTTGTCTATTATATTTTAAATCATATAAGGCATAATGGAAAAAAAAAATGTTTCTCTCTAAATATCATAGTTTTCATAATAATAGGCAAAAATGAAAAAAAAAGGTATAATTTGTCATTCATGGGCAATAAATCCTATAAGAATTTGTCTGACAGTTTTGACGTATATGGACAATTGGTAAAGCTCATCATTTTGAACATTTTTGCTCCGTTCAAATTTTCTCTATTCATAATGGTTCACAAAATAATAGACAAAACTTGCATTTTACCCTATGTTCTATTTTTAGCCATGTCGGCCAGGTTGGTTGATGGGCTATCGTATACATTTTTTAAACCAGATGATGTTTTAAGCCATTTTTTGTTTAATTTGGCCCAGTAGTTTCAGAGGAGAAGATTTTTGTAAAAGATTACAAAATTTACGTAAAAATTGGTAAAAATTGACTTTAAAGGGCAATGACTCTTTAAGGGGTCAATTGACAATTTTGGTCATGTTTGACTTATTTGTAGATCTTACTTTGCTGAATGATTTTGCTGTTTACAGTTTATCCCTATCTATTATAATATTCAAGATAAGAACCAAAAACTGCAAAATTTCCTTAAAATTATCAATTCAGGGGCAGCAACCCAACAACGGGTTGTCTGATGCGTCTGAAAATTTCAGGGCAAATAGATCTTGACCTGATGAACATTTTTACTTCCCTCAGGTTTGCTCTTAATGCTTTAGTTTCAGAGATATAAGCCAAAAACAGCATTTTACCCCATGTTCTTTTTTTAGCCATGGCATCTTGGTTGATGGGCGGGGTCATTGGATACATTTCTTAAACTAGATACCCTAAGGATGATTTAGGCCAAGTTTGGTTTAATTTGGCCCAGTAGTTTTAGAGAAGATTTTTGTAAAAGATTACAAAAATTTACGAAAAATTGTGAAAAATTGACTTTAAAGGGCAATAACTCTTTAAGGGGGGCAATTGACAATTTTGGTCATGTTTGACTTATTTGTAGATCTGACTTTGCTGAACAATTTTGCTATTTACAGTTTATCTCTATCTATTATAATATTCAAGATAATAACCAAAAACTGCAAAATTTCCTTAAAATTACCAATTCAGGGACAGCAACCTAACAACAGGTTGTCTGATGCGTCTGAAAATTTTAGGGTAAATATATCTTGACCTGATGAACATTTTTACCCTGTCAGATTTGCTCTGAATGCTTCAGTTTCAGAGATATAAGCCAAAAGTTGCATTTTATCCCCCATGTTCTATTTTTAGCCATGGCGGCCATCTTGGCTGATGGGCGGGGTCATCGGATACATTTTTTAAACTAGATACCCTAAGGATGATTTAGGCCAAGTTTGGTTTTATTTGGCACAGTAGTTTCGGAGAAGATTTTTGTAAAAGTTAACGGACAACGATGACGGACGATGGACGTCAAGTGATGAGAAAAGCTCATTTGGACCTTTTGGGCCAGGTGAGCTAATAACAAAGCTATTTGTATACAACTTAAAACAAAAGTATAACACATCTATTTAAAATACAACACTGAATTAAGTGAAAGAAGTCTATTATTACATTTACTTAGAGAAATATTGGTCCTCGTACAAGTCCATATTAAAAATCTCTAGTAGTTAAACTGAATAAGAATAATAAAGTAATAGACGTTTAAATGGTTCACTACAAAAGATATTTTCCACCTTCCTCTAAAGATACAAGGTATCTATAATTAAATGAACTTTCATAAAAACATCTCTTGATGTCTTTTTTTTGTTGTGTAGCTGTCTCATATTTTACTCATCTTCAAGGACTAAAAGGTCAAGGAAAAACTACATGTATTTTTGCTTGTTACAGAAAAGCTATGCTATCTAAATAAGTTTGAAAGATAACTGTCACAGTTAAGAATATATAAATTAACAGGAAAACGAGTGCATTATGAATAAAGAAAGCTATTGATAAGAGTATTAAGAAAAAGCTAAGAAATAAATCTGATACGGAAAGCTGTGTTTATAAACAGGTAAAAGCTAAAGGAAAAATTGTTGTGCTGTAAATATGACTGAATGCCTTCGGGATTAGACTGAACCTTTTATAAATCTTGTTGTTCATGTTATAAACATAGAATAAGTATCATATTCAATTTTTTTGTCTTATAAATTTCTTTGATGTAGTATAAACGTTTAAAAAGAAATATCCAAAAAATCTCAGTAGAACTCTTTCAATAATTTTATTTTCTTCATCAATAAAATTCAAATAAAATTACAGTCAAGCACTTAAAATATTTTTTTTTTTATAAAATAATAAGAAATTTTTAACTTTTTACAAATCGCTGACTTAACTTGAAAGCTCAGTAACTAAACAACATGATATATTAAGATTATAGTCAAATACAGAAACATTTTATTTTATCATTCTCACAGCACAATAATCATATGCACTAAACTATAGCGCTAGTCTTTCCTGGTCTGTTTTTACAGCAGAAATAAATCAAGGAAACATATTAAGGATGTGGCGAGGAAAAATCTGAAAAAGACAAAACTTCCCACACGGTTAGATTAGGAAGGAAAATTGGTTATATTAAAGGCATAATATATGTAGGGAGTCCATAGAATAAAATCTTTTTAAAGTAAGGGAAAAGGGAAGAAATGGGTTTAACTATTTATAAAGTAAGGGAAAAGGGAAGAAATGGGTTTAACTATTTATAAAGTAAGGGAAAAGGGAAGAAATGGGTTTAACTATTTATAGTAAGTACTTTGCCTTTATGAAAGCTGACAAGGAAAAATATCTAGACTTGAATGAGTATTCAAAGACATTGTTGTTATTCAGAGAGTTTTTCAGACATTTTTGTTATTCATAGTGTTTTTCAAAGACATTTTTGTTATTAAGAGATCTAAGAGTTTTCCAAAAACATTATTGTTATTCGGAGTTTTTCAAAGACATTGTTGTTATTCACAGAGTTTGAAAAAAACCTATCATTGGTTTATATATGTTGACATATATAATACTGAAAACAGGCACTTTTTAATATTTTAACTGGCATCAGTAAAAAAAAAGAAATGTGAAAACAATCAATCAGCATTTATATTTGGTTCAACAGATGCTCATATTATGCATCTTGCAAATAACCTTTGTCTATCATTCTTCACTGAGCAGTGACTGACAACCTTTACTCCATTGTTCATAAGATACCAGTAAACAGAAGACCAGAAAACAAATGACAATATTACTTTACTGTTGCCCTACTTACATTTGTAACTGGATGACCAAACAGCCTTTCTCTGTTGTTGTATGTCTGGGCCAAACCTTGTGCCTCCTTCAGTTGTTTGTTGATCCTTCTAACCTCGTTTGCTATTTCTTGTGCTCTGCTGATGTCTGTGTGGGCAGCCATACCAGCTACTACCATCTAAAAATGGAAAAAAAATTAAATTTGTTTATCTTACATTTAATTCTTATTTTATTTAATATTGAGCTTTTTGTATTAACAAATTATTTATTTCAATTTGGATACACAATTAACAAAAAATAGATACAACAGACATGGACACTTACTTGTAAGGTGTCCAAACGGTCATTGAAGTTGGCCTGGTCAGATGTCTGTAGTTTACGGAACCTCTCTTCATCCTCTTCTAACTGTGTATATGTTGCCTCCATTTGTCTCTCTATTTTATGGGGCCATGCAATAGCAGTCCATCTAAATGATTGAAATAATTCTTAATATTTGAAAAAAATAATAATAAATAAATTTATGATATTCAAAAGAAACCATGCACTTTATAAAAATATTTGCACCAAAAAAACCCCAATATTTTCATTATTTTTTTTACATCTAGTAGTTTTTGTTATTAATTATAATAGCAAGTCCAATTTTTTTGGCCAAATATTAGCCCTCCTGTTCCTACTCCTTTCATCGATATTATCAATGCACATGTACTGGAATCATTAACTTACTTTGCATTGAAATCATCTTGTGACAGATTGTAGTAAAATTCTTCTATCAGTTCATAATCCTCCATAGCTTTGTCAATTTGTTCCTAAAAATACAAAATTTCTTTTATAATTTCATAGTCGTTCAAATTTTGTCATTTTTCCAAAAAATAGTCTATGAAAACATTCGCAAAAATTGGGTAAATTATCATCAATGTGCTTTCTTTCAGTCAAATATGAAATGAACAGGGTACTAATTTTATTTCCTCAAAATTAAGATACTTTCATTTTGCAATAAAGGGATCTCTACTATACTGAGTAAAAAAAGTTTAGCAACAAATATTTCTTATAATAATTCAAAATTAATTATAACATCTAACATATAGCAATAAATAAATTATTGTGACAAAGAAAAGCAATTCTTAATTGACAAAAAAAAAAAAAAAATTCACAATTTTGTATATTTTTATTTCAAAGTTTATAAATTTAAAAAATATGTTCCAAAAAAAATGAAAACAACACGTAATATATTTCATGCATCAGAATCTTTTTTAGATTTACCTTCATGAGGAACACTCAAAGCCGAACTCAACTTTTTTTACTCAGTATATTTTGATTTTCTTTTCCTACATTGTAGTGGATTTTTTATTCTAATGCAATTTTTATGTAACTTTTTTTTTCATTGGCTAAAAGTTGCCACCAATCCATAGTTGACATGTCATAACTAAGGCCTGTCATTTTGAATTGCTTGGATCAAAAAATGTTTGTTACTAAAAAACTTACTATAATATTTATATACAAAATAAAACAAAACCAACCTCAAAAACACCGTTTTGATGTGATTTTATCCAAATTTGAATAGTAGAAGTAACTACAGTACAGTCAAACCTGCCTTAACGGTCACCTCATTTCAGCGGTCACCTGCCTCTAACAGTCACTTTTAGACTCTCAGAAATGTTTTCTCTATATAATTTAACTCGTTTCAGTGGTCACCTAATTTCCGCACGAAATCGTCATTTTAATGTTTTAAACTACAAAAATAATTATGAAGAAAAATATTTGTTATCAGTAATAAAGTCAAACTAAAAGTTGAAACCCACTTGCAACCAAAATCATGCTATAGAGAGTGAACTCATGAATTCCCTGTGTTCCACTCCTTTCAGTTTTCATTGAACTTATTTCTACATGAATATTAACATATTTTGAATTTTCTTCAAATTTCAAGTACCGGATTCCCAGATTTTTTATTTTACCGCTATCAAGTGCAATAACTCTACCAACTGAAAACACTGAAACAATTTGCCCCGATCTTGGCACAGGCAATGTTGGAATGGGATTTTTTTTAACTTCGTTTAAAAGGTCACTTTTGATACATCCCAAGAGTGACTGCTTGATACAGGTTTGACTGTTCTATTATTACTTAAATGTAAATGTTTGATCACATTATTCAACTATTCCTACCTGATGTTCCTTGATTTTCTCTGGAATTCCTTTCATCCATTCTCTCATGTCTGACAGTTCTTCAATACAATTACATTTGTCATACAACTTCCTGCTTATATCTTTAAATGATTCACATGCCTTCAAAATATATTAAACACATGTATAACCATTAAATTGATTCAGCACTTACAAAATCATTAAACACATGTATAACCATTAGAGCATGTACAACCATTAAACATGTGTGAAACCATTGAACACATGTATAATCATTAAACACATGTATAACCATTAAATGGATACAGCACTTACAAATTATTAAACACATGTATAACCCTTAAACACATGTTTACCATTAAACACGTATATAAACATTAACCACATGTATAACAAATAAATTCATGTATAATCATTAAACTGAAACAGTATTTGGCAATTCATTAAAATGTTGTGGCTTTCAAATCCATTTTCCTTTATAGTGCTCATCTTTTCTAGTTTTAAGTTATGTATGTAGTTTTTCTGAACAAAATGCAAACTGCTATGTGAAGTCAGAATCAAATATGCCTGTGGCTTCGCCTCAGTTGACAATGTTTTCTCGGGGTAACAATCTGCTCTATCACCCTCTCAGCTATGTGTTATCTATATAATGACATGGCCTTAATCATAAATCAATCAATTAATAAAGCACTTTACAGTCACTAGACACCACTAAAATTAGAGATCACTATAACAATTAAAGAGGAAATATAGAATAATGTGAAAAGCAAATTCCTACATCATCAGCCTGTTTCCTCAATTTCTTGGCCAGTAGTTCCAATACAGCCAGACTGAGTTCTTTCCTCTTCTTACAGAGCTTCTGTTTGACCTGGTCAGTATTGACCCAGAATGGCCCAATGACTACATTGGTGGGTAAAGCATTCTCTAAAATTTCTCTTTCTTTCAAATGCAGTTCTACTTCATCCTTGACCTCCTGTGCTGTGTGTTCCTGAGCATCATATTCCCTGTAAAGTAATAAATCATATATCTGTATATTTCAATAATGTATATCTGAAAAGTAACCCCAGGGTCAAATTTTCTACACTGATTTTTTTTTATTTGGCCTATATCTTGGGTCTTCTACATATCAGTTATTCATTCACATCTTCTCTGGATTAAGAGCTTGTCATATGGTGAAGTTCTTGTTGAAAACACTATAGTGAACACTAAATATATATTTTGTTAAATCAGTATTGTTGGGGTACTGTCTAATTGTTGTCACATCTACTTTTATTTGTATACAACAAAACATTCACTACTACTCATCATTTGAAATGTAAGCTTGAATCTTTGTCAATCAATCATTATAAATTAATTTTGGTTTATTTATATATTTCGGAGTTTAGTGTGACGTCCATTTTCTCTGAACTAGTTCACATTTTTGTTTAGGGGCCAGCTGAAGCAGGATTTTCTCTCTGTGTTGAAGACCCATCGGTGGCTTGGGGTGGTTTCTGCTCTTTGGTCGGGTTGTTGTCAAATTCCCTGTTTCCATTCTCAATTTTATTGGTAGACCAGTCAGTTAAGACTTCAATTTATGTATTTTTGCACCTAAATGGAATCAACTGGTTGAGCAAAGATTTGATTTTCCACAATTAATCAAAAAGGCTGCATTGAAACTGATGTTTTAGCCTGTAAATTCATCATTAAGGAGGAGACTTCCATTAAAGCACTGTGGTTGTCATGAAAATTCTTCTAGGTTCTACATCTGTAACATGTACCTTTCAATGTTTTGATCTCTTAATTTTAAATTAAAAATACAGGCAAATTTTTATTTATAGAATCATTATTGTATTTGTTCCAATGGTAGTTCATCTTGCTTTTCTGTTAGTGTCCCAAAATGGTTATAGCACAAACATGCATTTATTTCTAAATACTGTTAAGTGATTTGTTGTTGTGCCAACCAAATTTTCTTAGATAGAGAAAAAATTGGATTTTCGTAGATACTTGATTTGATAGATTTAACAAATCCTGCATGCATGCTTACAGAAAACTTTTATCTTTTTGTAGTACTAAAATTCGTTACTGTGGATTTATTATTATTCATGGGATACCAGTTTCAGTGGATTTTGTGGGTACAGGTGAACCATAAATTTAAATGTTCAACAAAGTACAAACTTTCTATAGGCTTGTATAGACTTTTGTAAAACTATGAAACATAATAAACATGAAAATACAAATTTCCCTGAAACCACGAAAAAATGGTAACCACAAAAATAATTGAATCCACAGTATTAAACCTTTACCCACAAAAGATAGTACCCTACGAATAATAAAAATAATCCACAATAATAGTAATACCAAACAGATTTCTTACTCGACATATTTGTTGATATCTGTATTCATCAGCTCTAAATGTTTCTCATACTCTTTGGCATATGCTTTCATTGGAATCAGAGCCTTTCTTATTGAGTTACAAATATTGTCTCTTAATTCTTCCACAAATGGCTCATGTTCACCTACAGATTCCAGAAGTGGTGTTCCTGACCAGGTGATGTCTTCAAGAATGTACTACAAAACAATGAAAAAATTCTATCAAATAAATGCTACATTGTCAATGAATGAATTTTCAGACCGGCTGATATTTCTCCTAATAAACTCTCCATGCAGAGGGATCTTTGCTAAATGACTGAAAACATTTCAAGATACTTATTTTGACTTTCCAAAGTATCTTTTAAAATTTATTCATAGCCAAACAACAACATGTTTCAAATATGTCAGGGTCTTTTATAGCTTACTATACAGTATGAGTTTTGCTCATTATTGAAGGTTGAACAGTGACCTATAACTGCTTTGCCCACATCATTTGGAAACTGGTGGATAGTTGTCTCATTGGATATCATACCTATATCCTTATTTTTTCATTAATCCACATGTTCCCTTTTCCAGCTGAGGGATATGCTGTTAATTGTATCCCATTATCAAACAGTTCAACTAATACAACTTCTAATGAACTTTGCTTAATGAATTTATATGTCACTCAAGGATACATATTTTGACCTATTTCAAAAGATTTCTTTTTTTTTTCTTTTGTCATTGCCAAATAGCATCAATATTTCATTCTAGAAATTAATGCACATGTTACCTTTTCCTACTGAGGGATATGCTGTGTTGATTGTACCCCTTTATCAAACAGTCCACCTGATATTATTTGTAATGATCTTTGCTAAATGACTTTATACATGACTGAAAGATACATATTTTAACCTTCCAAATAATTTCTTCTTTTAATTTTGTCATAACCAAACAGCACCAATATTTTTTTTGCAAATGAACTTAATCCACATGTTACCTTTTCCAACTGAGGGATATGCTGTGTTGATTGTATCCCTTTATCAAACAGACCAACCAACATGCTCTCGAAGCTGTTAAGATTGGTACTATAGTGGGCACCCTGGTTATCTAACATCAGATCAACAAGGAACAAGGCATTTCTCTTTGGTCTGCAAGAACAAAACATAAACAATAAGAAAATAGTACTACTTTTCCAACCATAATTCTTTTAAAACAGCTACTGTTAAAATTAAGTAGGATTGACCAATTCTCAGATAAATGAGTTAACACAAACAATTTACATTATAACAAATGAATGGCCTCTGTTCTATATTATAATGGCTACACATATTCTACTTACTTAAAAGGACTCATGATGAAGTCACCTCCCCAAATAAATTCCTCCTCAAGAGTGAGAGCTGAGTGGCAAGCATCAATAACCATCTGTGTGAAGCTCAGTAATGATTCTTGAATCAAATATCTCATGGAATCCTATAATGCAAGATGTTTTCAATTACTGAAGAGTGAAATCTTTCATAAGGGGTTTATTTTTCCTAATTTCACTTTGGGTAAAAATTGCCAAAAATAGTTCTGCACATAAATTTGATCCTTGAAGATTAGAATCAGAGACAAACAAAATGGAGAAAAGTTTTCACATGCAAATTTATAAATTTGGTATCTTACTGGGAAGAACAAAAATAGAATCTCAACAACAGGTTTGGCACTAGAAATAACAAAATTTAAACTTCACAAAAATAAACCACTAATCATAAACATTAATATGAATAAAAGTAGACAACAGATATTTGTTAATAAGACAGCAACTCAACATAACTATACTTACTGGTACATTCAACAACTGTGTGTCAAAAAGTCTAATTGATATATGGTGTAAAGATTGCATTATCTTACCTGCATAATAAATTTAACCATTTCCATAAATGCTTTAAGTTTAGAGATTTGGTACACCTCCCAATTTGTCTCATGTATGTTGAACCATCCTTTACCAACATCTCTAAGTGAAGTACGGATATGAGTTCTCAATACTGTGATCCAGCTGTCTTTGAGGAAGAGGGATACCTGAAATATAAATAAACGTGGCACTAAAATTTTTTTTCAGATTTAAAGGATTTGTCATAAAACCAATGGTAGTGTAAGTTATGTTTTTGTTTGTTTGTGTATAACACCACTTTCAGTAACCATGGCTATATCATGACAATCAGTTTTTATTCCTAGAGTGTCCAGAGAGAACCATGACCTTAGGTATGAAAACTGGCAATCCTTGTAAATTAAGATGGGAGTCAAACACACCTCTCAACTAGGATGATTCTAACTAATAACCTCAGAGATGACAGGCTTTTGATCATTGTAGATGAACTGCTTACACTACTCAGTCATCAATACATATTTAGGAAGAATAACAAATAAACTGATATATAATATTCTCACCTGTGAGGTAGCTTGTGATTGCGTCTGTTCAAATTCTTCTAATCTCATTGGTTTGGTAGTGGGGATGTGAAAAAGTGACATTCCACAGACTTTGTTACATTCTGTTCTGACTTTTCCAGTAGCTTCAATACTCTCTTTACGTGTCAACAGAGAATGGAAGGCAAACTGGTCATAGTTCTGATCATAGGGGTATTCTGGTACATCAAGGACACAGCCTATAATAAAAGTTATCATAGATAATCAGGTGAGATTCTTTTTCTCTTGAAAGGAGATTTTATTTCATGTCAAGTTTTGATTGAGATTGCATTAAGTTTTGACTTGAGTTTCAGGTATGGATCTGTTTTAAACGACACTCAAACAATATATTTTGATGACAGTTCTTTATTGTAATTTTATTCTTGTATCATTTCATGTTGTTCAAGTACCAGTTTGCCTTAGAATCAGGCAGTGGTGAAAACATGACAAATAAAAACCCACTGAACTTTACATTGATTTCAGTTCATAATAGGTAGTAATGCAAGAAAATAACTTTCTTTTTGAATTAACAGACATACAGAAATGAAAGACATACACTATCAATTGACATTTAAGGGGAGATAACTCCGTAATTTGCTATCATTCTAACCAAAACTTATCATGAGATATTTTGAATTAACAGACATACAGAAATGAAAGACATACTATTTCTAGCTCAGGATGATGGTTTCTTCAAAATAGCATGGTAAGGTTGGTGGATTTTTTCTTACCATGTTTTTATTTAAATTGCCTGATCCTTACAAAGACTGGCACTTAAATTGTATGGAAATAGTTCTATCTTCATTTCTGATCCTACATGAAAATACTGTGAAGAACACTGTAAATTGGTTAATCAATGTGTAATTGTTACATATAAGTAACTTCAGCATATTAAAGCAATGATTTTTTTTTCGTTTTTTGGGGGGGAGGGGGGATAGGGAATCTAGAAATCCCCAAACCAAAATTTTAAAAAAATTAACCTTTAACAGGTACAACTTCTTCCTTCTTTTCAGGTTTTGTCACAAAGGCAAATGTGACAGGATCTTCATCTACTGTTTTGTCAAATATAATTCTGTTCATAGACCAACAAAAATCAATGTTCACTTCCTTCTCCAAAACTTGAATATAATCTTCCAAACTGTAAAATAATAAAAATGGAAATTGTTAATATTCAGTTCTGTGTTCATTATTTAAAATTATTTCATGACTTGTAAGTCAATGGCAACGTTAGGAGTTTACAATGAGTAATAGAAAATAAGAGTTAAATGCCAATCAGACAGCAACACAACAACACTATAGCCAGCTATTCTAGAAACATATTTACAATAACATCAATTTGACTATCAAATTTTAATTCCAAATAACTTGTTCCATGACTTCAAATCAAAATATTAAATATAACGAAGATTTTCTGTTCAATTTTTAAAGCAAAAACTTATGCGTGAAACATTTTTTTTATACCTGAAGAACATCCTAAATGTGAGATTAATAAATAAAACATAACACTATGATGTCATTGAGCATTACTAACCTACATTGAATGATATTTGTTGTGTGCAATAATTGCCTTTTCACAGGTTTTTTTGCAATTATAAAAACATGGCAATCATTTCTGAATTCAAATTCCCTTTTACAGGTTTATATTTTATTTCTGTCAGAATACATCCAAATTTTTTTCTTTGTAGTGCACCATCTTTTTCAAAAACTGATAAAACTCTTACTTTTTGTCTCTTCCTATTCCAGGACTATTTTTAGCACATTCTACCATCCGTCTGAGTGAAGCTTGATCTAATTCTCCGACACCATCCATAGGCATACAGTCAACATATAGGTTATATCTGAGAAGTGCTTCTGTCTCTTTACGTAATCTGAATGCCTCGGCTACTCTCTGGGCAAAGATTCTGGGATCTTCAGCTTTTAACATTAATCTTACTCTGTGTATCCAATACTGGTTCTTTAAGTCCATTCTAGAGCCTATAAAAAGAAATTTCACTATTTGATAACTGATTTAATGTGAAAGTACTATTGATCATCGGTACTAATTTTTTCGTGGATTTAGTGATTACTACCAAGAAATTTATGTACACACTGGTATTTTCAGTTAAGTAAAAATATATTAATCTTTAAAATGATAAAATACACACTATTAATGAAAATGATCTTATTTTGAATTTCAAAAATCATTATCTAAATTATTAAAAGTTTGAATAGATTATAATCTTGCTATCTACAATCCATTATGTTTGCCTTAATATAATTCAATAACTAACCATCTGATTGGATTCCTCCATTTACTACAGCTTTACCAGATTCATCTACAATCCTGCCTGAGGAATTACACTTCTGAACAAAAAATAACTGCTGTTTAGGGTCATAATCTAGGATACCTACATCTGTCCATTCATATTTGATCTTTGGGTCAGTTGGATCCACTGTAAATTAAAACAAATACAAAGTGTCTAAAGTTACATTCTGATCTGAATCTGACCTTTCTACCTCTTAACTTTTTGATTAATACCAATAAAGACACAAATGAAATTCAGAAAACTGTACCAAACTAAATGTTTTTCTATTTACTAAATAAAATTTAAAAAACCCAACAACTTTAGGTAAAAAAAATTTAAACTCTTGATTTAAACAAATTTCAATTAGCCTTTCTTTTGATTTATAACAACTTTGATTTATAACAACTAGCAAATCCTTATGTAGAAATCCCAAAGAAAGTATCATGAAAATTGTGAGCAGAATACTCAATTACTTGATTTAATGCTTACATCTTGATCATTTTAAATACAATATATAAAAATCTGTTTTTTTGTCACCAGAGCTGGGAAAATATTTTTGTCACAAAAACTTATAACAACATGTATACTTATTCATATATTTTTACACAGATGTAACGAATATTTACATTCTTTGTCAGTATCTTTACTGGGTAACAGTGCAAGAGCAGGAACTGGTTTTTTGGTTCCATTATCCTGTCCCATCTTAAGCCACTCTATTGGCAGACGGCAATCATGTTCCTCATTGTCAAATAAATGTAACGGCAGATATGCAGGGAATGGGGCAGGATCGTTTGGATCCATGTTGATTTGGACTGGCATACTCGTCTGTTTTGGCATCAACTGATCAGTTTGGATTCCCTGATCTTTCAAGAGATTTTTCAATTCAAGTGTGGAATATAATCTTCTCCTCCTATAAAGAGATACATAATTGTTTAAAATTCAATATAATAGAGAAAGCATTAAGTAAAGATAATGGCTGATATTCAATGAATAAAAACAAACTCTTAGCTTTATTCATAAAGCTTTATTATAACTTCAAATTATAATTTTAGCGTCAGAATCATAATTCTGGACTTCCAGAAAGAGCTGAAGAGTCATCAAATTCCAGTGTTTTGAAATGAACACAAAGTAACAAACCTTTCTACTTCAATTTTTCTAGGACAATCTCCAGGTTTTGTGTAAAATGGCAACTGGACCTTTGGTTCACTTGAACTTTTTGAAAAATCCTGAAAGAAAATATAAAAAATTGGAAAATCTAAAATATCTGATTACATCAATGAAGAGAAAAGAAAACCATTAAAGATACTTGAGTTTTAAGCATGGAACTGGTATGGTTTTTTAAACATGTTAAAGCTAATTCCCAGATTTCTGATAAAATTTGCAGGTAGTTATTGTGCTAAAAGGTTACTGTGGACCCCTATTGAAATAGTAAAAGAAAAGGTCCAAGTATTAACTTTTTAGTCTATTGCTGAAGACCTTCAACAACTGTCAAGATGAAGAACTTCAATAAAAGTCTTTTTCTGACATTTTTGTTATTTCCCAGTATTTAACATTTTTAATTTCAATATCTTGTGTAAATCCATCCCTACTACCTTAATCTGTTTCAATCTGTCATATTTTTGTTGTTGTATGGTATGTTCCATATGCCATGTAAAAGTACTCATTTAACCCAGACCAAGATATTCCTGATGTCAGAAAAAAATGTATAAATAAAAATTTTTGTTCAAAATGTTGTCTGAAACAACATGAAATTCTGGTAATATTCATATATCATTTTTTGTGGTTAGAGAAAAATTTTATATTTCAAGGGTCCTTACTTTTGCTCCCATCAAATTGTAACTAAAAATTGGGTATTTTGTTGAATATTTAAAATTGTGTTGTCCCCTAACCAATGAAATCATTGAAAATTGGTATCCCACAAATATCAAAGGACCCACGGAACATGTAACATTATGATCATTAAGTTTTATATTGAATAAGCTTAATATTTTTGTTAATTTTACTATTAATTTCATTACAATGCACTTGGGGTCAAAAACAAATATAGCATCCTCATTTAAATAACATTTATAAACCAAGGGTCGTCATAAATAATTTCTAAATTATCATATAATGACTAGATAACGTACTGATATTGCAGTAATTTCTGTTGAAGGTCCATGAGACTGGCTTTTGATCTGTTCAATAACATTTCCCTTTTCTTCAAATGATGTGACTGTAAATAAAATTCAAAGAAATGATAAATTAATACAAATTCATGAGATATTCTTTTAAAAGGGATAATGAATGACTTCTCATTGTAATTAAAACAAAAATGTATCTATGGGATACTGGTACCTTGGCCCCCAAATAGATGACTGGGATCAGTAACAAAGCTGCTTTGAAAATGATGGAAAAAAACATGGTTAAAATTTTGACAGAATCTGCCTAATCAAGTGGTATTACTCAAGACAACCAAAGCAATAAATTGATATTTTAAATGAATTTGTTTTCCCATTATGGAAACATCAATTTGACATTTTCCTCATAATGCAGTAGCAGAACTAGGGAATGACAAAATTATGTGTAATAAGTCAAGTTGAAGTTGACTTGTGTTTAGTTGTCCTTTCATCATTTCCAATTTAAATAAACTGTTAACACAGAGATATGTCTCGCCTATTTGTTATTTTGATAATGCAAATGTTGAAATTAAAATAGCAATACTTTAACAATTAAGTTATGTAAATATTCAAAGTCAATGAACCTATACTGAAGGTACAGGGCTAAACAATCACCATGGGAATGAGATGTGCCAATGCTATTACAACTGCATACCAAATATCATTGACTTTTCATAAATCGTTCCCTTTAAACAAATCTAAACACAAACATTAACTTGCAAACTACTAGTATGTAAAAGTTTCAAAGTCAATGAATCATAATGAGGGGAGGGGCTAAATAATCTCTATGGAAACGATACTTGCAAATGCCAATACATTTGCATACCAAATATCATTGACTTAACATTAGTGGTTCATCTTAAACTGATCTAATAACAAACTAATACATGTAAACTAAGCAAAAGTTTCAAAGTCAATAGACCATGACTGAGGGGGCAGGCCAAATAATCTCCATGAAATGAGATGTGCCAATGCTTATACAACTGCATATCAAATATCACTGACCTACCATTAGTGGTTCATCATAAACTAGACCTAATCACAAACTATTATATACATGTAAACTAAGCAAAGTTTCAAAGTCAATAGACCATGACTGAGGGGGTTGGGCCAAATAATATCCATGGTAATGAGATGTGCCAATGCTAATACAGCTGCATACCAAATATCATTGACCTACCACTAGTGGTTCACCACAAACTAGACCTAATCACAAACTAATACATTGTTGACGCCACCGACACAGGAAACAGCATACCTATGTCTCGCTTTTTGACTCCGTCAAAGGCGAGACAAAAACCGTTTGGTCAGTTTTAGGTTACTTCAGTTTGAAGGCTACCAAAACATATATAGAAGGAAGGACAAACTGATGGACAAATGACAAAGGGCAACAGGATGCTCTCATTTATTAACCTACCACCAATGTTTAGAAATAAAGCATAAACAAGGAATAAAAGTTTGTAATTTGTTTGTCATTGTCCCAATTATTGCTCATTTTACATTTTCTCAGAAGTTTGCTCTTACTGTGAGTGACAAAAATTCGTTAATTTACTTGCTAAATTTTTTTTATTTGATGAATTCCTTTACATTAAATCTGAAACCAAGAAATACATAAACCTATAATGATTTTTAATCAGGTTATAATGGTTATTACATATATAAGTATTCAATTAATATCACTATTTGGAAAGATAAGGGGAATCCCCAAAAAGATTTAAACACATAATTATCTGTATAATAATATAATTTACCTTTTGGTGTGTGTTTTTCTTTGGCAACATTCCACAGTGTGTCTTGTGCAGTTACTGGTCCATTTAATACATACTGCAAATTAAAAGATTTTGTAATCTTATTTGTTCTGGTGCCAAAGTAAATTAACTAAATTTTTAAATATAAAAAATTATTGGCTCTTACTACAATTGTCATAAATTGATATACATTTATTTCCTGTGCCTGAGGGAGATATGAAGATACATGTATGTTCACCCAAGAAAATTCATATTTCCAGAGGGCCTAGCCCAGAGGGAAATATGACTTTTCGAGGGTATAGAAATCTTCATATCTCACTAAGCCAAGGGAAATGAATGTTTTATTCCACTGCCTATACTTTGTTTACTACTAAGAACCTGAACAAAAAACATTAATTTTACATATATTTTTCGTAACCACTTGTTTTTACAACCAAACACGATATAATTTAAAACATTGAGAAACAGAACTGATCAAAAGATAATTATCTATTATTCAATTTTTGATTTTACGTCTGAAATCATTTTGAACACGATAGTGACTTTACTATCGCAATTTAAAAACGTTCAAAACGTTACTTACAGTAACCGTGAGTAACGTCAAACGAGCAAGTCCCGCTGTTCAGAGTGGAAAATGAAGTTTTATTCAGTGTCACATGGAATAGTCTCAACCAATCAAACATTGATTTAGCTATCAAATTTAACATACAGTGGCATAATAAAATATGTCTAGGACAAATTAAACAAAAGAGAGAGTTGATAATATATACATGTACATTCCATTCTAAAAAGTAGTCCAATAAATACATTTGTAAAATAGAACTTACATCTAATTGTCCATCACTCCCATCAGTTCCTATAATATCGGAATAATAACCTCTCTGTTTGATTTCTGGGTAAGCCTGTCCACCAGATGTCTTGTTAGCGCTATCAACACGTGTACGATTTGCAGAAAATGGCTTTCCACCACTTCTACTCGCTCTGGATGACATTTTGTCCTTTAAATACATGAAAATTACTGAAAGTTAGTTCTTTTGAAACATAAATCTCATAATCCTTCAAAAATTGTTTTTTAACAATTACCCCTGACTTTGATCTTCAGTTGGCACAATATCAGATAAACAATTCATGTGTCCAATACATTTGCACACATTTAATCTTGCTAAATCTTCATTTGAAATGTGATTGTACATTAAATGGATATGTTTTAAATAATGATTACAAAATACAGTGTACAAAATAATCTGATAATTTGAAAATTAAAAAATGTGATTGAATTACAATGGATTTATGAATGAAGGATTTAACAAAGAAAAGAAAAACACCTTCGAATTCATGAAAATATATCTTGAAAGTCTTAAGAAAACATCTACATGTATCTTGACTGCAATCATACTGTACATGTACTTTTTTAACCGCTTGATCCAAATAGAATGACAAATAATTCTATTGTGTGGTAGTATCATATCACAATGGAATATGACAAACAAAAATCATTTAAAAACTTAAGATTTTTTCAAATTTCCTTAAATTGTGCATTACATGTATTTTGTTTAGAATCAACATCAAAATTTTTCAAAGCTACATGTAATTATAGGAGCCAGTTTTCATTGGTGGTGTAAGTTATTTGTGGTGCACAGATCTAGAGAAAACCACATGCCTTCGATAGAAAAACTCACAATCCTTTTCAATTAAGATCCCTGTAGAACACACCTTGGCATGCATGAGTAGGGTTCTAACTTCAAACTCACGCCTTGAGTGAGGATCACTGTAGATAAACTATTTAGACTACTTGGTCACCTGTGCCCTGATTATCAATGAATATCTCCCTTATTCATTGAAAATCAAGGCACAGATGACCAAGTAGTCTAAATATTTTATCTACAGTGATCACTTGCCGACCATCACTCATGTCTTGAGTTTAAAAAATTTGTGGATTCTGGCAAGGTAAATTGGAAGAAATCTTTCAAAATATGTATATATATATATTCTTGGAGAAATAAATTGGTGATAAATTTTCAATGGAAACTGAAAGAAGTGGAACACAAGTTATTCACAAATTCACCTTCTATTTTGCAATCCCAGTTGCAAAAGGGTTCTGATAATCATTTTGTCTTTGGGCATTGCATGAACACATAATTTTTGGTCATGTTTATATTAAGTGGTAGTTTAAAAACATTAAAATGGCCATCAGTCAAAAGTTGGAATGACAATTAAATGTGAAAAATGGGTCACTGCTGACTGTATTAGACAGTTATCCGCTGAAAAGATATATAGAGAAACCTTAGGACGGGTCTGAAAGTCACCGTTAGAAGCAGGTGACTGCTAAGGCAGGTTTGACTACATGTATTGTAACATACTTCATACTAACTAAAATAAGAAAAATACAAGTATTTTGCAGTATTTCTATAGACGACTTTAAAATTTGTGTATATGTATTTCCCATAATGAATATACATGTGTACAAACGTATGTTACAATGCATATGTTATCATGATTACTTCTTCACAGTAAGTCTAACGGATAATAACATCATATACACAGTTTGAAATGGGGTCAAGCTATATAACTCATTCTTAAACAATCATTTGATTTTTATTCTATGCTCAAACAAATAGAATTATACACCAATATTCCAAAAATATAGTCCAAGATTGAAAATAAGCAGTCTTATTCCTGATGAAAAAAATATGTGCTTATCTCAATTCTACCTGGCATTTGAGAATATGTCTGCAAAGCTTACTGGTTATGGAAGACAATACTTTCTATTCCATTGCTTCACTGCCAGATGCAAGTTATAATAATCACAGTTCTACGGGCACTATACTGACACTGAGTACTGACTACTGAAACTTGAAAGTGAAAACAAAATCCAGTTTCAAGTTGTATCCGTTAAAATGTGTCTGCTTCTACACTGCACGGAGAAATTCAGAAAAAAAATGTTTTGGTTCTAATTAGGATAAAACTGTTTGACATGATTACCTTGTTAATGTTAGAAATACATCCAGTAAAAATATTGTTTCAGAAATGGACAGGTTCTTTATCGTTTACAAATGGCGTGTTTGTTCTTGGCAACAGACACTGCTAAAAAAAATATTACGCCCCGATAGTAAATAATACTGCAGACTAAATTTTAATACTAATGTGAAAGTAATATTTGTTTGATAAAATAGATTGAATTATTTTCTGTCAAATTTAGGACATTTAAAGTATGGTTATATATTTCAAATGAATACAATATATTTCGATTATTCGTATTTGTATTCCCTGGTTTTAGCTTTATCTAATTTGAAATATTAAGTGACACAATCCCAAAAGCGCGGGAAATTCAATAAAATGTATAAAAATGTAATAACTATATATCAGACTTAAGAAATTGCATTATGCTTTTAACCATACATAAAATGAGGGTTAGGGATGATTTTGGAAATGGATAATTTGGCCTGGTAAGAACTGCAATTAAATAACTTTGCATAGTTTCTCTAATTATTGACAAGTGGAAAGCATCAATCAATTTAAAAAATATTATAATCAAACTTAACTCTGTGAAAAAATTGTGTATTTACAATAAGTAGTTTTTGAGTAATAAAATTCTAAAATTTTCAAATTTTTATAATATAACCAATCAAGTCAGTCTCATTAGCCAAAATGTTGAGAGGGTACAAGAAATGATTTTACCAGAAACATGAGGGGCCTGATGGGTTATTTTCTTTCTTCGTGATCGGCGCATTTTCGCTATCGTGATCCGTTTTGCTACAGATTTATTTTTTTCTTATATTTTTGTGATCCGTGATCATGGAAATTTATTTTCTGTGAATCATGATTGACAAAAAAATCAACTTGTGAATCGTGATGAGATCCCCCCCCCCCCCCCCCCCCCCCCCCCCCCATCAGGCCCCTCAAACATGTACATCCCAGATCAACTTTTTCTTTTAAAATTTCTTAGATATGTATTTTTCAATCATTTATAACAAAGAAGTTGAAATAATTATTATGATGCTTTTTGTTCTAAAAAAAAAGAGAAAAATCCAAAATTTACAAAATTGACAGCATGGTAAATTTGACACAAAAAAGCAACAAAATTTTATAAAACTTTCTTATATTAACACATTATAACCTATAGTTTTTTTAAGTTAAATTTATTCAGATTGGTCCACTTCATCTTAATTGATAGTATGAAAAAAGTTGAATTGTGAAACTGTGATTTTTTTCATGCTAATACATGTAGCCCAAAAATGGGTAAAATTGATGAAAAATGGGAAAATCATCAGAATTGGCTACTTTCAAATGGCTGTAGCAAAAAAAGAAGTGCACCACCATATGATTTTTTTCTTCCCCAATTAATTTTTTACAGTCATATAAACCCAAAAATCAGGTTAAGAAAAAAATGTTTAATTCTAGAAAGTTTTGGCTCCTCAGAGGTGTACATCCAAAGAAGACTTAATAAGCGACAATAAAACAAATCTAGCACCAAGAATTCTATGTATCATTTTTTTAAAATGAATATAGAAACATGCATTAAAATGTTGTTTAAGGGGAGGGGAGTCATTTCTTTATTTTTTTCATTTTTTAGGTCATTTAATTTGCTCTATTCTTTATGGAATTTTAATTTACCCTTTGTAAGCCTTTCAATTCTGTATTGAAACATTCTTTACATACCTGCATATGGAGTATATATATGTATCTCCTGGTTGAAAAGATATTCCACAGCTAGTTTTTTACAATGATTATTGTTAAAAAGAATCCAATCAATCATGCTTCAGATAATACTTCACTCACTCACAGAAGCTGCTGAACCAAGGGTTCCTAATTAAGACCGCACTTATTTCAATGACGCCATCATGATTTGGTCACTTAAAATATTGCCCTAGAATGTTAAAATTGTTGTTGCCACAATCCTGTCTTCTTTTCCAAGTTTATAGCATCAACAAGTTATCTTTATAATACAAGGTTTTGATTTTATTATTACCTTGAGTAACAAGCTGGGTTTCACAAGTGGAGCAGGAACAGCTTACCCTACCATCGTTCTGCTTAAGCCCCAGTTTTTTTGGTGTTGTTCCTGTTGCTGAATAATTCTTTTTGTAATATTTGTTGGAAAGATGTTTGTCTGTTTCAAATCTTTTTTCTTTTGGTTAAGGTGTTGTCTGTTTTTCTTAGACTTATGGTTTTAATGCCCCTTGGTATCGCCTCCTTTTATATGTATTTGCTATATATCACTCTTCATGTCTCTATAACTTTATATATAACTTAACTTCAGTAAACAGCTTATGCATAATTTTATCTTATAAAAAACAATAAATATGTTAATTATAATAGAACTTTTTTCAAATTGTTAGAAAAAAAATTTCTACATTGGAGTGTTATGGAAACTACTGTTCTGAATCTATATGCTTATAACTGCAACATTATGCACATTGAAAAATATAACATTATTACATGAGGATAGTTCAACAAATCTTGATTTTTCCATATGGTAGGACTTATTGCTAGTGTGTTGCAAATCAAAAGGGCAAAAAGAAAATATAGAGAGAAAACAACATGACAACCAAGATCAGAAGCTGGAAATAATGATTCTGACTGTATGAATTTGAAATTTATGCTCCATGTTAAAGTCTGAAAACTCCCCCATGTAAATTAATAATTCTATACAATTGCAAAAAATGAAATCCTTCATGATAAAATGACTAGTTAACATAGGTAAACATCTGTTTAGCTACAAACATGTATGTTGTATGAACTTAAAAATATGCAGATACTTCTTTTCAGAATGGGACATAAGATCTGATGCCTCTTGTAGGGAATGTGTCACACTCTCTCTGTATTAAAAAACCTTGAAACAGATCATTTAGCATTGAGAAGTGTGTAAGTAGCACGTTGCTAGACAATATTTCTCCCATTATCCAACATATCCTCATTTCAGTGGTATTTTGGGGAAATTTACCCACCCTCCATCCCACTTTCCCCATCTTTTTCTGAACCTACCTACTACTTGATTTATTGTTGAATTGTCTTAGTCTGGACTCCTGAATATGCATGAAATATTTGCCATTAAATGTTACCGTAAGTGTCAAGTATTTGCCGCTGTTCATTTACTAGGTAGCTAACATCACTAACGTTACCTATTGTTTACGTTGCCTATTGTATACGTAACGTTGCCTTGTGCGCAACGTCTCATTACATGAATACAATTTTGTATGAATACAAGCCTTATTAATTCAAAGCGAAGTACTAACCACAAGATTCACGATATTGGTGCCGTGACCAATGGAGAAGTTAAAAGCAATTCGTGGTGGTCACCGAAGTGCAGTAACAAGATTGATTAATAGAACCAAGGAGAGAATTTCTGAAAATGATATTGAACTTCAAGAGCTTTCGGCTGCCGCAGATACCCTAACAAAGAAGAGGAACCTGCTTGAATCTCTAGACTCACAGATCTTAGATGGAACCGAACTAGAAGACATGGAACAAGAAATTCTTGACGTGGACGAGTATACAATGAATATGGAAGTAACCATTCACAGATTCAAGGACATAGTTTCTGGAAACAAAACAACCCCATTTCAGCAAACGGTTAGTGAAACAACTTATGTTCCAATAGAAAATACACTTGCAAATCACAACTCAAACCATTCAGAAAATGTATTTTCAGTGGAAAATAACTCTGTTTATTCGAACGCAAACCCAACAACAACAACAAATTTCTATCACAAACTACCTAAGCTTGATCTACAGAACTGTACGGGAGACATATTAACATGGCAGACATTCTGGGAATCGTTTGAGATAACCATTCATCACAATCCCTCTTTGACAAATGTACAAAAGTTCAGCTATCTCAAATCTCAGATACACAGTGAAGCCGCACAATGCATATCCGGTTTATCTCTATCAAACGCCAACTATGACCACGCAATTATATTGCTAAAGGAGCGGTATGGACAGACACAAACAATAATAAACGCGTACATGCAGAATTTACTTGAACTTACGCACCCATCACTTACACCGCACAGCATAAGAGCATTTTACGATAAAATGGAATCGTGCATAAGGGGATTAGAGTCGCTCGGACAATCGCAAGACACATTCGGATCACTTTTAGTACCAATCATATTTGGAAAATTGCCTGACGAAATGAAAAAGCTGATGACCAGAGAACACGGAAAACAGAATTGGGATATTAGGTCCCTAAGAGAAGCAATCGGTAAAGAAATGTACGTTCAGGAAACTGGTAATTCAGATAAATTAGACAGTTTCACTCCCACAGCGTCTTTTCACACAGCAGTTGAACCCAAAATCACTGCAAGACCTCAATCAGTAACAAATCAGTTTAAACCTAAAACCTGTATTTACTGCAAACAATCGCATTCGTCCCTAGAATGTACTAATGTTGTGGACAGAGAGAGCCGCTTAGCTATTATAAAACAGAATAAGGTATGCTACAATTGCCTTGGCAATCACAAAGTTTCGGAATGCCACTCACGATTTAGATATAGGAATTGTAATAGCAAACATCACACTAGCTTTTGTGATAGAAATGAGAATCAAGAAAGAGAAAATGTAAGTACAATGAAACCCTTACCGCAAAATACAAGTGTAAATACAGTAGAGAGCAACAATGATACAGTAACATTCTACACGTCAACATCGAGCGTTAAAACAAGTACAGACGTATTGTTAAAAACAGCCATCTCACCAGTTTGTGTAGATGACAGGTCAGCTACTGCCAATATTCTTTTAGATGAAGGATCTCAGAAATCGTTTATAAGCAAAGAGTTAGCAACAGAATTACAATTAAAACCAAATGGAACTTCGACAATTAGCGTAGCAGCATTTGGAGATGCACACAGAAATGTACGCAATTTAGACACTGCCATAATAGATTTACAGACTCAGAACGGAAGGAAAATACCGATGGAAGTATTAATTGTTCCCACTATCGCAGCACCGTTACATAATCGCATGACCTACAATGCTGCTAAACTGCCATACCTCAGTGGACTTAGATTTGCGCACCCTGTAAGCGACATGGATAAATTCAAGATTTCACTTTTAATAGGTTCTGATTACTTCTGGGATATCGTAGAAGACAAAATTATCCGTGGACCAGGCCCGACCGCAGTAGAATCAAAACTCGGATACCTACTTTCTGGACCAATGAAAGACTCAGCTGGACCCACATCCTCAGCTTTCATGATACAACACAAAACGGAAGAAGTCGATTTGGAACGTTTTAAGAAAAGAAATCATTCGGAGAAGCTTCTGGCGAATCAGTGAAATCTAGCAAAAACAGCTGTTTAGAGACATATGAATCAGATTGTATTACAACGAAGGACAACCGATATATTGCAAAACGTATGAAAGAATATTTTCTGGAGTTGCCTTGTAATCACATCATCACAAAACACCGTACACTTGGAATGATACACACATTGAGCAGGAAACCAGGAATGATGAAAATCCACGGAGACAGAGCGCCGAGTAAAACTGAAGCCAAGCTAAAGATTCAAACATGAACTTAATATTTTCATGACAATATACTTATCAAGTGCGCCATAATTTTGATAATGATCATAGTGATTAGACAGTTCTATTTCTATTCATTACATGGACTTTAAATGGTTAATTATCATTTCACACTTTGTATGTTAATTTCTTCTTGATAATATTTTATTAATTTTCACTTCTCGGCGCCCCCAGTGTCAAGTATTTGCCACTGTTCATTTACTAAGTAACTAACATCATTAACGTTACCTATTGTTTACGTTGCCTATTGTATACGTAACGTTGCCTTGTGCGCAACGTCTCATTACATGAGTACAATTTTGTATGAATACAAGCCTTATTAATTCAAAGCGAAGTACTAACCACAAGATTCACGATAGTAAGTAAAGAAAAAAAAAACCTTTTTTGCATCTATAAATGCTGAAAACTCTTGTCCTTGATCCGCTCTAAGGCCTTGATTTCCTTTGCCTCAATACAAACAAGGGTAAAGATACAGTTCATGTGTCCATCCAAAATCAGAAGCCTAGTTAGAAGCCTAGTTAAAAGTTGTCTTTACTTATATCGTTTATGTTTTTTCTCATTTAAGGAATTAGCCGATCTTTATAACCCTCTGTTAAATTTATTTCAAACTTTACTAGACTCTCAACAATTGGAGGCTATATATTAAAATCTAGATGTCTTTTGGATTTTTGTTAGTTTGCCGTCTCATTGGCATTAACCCCACATCTTCTTTTGAGCATATCACTCTTCATTTCCTTTTATTCATATTCAACAGATGATCTTATTTAAAGAAAAGGGCCTTCACAAAAGGTCAGGTTAAAAAGATGACATAAACTTCAATTTTTCAAAATATGTTACTGTGACTTGACTGTTAGTGTTGCTTTCCATCTATTGCTATAAAAATGTCCAAACTAAGCTTTCATACAATTTTTCTTTTGAAAAGTCTCTTATATTCTTAAGAATCAGACATCATTTGAATTAAAACATCTTATATTCAGTAAAATATGTATGAAATTACAATACGTTGTTAGGAAGTTTCCATGGGAGATAATCAATTTTTCTTTCAAAAGTCTTCCATATTCAAAAGAATATTGATTGTAGGTTATCTCCCATGGAAACTTATTAACAACGTATTGTAATTTCACATATATTTTACTGAATATAAGATGTTTTAATTCAAATGATGGCTGATTCTTATGAATATAGAAGATTTTTCAAAAGAAATATTGTATGAAAGCTTAGTTTGGACATTTTTATAGCAATTCAAAATTACTATCTATCACCTTTAGCATGACAATAACAATAAAATTTGTATACAAATTGTTAGACTGATTTTTCATAATATCATTGAAGTGGAATTAAAGTCTTATAGGATTGTAGGTATAGTTTAACTTATAACCTTGCATTCTCACAACTTGACTGGTTTTCTACAGCAGTTTGTTGGAATTTCTGAGTAGTTGAACAGTTTGGTTTTTAAACAAATTGCAGTTTGGTCAGAATTTTGAATAAGTTGCAATAGGTGGAGGCCAACACTAACAGTCAAGTCACAGTAAAATGGCAAACCAACTTTACATATTTGGTTCAGGCTTGGCATAACCGGTTGATAATATAATTTCAAGGAATTTTCCAGACAATACAACCATATTTGAAGCCCTGCTTCATAACCATGTGGTCAGTTCAACTAGTGATCCTAGCTCTTCAACTCTAAGGCTGTGACTTTGAACACCGCTTGTTGTGAGGTGTGTTAGACTTAGATCTTTTGAAATTGAAAAGGATTGTCAAAAATTGTGAAATTGACATGGGCTTAAAACGTTATTCCTGTCTTCCTACATAAAAACTGGCAGTCATTATATAACCAAGTTTGCTAAAGGTGGCTTTAAATACCAACAAATAATCAAAGAAACAAAGTTAGTTTCCAGTTCATAAAACACATCTACCAACATCATCTCAAAACCTGTCAAAGTCAAATCACAAATGAAATACATATATTTATCATTTTTTATTATCTGTAATTTTTATCAAAGGAACTTTAAAAGCTCTCAATAAAAAGGAACAAGCATATCAGAGACAAATGTAGAAAAAAAAATTCCACAATCCATACATTTTTATTACTTAATTTTCATTTGAATGCTTGAAACAAACATACAATCTATAACAAAATATTGATTTTCTATAAAAACAACATAATGGCAGTGATATTATTCAATGACATAAAAAAATAAACCAATGAAAAAAAAAGTCAATAAACAACTAATGCATGAGACTAAGATTCAGTGACTGCAAAATAAACCTTTTCATTTTCATCAGAAGGAACTTTACTTTTTTATCAATCTTTATAGCGTGTTAACAAAAAAGAAAACTAAAAATCAAAACTGTGCTTAATGTCACTTGCACTGTACAAAAATTCAAGAAACTTCATTTATCAGATAAAATATGGAACTAGATCCATAATGGTGAAATTGAAATTGAAAAATATTGAACTGAAAAGGCAGCTTACTTTTATAAATCTTTACATTGTGTAAGAAATCCTTGATATTCAGATAATAGTATACCAAAATACATCTATTTCATAAAAATAAAAACAGATATCTTCATATCTGTTAAATGATAGACTAGCTTTATGCAGACTTAAATGTAGTAACATATCAAAATATGAGAATTTCAATATCTTAATTAAACAAATATCAACATATAACATAATCAATCAATGCACCATTTTCATGGTCATAAATATCCCTGCTTTGGCCTCACTGATAACTGTTCAATAAGGTAAAATTGGCTTTAAAAATCATTGATTTCTGTCAGCACTATTCATTCACAACTATATTCTAAAAAATCATCACAAATAATTTCATTATTTCAAGTTTAAACTAATCAGATCTATGATTGATTCCAACAATTTTTTTTACAGAGGTGGAATATTTTAAGGATTCAAAACTTTTCTTCAAACCTAAATATATATATTGAAATTGCTATTTATAGCTTTTAAACTTTTGGTTTTTCTGTTACAATGTAGGAACTTACCTAGAAACAGAAAACCAAAAGTTTAAAACCTATAAATAGCAATTTCAATATATATATTTAGGTTATAATTTATTCAAAGACTTTGTCAAGAAAGTTCAATCACAGAAGTCATTACTTTTACATGGTAAAAATAAACCATGTTTTTTTTATATTCACACTAACAAGCAGCACAAATTTAAAACAAACTGTTGAAAGTAAATTCAAATAATAATATGCCCTATTTCTCATTTTATGCTGATATTATTTCCAAAAAATTGGAAGCAGTACATATGAATTGGTAAATGATATGAATTTTGTGTCGCTGGAGACCAGTCCCATTTCCTGTAGAACATCTGTTGCAGCCTCAGCTTAGGCATCCTTTGAACTGGTATATGTTATGAATTATGTGTCCCTGGGTACCAGTCCCATTTCCTGTAAAACAGCTGTAGCAGCTGCAGCTTTGGCATTCTTTTTGTTTTGACTAGCAACAGAAGGCTGATATTCCACTCCATTCACAATTACCTGAAATAATAAATAGACTTTTATAAGTTTTCATTATGATTATTTCATTTGATTTATCTGTTTTTCATAATAGTTGGTATAGATAATACTCAATAGAACCTGTATTAAATGGCATTGTGCACCGCATATTTATTTAATGATTCAAATCACCTTTGGTGTTTAATAGCAAAACATAGACCATACCTACCAATGAGGGTAGGTAAAATATATAGGTAAAGTATACACAACAACTAGGTATATCTAAATCACTGAATGGATTTCAATGAAAATTTACCCAATATTTCTTACATAATCTTCCATAATCAATGATCAGATTTTATAAATTTTTCTAACCATAATCACTATAGATTTAAATAAATGATTTATTAAAGGACAGTGCTTCATTGGACACAGGGTTTAAGCTAGGATTTTGAGGGCTTTAGTCACTTTTGCGTGGGATGAAAATCAACCTTATTTTGGTTAGCAGCAAGGGACATAGGATGTATATTACTATCTATACATCTTTGTCAGACTTTGAAGGACTTAGGCATACTAGGCAGTTACTGCATGATTTGACTGATGTGGCACAATACGAAGATTATGATATAAGATCTAGAAATCTAGTTCACAATTTCACTTAAGTTAGTTTCAGGGTACATTCCTAATCAGCAAAAGTTAGGATCCATTTTTTTTTAAACCAGGAATCACAGCATAAATGAACTTGTAAGGACTATTTCACTGCATTATTCATACTCATTATCCTTAAAAACGTTTTAAAGCGATATTTAGAATTGATTCTATAATGTTGGAACCAAGGATTTATTGGAACAATTCTAATAACTTTAAATTGTAAATTTATCATGAATAGACCAAGTTTACTTTCGATTTCCAAATGAAATGAAAACGGGAAGTGACAAGTGGATAATAAATTCAGAAAGAATCCTGATTCATCTACGGATTGGTTTCGTGTTTAAAAAAGGCAGGAAATTATCATTTTTTAAATTAAATTTGCTAAATAAGAACTATATTTGTCTCTCTAGTTTAGTTTGATACTTAATTTTTTCGTATTTTGCGTTTTAGTGTCTTTATATTCATAAGAATATTTTCGCGCATCCACAGTTCATCGTAAAGGAAGCACTTGTTTGACTCCTGAAAACATTTCTGAATGTTATGAATAAAGTTCTATCTTATTAATCGAAATTGTCGAAAGTTTTTGATTAAAAGTTGTATCAAAAATAATACATTCATTTGAAGAAACTACGACAAGC